ACCATGTTCCTGAGGAAATGTACATATGTGCCTACATATATACACACACACACACACACACACGTATGTATATACACGCAAACACACACGTATGTATATACACGCAAACACACACGTATGTATATACACGCAAACACATACACACGTATGTATATACACGCAAACACACACGTATAAATATACACGCAAACACACACACGTATGTATATATCGCAAACACACACACGTATGTATATACACGCACACACACGTATATATATATATATATATATATATATATATATATATATATGTACACATACACTGTATACTATAACACTTTTGTAGTACACAGTGTCATATGTTGTGTAGTGTATACCACAGTGGAGTGTATTGCATTGTATGGTTTATATTGTAAACTTGCATCTTCCTCTTGACTCCCAGAATCCTGTTGGACTGGATGAGAGACACCAGGAACTGGATCAACTGCAGAGAGACACACAGACACAGAGAAAGTTAGAGAGGGACAGACAGACAAAGATGGACAGACAGAGATGGCCAGACAGATGGGCAGAGACAAAGCATTACAGGTTGGGGTATAAGGTGATACACAGCATGCATGCATGCATGGAGGGGAGAACTGGGTTGGTTGTCAGACTTTCTACTCTAGCTTATCATCAAAACATCTTTCAATGCTCATTCCTCATTCATTGGCGTTGGTTTGAAAGAAAATCCCTCCCATTAACCCACTTATTGTAACAAAGAGGTAGTTGACTATCAAAGACACTGACACATTGTGACAACCAGCCCCATCGCAGGTTTGGCTGTCACAATGTTTTTCCAATAGGAAATTCCAAGATGGGAGAATTACATTTGACTTGCAATGACAAGTTGACAATTACACAACTTAATACTTCTTAACACAAAATGAGCAAGGACTATGGACATAAAACACATATTTAGGGCAGCGTAAATAACACCATTAAGAACAAAACAAATATTACATTACAGGTTATTTAGCTGACACTTTTTATCCAAAGCCACTTACATTGCATTTTTAACCCGTCCCACACTGTTGGAGTAGTGTGCAGCCGTAAAGGCGCCCGGGGAGCAACTAGGGGTCAGGTATCTTGCTCACGGACACTTTGACATGGGACACGGAGGAGCCGGGGTTGGAATCGCCGACCTTGCGGTTCCCGGCGCACCCTCTCTACTCCATGGGCCACCGTCACCTTCTCAATTAGACTTAGACTTAGACAGTATAGTGACTGTAGGACGGGTGTTATGTGCTCATATTTCTGGACTCTCATCAGGATCCTGGCAGCGATGTTTTGGATGTATTGCAGTTTCAGGATATTCTTGCCAGTGATTCCTGTTAAGAGTGTTAATTACAGTAGTCCAGTGTTGCCTCAGACACAGATTGGTAACTGTGGAGGAGGTATGACCTGACTGTCTAAGGTGAGATGGGTAATGGAGGATGACTGAACATGGTGTGGAGTGCCAACAAGAAGTATGGCGGCAAATCACTGTAAAAATTCGAGAGCGCAAATCAGGTTCAATCAAACTTTCACCTCGACTAGCTGTATTACTCCAGAGAAGACAATGTATGCAAGCTATACCAACATTTGAGAAAAAGCACCTTCCGGTGGCTGACACCTAATAAGCGTGACAACCAACCCTGTTGTCCCATATGCATGTGTGCGTGTGTCTGTGTATATCAGTGCATCTGTGTATTGGCTGTCTGATGCCATATTGATTACCTTGTTGACGACTTTCTGCTGCTGCACGTGTTTCTGTCTCAGACTGGCCACTTCTCTCCACAGAGCCTCGTTCTCACTGAAACATGAAACATGATGTGGTCTAGTACTGATCTAGGATCAGTGGTTCTCATGAGCAGATGGCTGTAGGCTGTCATGATGTGGACTAAGACTGATCTGGGATCAGTAGTTCTCACTGTTTCATGGAGACGATTCTGGAGTCGATGGTTTCCTGTTTTCCTTTCATCTGCTGGACATCGTTCAGCATCTTGTTCACATCGTGTGTAGACATTTTTACTTCCTCCTGCCGCACAGACGACACCTGAACCAATCAAAGCACAGGGAGAGGCAGTTACCATGGAGACCAACAGATCTACAGTTTAATAGATAAGTGCACCAGAGTGTAGAGGTGTCGCAGTAGTGGACAGGTGTGTAAAGGAGTGTGTACAGGTGTCACAGGTGTGTATGTACGTACGGCGGTGACTTTGCGTTTGATATTCTCCAGCAGGTGTTCTTCTCCTCTGATGAAGAACAGATGTTGGAACTCTGTGTCGTCTCTCTCTGGTTTCACCAAACCACCTTGCTCGATGTGCACAACTTTACGGAAACCATCTGAATACAGAAACATATGATACATGAAAACAATGGGTGGGGTCATGGGAGAGCTCCGCCTCGGAAAGGGAAGACGGGTCAACAGGACCCGTGCTGACTGTAGTTCACATTAGATAAAGATCAGTTCATGTATCCAGCTTTGAGGGAAGCTCACAGACCGAAAGAGGCCGTGATCAGTGTCACAGACGTGGATATTGTAGGTACTCACACATGTTAAGCTGTCTGATAAAGCTGGCCATGTTGTTGTGTTTGAAGAACTTTGGTAGAACTTCCTTAGCGAAGCGGCCCTGGTCGAACACGTGGAAACTGGTTCCGCTCTGACAGAGAACCCACAGAATACAGGGGTCAACATGAGGTCATTGTTATGGTTACTGACAGGCGCTAGATGCTAGACTCTACCTCCACTAACACACTAACAAATTGTAGCACTTAAATTGTACTTGTAACGCCACTTATCTATAGAAAATTGGCTTATTTGAGGAAATTGCGCGTTCTCGTTTCTTCTGACTTTGTAGCCCTATGGTTGAAATGCACTTATTGAAAATCGCTTTGGATAAAAGCGCCAGACAAATGACATGTGATGTAATACTAGAGGATAACAGGAAGTTGTTGTTGATAAAAACAGTTGTGAGAATAACATATGAATGCAGAGGTAACTCCGGAGATATATATATATATATATATATATATATATATATATATATATATAGGGCTAGATACAAATCTACATACAGGGAGATAGAGACCTTAAACCTGGCAAAGCTAACAGCGAAAAACCTTTGCCTGCCCACGTTAGCTGTTAGCTTTGAGCTAGGCTAAGCTAACGTGTGTACCGGGCTCCAGCAGATGAGCAGGTCGGTTTCCGGATCCTCCACCAGGGTCCATAGTTTGGTGAGGAAGGCCGGGACGTTACCGCCGCTCAGCCCCGCCCCCCCTCCGTGATATTCCATCAGAGACAAACAAAACGAGCACACCAATGGAGCTACTCTGAGCTAGTGCTGCTAATAGATAACAACTCAAAGATGTCCAAACAAGCTGCAACACGTAGTCTAATCCTGGTCACGGACAACTGGAACCTCGTCCTAGACGGTACCGGTGTCTGCTGGTCGACAGTTCATGTATTAATCTGTGTTCTTATTAAAAAACTCCACCGCGGAAAATAAATGACAAATCCGATCACACCAACAACTGCGTAGCGCTCAGACTTCTTCTTCTTCTGCTCCTTTGAGTTTACTGGCGATTGTCAACAAAGTAACCTGGCGCATTACTGCTCCCTGCTGTTGTGGAGTGTGGATAAAAGACAATTGATTAAATAAAGTTAAAATATATAACTGGCTCATGTTTTCTTAATTATATTAGTTAATTCAAGCTATTGATATAGTGCTTGATAACACACTTCTTTAGTTCTTATTCAGAATAATTCAGAAATATGCTTCCTCCATAAATACAACTATCTGTAAAGTTAGATTATGATCACACAACAAAACAAAGGGAGCAAAGCAAATTCAGTGTCATTGTGTATTTATTCTGTACCGTTACTGACATAGAAACGGAACAGAGCCCCACCCTCCCCCATCACCCTGTGTGACTCCCCCGTCACTATTGTGGATTCCTTCCGTTTCCTGGGCTCCATCATCACCCAGGACCTCAAGTGGGAGCTGAACATCAGCTCCATCACCAAGAAGCCCAGCAGAGGTTGTTCTTCCTGAGGCAGCTGAAGAAATTCAACCTGCCAAAGACGATGATGGTCCACTTCTACACGGCCATCATGGAGTCCATCCTCTGCTCCTCCATCAGCGTCTGGTACGCTGCAGCCACAGCCAAGGACAAGGGCAGGCTGCAGCGTGTCCTCCGCTCTGCAGAGAGGCTGATCGGCTGCAACCTGCCGTCCCTGCAGGACTTGTTCGCTTCCAGGTCTCTGAAGCAGCTAAAAAGATGGTGGCCGACCCCTCTCACCCCGGACAAAACCTGTTTGTGCCCCTTCCATCTGGCAGGAGGCTGAGGTCCATCAGGACTAAGACCTCCCGCCACACCAACAGTTTCTTCCCGTCGGCAGTCGGGCTCATTAACAGAGCCGGTCCCCCACTGACTGACTATAACATTCCACCGGTCACTCCCCTTAATACTGCACATGTCACTTTAACTGTAATTCATCACTTTCTCGTCACTCGTCACTTTGTTCGTTAAGTGCACTTTATGCTTAATATTTCTATCTAATATTTTTTACTTTTTTAATATTTAAAATATTTAACTTTATTCCCTTGTTTTTTACTAACCCATAGTCTTATTTACTAACCCATTGCATTAGCATTTCATTTTACTTTATTTTATTACTTGTGCACTGCTGTCTTGTCTATTGTCACATTGTCTACTGTCACACACCAACCGCCAAGACAAATTCCTTGTATGTTTGGCATATTATGGTAATAAATGTTTCCTGATCCTGATCCTGAAAGTAATATTTCAGGTTCATAACTTGTCTACCTGAGCTCACTTTGATCCATTTCTGTGCATAATATGAAGCTAAAACTATATATAAAACCGTCTCAGCCTCAGTAAGATATTAGTTAGCCCCTAAAGTGTGAAAGTTAAGACATTAAAGTGAACTCTCCCCACGATCACCTGCCTCCGTCCTCAATAAACGAAATCATCGTCGGACCGCACTGCATGCTGGGATATGCTGGGCCGCAAAGGACAGATCAGATGCGTTCTCCTGGAGGGCTGCGTCCCTCGACCGCGTTCGGAGGAGCCGATGGATTGAGAGAGGCGAGTGCAACCGAGTCGCAGCGGAAGTGACGTATGCGGTCGAGGAATGCGTCCTTAATGCTGCCTAGCGACTTAGGCTGCAAGACACAGCTTTTGACACACCGCTACAGTACTTCTCTTTAGTTTCCTGCTCTTTTCTTTTCTATTCTCTTTATATCCTTTTTCTTTTCTGGTATTTTATCTATTGTCATCCCAGTCCCAATGTTGTCCCAATGTTGTGTAAGAAGTTTGTGCAACTCTTTGGTAATAAAAAAAGTACTTATCCACTCTAAGGATGACCCGTTTCAATGGCTTCTGTTGTGTGTGTTATTTGTATCCTTGATGACGTCACGTCGTACTTCTCGATGACGCGTTGAGTAGACCCCGTATGCTCCCACGTGCTGTACCATGGAGGAGAGCAGCAGCAGCATGCGGAGCAGCGAACAGAAAGAGGAGATGAAGAAAGTCTCCGAGAAAACTGTGAAGAAGAGAAGTAAAGAGGAGGAGGACGCGGAGCCAGACGAGGTGAGATTGACGCATAGACAAACAGAGACACACAAGCAGGAGGACTGGAAGGAGCTGGATGCTAGCTGTTAGCATGCTAACAGCAGGAGGAAAGAGCTGGGTTAGTTTACTGTGTGGAGATAAATGAGTAGTTCACTAATTTAAGGATTTATTATGTTTCTATTTGCGAAGAGTCAGTCGTAGGGAGACCAGCTCGAGTTTAAAAGTCTTTGTGTGAAAATGTGATGAGATTGAAACAAACACTTCTATATCGAGTACGGTATCTAACGTTAATGTAGTTTGGGAAGAAGCATCTGGAGTAGTTTGGGAAGAAGCATCTGGAGTAGTTTGGGAAGAAGCATCTGGAGTAGTTTGGGAAGAAGCATCTGGAGTAGGGGTCGTTTTTTTAGGAGGTATCCAGAGTCTAACCAGTGAACCGTGGTTTCTGTTTTATTCTTCAGGTCTTCAACTTCAAGTGTACAGAGAAGGAGGAGGAAGAAGAAGATGTGACGGACAGCGAGGACAGCGTCTTCTCGGGACTGGAAGATTCTCTGAGTGACAGTGCTGATGATGATGATGATGATGACGATGATGATGACGAAGATCAGAAGGTGGAGCCAGAGCAGACTCCGCAGGTAAAGGTGCGTGTGTGTGGAGAGAGACAGCTTTGTCTGGTTGAGACGTACCTGTTTTCGTCACCATTCCCTGGAACTTCACCTGTGTTCTGTTCTACCTGCAGGAGGGAGCAGCGCAGGAAGATGAGTACAAACAGGACTCTTCAGATGAGGAGGTGAGAAGTGTTTATAATTCTGCTTTTATTTAGCGTGTGAGTCGGTCGGTCTAAATCAATGGCGAAAGCTGACATTGCCCCAAACTGGACATTTGTGGCACAAAGCCTTTATGAAAAAACCGAACTGCAAATTCACATTGCAAAAATGCTTCAGGAAGTAAACGTTGCTCCTTGAACATTATAATTCATAAAAAAATAAAGTAAAATACAAACCAGAAAATTTTAACAGGATTTGTTTTAACGTCAGAACCTGTTCTCTACAACACTCACAAACACACCCTCATGTTCACTTGAAGCTTATTCATTAAATTATTGCCATCATTGTAGTGCAAGTTAAGTAAATGTATACACCACATGTAAGTACAGCAGCCAAAAAACAACCCAGTGCTATGAGATGAATTTAAAATGGCATTTGTAGATAAATGCAGTAGAGGCTTCTTAGTTCGCCGCGCTGGTTTAATGGATCACCGTGTTTCCCTTTACAGGCGTAACATCAACTACCGTATAACCCACAGTATGTGCACTAGACTACCGTACATGACAGCATTAAAAAGTACAACACACACATGTATGTCAACAATAACAGATATGGGACAAAGCACGAAAAATATATACAAGACAACAGATTGAAAAATGAATGTTCTGAAAAAGGTGGGTGAGTAAAAACATGTCTTTAGTCTTGCTAACTGCTGTTATTTGCGAGCTAACGCTAGCCTGATCAGCTGGAGGCTCCTTATGTTCCTCACGTCAAAGCAGGACAACGTGGTGATCCCGTGCCGTGTTACGTTGACTTTGCAAAGTTTGCCATTGACACACTTTCTTAGTTTTAGTGTGAAATGCTCGCACACTTTGGACAACCCAAGGTCGAACAGACGTCACGTGACTCACAAGAACTGCCGGCGCTGCGGGCTGCCCTTTCCTCTACGTCAGCGCGGCTTTCATTTTTGCTTCGCGCGCATCTCCGCAGCCCATTGAGTGACGTAATAATCGCACGACACAACAATAATAATTAATAATAGGCTTTATCGATTTTAACGATTCGTTGTTGCAGCCCTAGTTAATTCATCCATGTTAAAGAATCTACGTGTAAAATTTCATGAATAAATATAATTGTTTACATGTCTAATTACTACAGAAATGTTACTTTGATGAGAGAAAGTAGTAAGACACTAAGGCGATGATCTAAGAGCTTTTTTGTGCACTATTTGGAGGTGTTTAATCGGGATATCTTATTGTGAAGGCCAGAACTCCTGACAGCATTGATGTTCATTTTGGCCATGCCGTTAGTTCTGTTGGGATTTTGTATGTGATATTCTGGTGGTTCTGCAGGACATCAGGAACACAGTGGGGAACATCCCTATGGAGTGGTACAAGGACTTCCCTCACATTGGCTACAACCTGGATGGGAAGAAGATCTACAAACCAATCAGGAACAAGGACGAGCTCGATGAGTTCTTGGACAAAATGGAGGACCCTAATTACTGGTGACATTTTTAGCACAATGCCGGCCTGGTTGGAATAAGGAATTCTGACGACGCTAACGGCAGTTTTTGTGCAGGAGAACGGTCCACGACAAGCAGACAGGAAGTGACATCGTGCTGTCAGATGAGCAGGTGGAGCTGGTGAAACGTCTGCAGAGGGGACAGTTTGGCGATGTGAACTTCAACGAGTACCAGGTATGTTCAGGTGACACAGGTAAAGCCCCACCACACATTGAACCAGGTTCATGTAGTGTTCACTTCTTACCTGGTAGATCGCCATGGTAACTGATGTATTAAAGCGCCGCCTAATGACCAATCGGAGCTCAGTTGATGGGTTAATATTCTAATAATATTCAATTCATTTTATTTTGTGTAGTCCAAAAATAGCAAATAACAAATTTGCCTCAAAGGGCTTTACAGTCATACATTTACACATGCGACATCCTCTGTCCCGAAACGTCGGCACAGGAAAAACTCTACAGGCTGTCATGTGTACAGAATGAACCACGTAAAAGATGTACAATACAATCTATTCATACAACAAAATGATTTAAATATGGCAAGTAGTAAGGCAGGATCAGTGCAGGGACAACCACCATCCACAGGGAAGCACAAAGACTTTAGGAAAGAAGCGAAGCAGGTGATGTTACTTAATGGTGATCGCAGCAACAGGGTCCAGACAGAACCATGATCCATGGATCACTGATGTTCATCTTTTACGTGACTCTTATTAGACGTATTAGAGCAGCCTGATAATAAAGTAATCTTGGCTCGAAGTAACTCATGCATGCATGTTTCTGCATCACTTAGACAGGAGGTGTCTGACTTAAATGTTATGTAGGAGCTTTAAATCAGTATATCCGTCGTCACATCCTGTTCAGAGATACCAGACTAATAACATGGAGAGGAACCATATCGGTGTGAGCCCGCTAAATGACACTAACCCAAACACATCTGTTGCCCCAGCCTCAGGTGGAGTTCTTCAGTGAGGACCTGATGATCCACCCGGTCACCAACCGACCAGCAGATAAGCGCAGCTTCATCCCATCCCTCATTGAGAAGGAGAAGGTCTCCAAGCTTGTCCACGCCATCAAGATGGGCTGGATCAAACCCCGGCGCACGGAGGACGCCAGCAGGGGAAGTTACTACGACCTGTGGGCCAATGAGGACTCTTCTATTCTGGCCAATCACAAGATGCACCTGCCCGCCCCTAAAATCCCTCTACCTGGTCATCAGGAGTCCTACAACCCCCCGCCGGAATACCTGTTCACGGACGAGGAGGTAAAATAGCTTTAATTGGCCTGTGGAAAGACGGGTAGACGGACAGTTGGACTTACGCTCTGTTTGTCTGTCCTCCTCTCTGCCTTCCTCACCGCCCGTCTCTCTGCAGCGTGCTTTGTGGGAGCAACAGGACGTCTCAGACAGGAAGCTGCCGTTTGTCCCCAGAAAGTTCTCCAGCCTCCGTCAGGTTCCGTCCTTTCCTCGTTTCCTCCACGAGAGGTTTGAGCGCTGCCTCGACCTTTACCTGTGTCCCCGGCAGAGGAAGATGAGGGTACCCAGAATACTCAGCCAATCAGAACTCCGCACAGTCCTGCTAAGAAGACCATTTGACCAATAACATGTCTCCCTGCAGGTCAATGTGAATCCAGACGACTTGATCCCCAAACTCCCGAAACCAAAAGATCTCCAGCCGTTTCCAACCACACAGTCACTGGTACACACACACACACATCTACACACATGCACTTCACCCACACATCCAGCAGACATGCGAGTGCCCAGTGACTCTGTGTTTGTGTTCAGGTGTATCGGGGTCACAGCGGTCTGGTTCGCTCCATTAGTGTGTCTCCATCAGGACAATGGCTCGCCTCAGGTAACAGCGTCATGAACTAGTGCTTCTCTTTGTACTCTGTATGTGTGTTTAAGTGACGTTGTGTGAACTAGTACTGTGTGTTTGTATAGAAGTACTCTGTATAAGTACTGTGTGTACTTTCAGGCAGTGATGATGGTTCCGTCAGGTTCTGGGAAGTGTGTTCGTCTCGCTGTATGAGGACAGTCCAGGTGGGCGGAGCTGTGAAGAGCATCGCCTGGAACCCAAACCCGCTGGTCTCTCTGCTGGCTGTCGCTCAGTAAGGATCTGTGTGTCCTCCTTGATGTCTGTCTCTCTCTGTCCCTTACAGTCACACTAAATGTATGTTTAGGCTTGTCTTCATTGATATCTCTTTCTGATTCAGGGACTCGGTGGTCTTGATCCTGTCTCCCTCTCTGGCAGACAGACAGGTTCTCTTGTCAACAGAGCAACTACTCTCGGATCAGTGGGAGGCGGAGTCCGCAGAGGAGGACGGTCCTGTGAAATGGATTAATCTGGAAGGGGAGGAGCTTAGCCAAGGGATCCGCATCAAGATTCAACACCCCAAAGTGAGAATGCGCTTTGTTGGCTTGATCAAAGATCAATATGATCAATACCTGGACTAATTGAACGTTGTCCCCGCTCAGGCTGTGCACCAGGTGACGTGGCATGCTAAAGGAGATTACCTGGCCTCGGTGATGCCCGATCACTCAAGCCACCTGCAGGTGTTCATTCACCAGGTGAGCCGGAGGCGCAGTCAGAACCCCTTCAGGAAGAGCAAAGGTCTGGTTCAGTGCGTATCCTTCCACCCAGTCAGGCCCTACTTCTTTGTGGGGACGCAGCGCTCTGTCCGGATCTACAACCTGGTCAAACAGGAAATGACCAAAAAACTGCAGGCCAACTCCAAGTGGATCTCCAGCATGGCCGTCCACCCTGGAGGTAGAAAGACACTTATACACCTGAGCACAACATGGCAGAACAATCCAACAGTAACACACTGTATTAAACTATTATTTGAAACAGTAATCGTGTGTGTGTGTGTGTGTGTGTGTGTGTGCTCGCAGGTGATCATGTGATCTGTGGGAGTTATGACTGCAGGCTGAGCTGGTTTGACCTTGACCTCTCAACCAAACCTTACAAGATGTTACGGTATGTAGTGAGTGAGTGAGTGTGTGTGTGTGTGTGTGTGTGTGTGTGTGTGTGTGTGTGTGTGTATATTGATCCCTTTCTGTCTGCAGACACCACAAGAAGGCTGTGAGGGGTGTGGCCTATCATCGACTCTATCCGCTGTTTGCCTCGGCGTCCGATGATGGGTCTGTCATTGTCTGCCATGGGACTGTTTACAGGTAAAGCCTAGTTTATGCTTCTGCGTTTTCAGAGCGACGCAGACGTGCCCCTTGCGTGTCCCTTGCGTGTCTTTTCACACCTCCTTGCGTGCGTCGACCCATTTTTCTAGACTAGCGTGTAAAGCGACGCAGCCTCCTGCAGCACCAGGCTGTGATTGGTCTGCTGACTACGTCCTTTACGGAGTCTCACGTCTCCGTTTTCACAGCACAATACGGCCGTTATTAAAAGGAAGAACGTTTACGAGAGAACGGATCAGATTGAAGAGCTTTTGTGGGAAGAAATGCGTAAATATGAGCGCTTGTACAAGCCGTCATTGGCGGACTATGAGGACGCCGGATGGCCTCTGATTCATGGAGGGAGATCTCGACAAACGAGGGGACAAAGTCGTGGAGGAAAATACGGGACAAATGTGTCCGTGATGAAAAGCAGCAGTGTGGATGAACGGGGCAATAAAGTCTGTGATCAATAATAGTGGTCGTCGTGGCGCAGGGGTTAGAGAAGGTGTGCTGGGAAGCACAACGTTGGTGGTTCGAGTCCAGGCTGCCCCATGTTCCATGTCGAAGTGTCCCTGAGCAAGACGCCTAACCCCTAATTGCTCCCCAGGCAAAAATGTGAAAAAGCCATGGGTTTAAGGTGTAATGTAAGTCGCTTTGGATAACAGCGTCTGCTAAATGACCTGTAATGTAATGTAATGTAATCTCTGCAACACACGCAGGACTTTACAACCAGGAAGTGAAACCAGTGCGTCGACACGTAAAGACGCAGAAACACGCGGCAGGCTTCACTCTCGAGATACACACTCAGTGATACACACAGTGATACACACCACAGTGATACTCTCACTCTCTGTTCCCCCCCCAGTGACCTGCTACAAAACCCATTGATCGTCCCGGTGAAGGTTCTCCGAGGCCATGTGATCACTCATGACCTTGGGGTGCTGGATGTGACCTTTCACCCCACTCAGCCCTGGATCTTCTCCTCTGGTGCTGACGGCACTATCCGCCTCTTCACCTAGAGACCCAAGACCTTTGACCTTTAATGAAACAAACTTTCATCAGCAGCTGCTTGTTACCATGGTGATTCTTCTACTTGTCAATAAATGAATGTTCTTTTTAATTTCTCTTTGTGGTTTGTATAGTTGTTTACTCCTCAAATCTGTTTTACTAACTTATTTGAAGTGTATAAGGATGTTAAAGAAAAAAAATCAATTCTACAACCCAAGTTTAGCCGTTTCTATATAAAGGACAATTATGTCTTATTTCCATTTTCATCAGAACTAGTTTGTGTGTGATGCTTTGAGAAATATCAAACTCAAATATAACTGAAGAAGAAATCAATTTTAAATGCTAAATATATATAATATCCAGATAAATTATTGTAACGACGCACCCCCGTTAACTAGACTGCAGTGAGTGACTGGAGTCAATTGGTTGCTGATTTATCCGGAGCACATCAGGAGTTTGGGGGAGAGGGCTGTTAGAGAGGCAGGAGACTAGTTGGTGAATTAATAAAATAAATCCAGTTGACGGAATTCTCGTCTAGGTGTCCTTTATGCATTTGTACACGTGACATCCATTGTCTGTCCACCGGGAGAGGGTTTCTTCCCTTGTTTGGCCATCGAAGGGTTTATCATTTTCTCAGGAGTTTTTCCTGTGCCGATGTGACTGCTTAGCTTGGGCATTTGAACAATGATGTCCACTTATTAACAGATTCTGCTTTATTTCTGAAACTCCCAATCTCCCCCTCCTCACCCTAAACCAGGGGTCTTCAACTAAAAATGTGAAGAGGTCCAGTTCGAGAGAATTTCTAGAAGTAAAGGTCCGGAAGATTATAATCAGGAATCAGGAAACATTTATTGACATATGTCAGACATACAAGGAATTTGACTTGTCGGTTGGTGCATAACAGCAGACAGTACGACAATGGACGACAAGACAGTGCACGAGGAATAAAATAAAATATAATGCTATGGGTTAGCAATATACAGTGCATCCAGAAAGTATTCACAGCGCTTCACATGTTCCACATTTTGTTATGCTACAGCCTTATTCCAAAATGGATTAAATTCATTATTTTCCTCAACATTCTACACACAACAACCCATAATGACAAAGTGAAAACTTTTTTGCAAATCTGTTAAAAAAAAAAGAACGAAACCATCACATGTACATAAGTATTCACAGCCTTTGCTCAATACTTTGTTGAAGCACCTTTGGCAGCGATTACAGCCTCAAGTCTTCTTGGGGATGATTCCACAAGCGTGGCACATCTATTTCTGGGCAGGTTCTCCCATTCTTCTTTGCAGAACCTCTCAAGTTCCATCAGGTTGGATGGGGAGCGTCGATGCACAGCCATTTTCAGATCTCTCCAGAGATGTTCAATGGGGTTCAAGTCAGGGCTCTGACTGGGCCACTCAAGGACATTCACAGAGTTGTGCCAAAGCCGCTCCTTTGTTATCTTGGCTGTGTGCTTCGGGTCGTTGTCCTGTTGGAAGATGAACCGTCGCTTCAGTCTGAGGTCCAGAGCGCTTTGGAGCATGTTTTCATCCAGGATGTCTCTGTACATTGCTGCATTCATCTTTCCCTCAATCCTGACTAGTCTCCCAGTTCCTCCCGCTGAAAAACATCCCCACAAGATGCTGCCACCACCATGCTTCTCTGTAGGGATGGTATTGGCCAGGCGATGAGCAGTGCCTGGTTTCCTCCAGACATGACGCTTGGCATTCAGGCCAAAGAGTTCAATCTTTGTTTCATCAGACCAGAGAATGTTGTTTCTCAAGGTCTGAGAGTCCTTCAGGCGGGCTGTCATGTGCTTTTTACTGAGGAGTGGCTTCCGTCTGGCCTCTCTACCAAACAGGCCTGATTTGTGGAGTGCTGCAGAGATGGTTGTCCTTCTGGAAGGTTCTCCTCTCTTCATAGAACAACGCTGGAGCTCTGTCAGAGTGACCATCGGGTTCCTGGTCACCACCCTGACTAAGGCCCTTCTCCCCCGATGGCTCAGTCTGGCTGGGCGGCCGACTCTAGGAAGAGTCCTGGTGGTTCCTAGTGTTGTTTCCTCCGACCCTCCTGCTTCGAAGCTTGTGTCGAAATGTGAACCAGTGCAAAGCGAAGCAAACGTATCGGTGCTCGGTTCGTTCGCTGCTGATCACGTGATCAGTGACGTCTGATATATATATATATATAATATATATTCTTCTATTAATTATTCTGCTAGTATGATCACAAACATACATGCACAAAGGTGCAGAAAGACATAGATAAGTGTTTGTTCCACCTCTTCCCAATGTACAGAGAATTGAAATACACAAACAAGGACACAATAGTTTTATTCAAATAGGAATACATGTATTTATTCGATGATTTATTGGTTCAACTTTTCATAATCAGAGATTGGGCCAAAATATACTGGTACAAGTTATATATACAAATTTTCAACAGAAGAGGTCATCATAGAGTTTGCGATGCATTGAATGAATGAACCTTTTTCCGATACAATTGGCTGGAAAGCTTCACTGGTTCAGAAAGCTTCACTTTGCCAGTGGTTCCAAACTTCTTCCATTTCCGGATGATGGGGCCCTGTGCTCATTGGGACTTTCAATGCTGCAGAAATCTTTCTGTACCCTTCGCCAGATCTGTGCCTCGATACAATTCTGTCTCGGGGCCTACAGATAATTCCTTGGAATCAACTGAATTTAGCACAAGTGGACTCCAATTAAGTTGTAGAAACATCTCAAGGATGATCAGTGGAAACAGGAAGCACCTGAGCTAAATTTTGAGTGTCATGGCAAAGGCTGTGAATACTTATGTACATGTTGTGTTTTCGTTCTTTATTTTTAACAGATTTGCAAAAATTGGCAAAAAACAGTTTTCACTTTGTCATTATGGGTTGTTGTGTGTAGAATGTTGAGGAAAATAATGAATATCCATTTTGGAATAAGGATGTAACATAACAAAATGTGGAAAAAGTGAAGCGCTGTGAATACTTTCCGGATGCGCTGTACGGCTATAGGTTTAAAAATAAAGGAATAAAAGTTAAAAATATTTAAAAATTAAAAATAAAAATATTGTGCTCCAGCGAACAGAAAGTGACAAGTGAAAGTGACCGGTGTAATGTAACAGGAAGAAACTGTTCGTACGGCCGGGGGGTCTTAGTCCTGATGGACCTCAACCTCCTGCATGATGGAAGGGACACAATCAGTTTACGATTTACCCTCTCTGCAGATCGGAGGACACGCTGCAGCCTGCCCGTGTCCTTGGCTGTGGCTGCAGCGTACCAGACGATGATGGAGGAGCAGAGGCTGATGTTCAGCTCCCACTTGAGGTCCTGGGTGATGATGGAGCCCAGGAAACGGAAGGAGTCCACAATAGTGACGGGGGAGTCACACAGGGTGATGGGGGAGGGTGGGGCTCTGTTCCTCCGGAAATCCACAACCATCTCCACTGTCTTTAGAGCGTTGAGCTCCAGGTTGTTCTGGCTGCACCACGACACCAGATGGTCAGACTCCACCTGTAGGCGGACTCGTCCCCACCAGAGATCAGTCCAATGAGGGTGGTGTCATCCGCAAACTTCAGGAGCTTGACGGACTGGTGACTGGAGGTGCAGCTGTTGGTGTACAGGGAGAAGAGCAGAGGGGAAAGAATGCAGCCTTGGGGGGAACCGGTGCTGATGGTCCGAGAGGCTGAGACATGTTTCCCCAGCTTCACGTGCTGCTTCCTGTCAGACAGGAAGTCTGTGATCCACTTGCAGGTGGAGTCGGGGGGTGCAGCTGGGAGAGTTTGTCCTGCAGCAGAGACGGGATGATGGTGTTGAAAGCAGAGCTGAAGTCCACAAACAGGATCCTGGTGTAGGTTCCTGGGGAGTCCAGATGCTGGAGGATGTAGTGGAGGACCATGTTGACAGCATCGTCCACAGACCTGTGTGCTCTGTAGGCGAACTGCAGGGGGTCCAGGAGGGGGTCGGTGAGGGACTTCAGGTGGGACAAGGGACACGCAAGGGGCTCTTGCGTCTGCGTGTCCTTGCGTCGCTGCGAAGCATAAACTAGGCTATAATCTATCGAATCTGCAGTAGGGCTGTCAACGAATATTCTATATATACATATATTGGATGTGGGCTTTAAATGGTGTAAATATGAAGGGACAGTACTTTGCTGCAACATGTCACCATGACAACGTTAAAAATTGATGTACAACTGAACGTATTTATTTAACGCGTTTTATCCTGATTTAAACATTAAACTCTTTTCTCATAAAATGAGGTAATTTAATTATTTTTACGCCTTTCTTTTTGTCAAAATTGCTTTTTGGCCACATTTTAAATTCCATTAATAGATGAATACACGTCTTATTTTATGTTTTTTTCTCCATATTCAATCGTTGATGTTTTAAATGTGTACTGTCTGAAAACACGAGTGCCGCCATAGATATTATATAATACATACATAGATGTTATATAATATCTATGTATGCCGCTACCAGGTGGAACGTCACGTCCTAATGTTCCGACGGAATGTTTTCAGTGTGACACCACAACATGGAACGTGAAGACAGAATCACACCGAGCCGCGAAGACTGTGTTTATACCAGCTGTTACTGGTGAGTACTCTGTAGTTCTATAAGAGCTGTTACTCGGGAGTACTCTGTAGTACTGGTAAGTATTATACACCACTAAAAGAGCTTCCCTGGGCAGTACTCTGTACCAGTACAAGAGCCGTTAGTAGTAAGAACTCTGTAGGGCAACATGAGATGTCACTGATCAGGACTCTACTATGTCTACATTTGTAAGTTTACGACCGACATTAAAAATCACTGGTCTAAACGTAGACGTCTTTCACTTAGAAACCAATTTGCAACGTCTTTTCAACGTCGGCCATAGACGTCTTTCAACGGATAAATTGCTCGCTGGGAGCTTACACTTGTAAGCTCATGTTAACAGCCCTTTTAACAAGGACAACCGTTCTTTTATTAATGTTTGTGTAAGCTATTGTTGCACAGGTGTTCCGGTGTGGGGGCTTTTGTTGTGAAGGGGAGACGGAAGGACAGGAAGTTGAGGTGGTGTTCAAACATGCAAAATAAAGTTGCGGCCGGTTTGGCGCAGAACTGGAGCTCCGGGTTGTTGGTTTGTTATTGACACGAAGTATAGGCGCACCAGAACCACTTGGCTACATTTATTTATTAATGAACAATAGATAACACCTTTCTTAGATAAAAACAGAATACAAATATATATATATTTCAGGGAAAATAAACAATGGAATTAAGTGCAGAAGCAACATGGACAAGTTAGTTTAGAACTCTGTGTTTGGGGTTGTTGTGTAAGACATTACATTTTTAACCCATGGAAGTCGCTTTGGATAAAAGTAGAAAGTTGAACAAATCATCAGCAAATTGACGTTGTTTGGCCCGTTGCGGTTTCATCCACCTTTTCGCCGGTTGAAAAGATGTTGAAATTAGGTCTTAGACGTTCAGACCTCATTTCGACCCGATTTCAACCCCTGGGGTTCAATCGAACCCAGGTTAAGAACCACTGTATTAGCAGTACTTACTAGCACTACCGCTGGAAGTAACATTTCATGTACTACTAGTACTACATGAGATGTTACTGGTGAGTACTGTATTCGCAGTTGGTTAATTTAATTTTTCTTGATCTGCAGTGAAGAAAATGTTTGGAAACTCTGTGAATTTGTCCGATCGGAAAGAACCGCACCGCTGGAAGAATTGTTTGTGGTTTTCATCTCAAATGAGAACCGGAAGGTGATAACACACAAGAAAGCATTTAAACACGTTTATTCTCGCATGCCACATTTTCCATGACACCTGTTCTTAAAGAATCCAGGTGTGGTTCTAAATCTGATGTTTGTTCTCCTTCAGGTTCCTTTGTGGAAGCAGAGGTCTGGACATGGAGAGCAGCCAGTTATCTGGGTCTGTGATGTCACTGTGATTGATAATAACTGTGATGTCATAGACTGTTCAAAAGGTGGCTAGAATGGGCTTGTGGCACGCTGCTGTGATTGGTTAGAACTATTGAGTACTATTTTGCTGTGATTGCTAATGGTGTGTTCACACCAAACACACCGCAGACTCTTGAGGAGCATTTCTTGTGAATTTGCATGAATCGCGTAATTTGTGCTAGATGCGACGGAGAGGTGGCGTGGCTTATCACCCTGAAACAGTTACATTTTCCACAATTGTTTTCCTCCGCATCGACTATGGAAGACATAGTGATTCTCTACCTGTTGTGGAAGTCCTACTCAGATCGGACCGCAAAAAACACTGTTGAGTTTTGGTACTAAATAGCATCCGTAGCCACAAGAACTGCGAATGGATGCCTGCCGCTTCCAATGCTACATGATGCTAGCCGTTAGCCCGTTTGATAGCTTGTTGGCTCTGATCCGGGACTTGATTTCATCGCCTTCAAATCATACTTCTCTGCTGAGGGAACTGTCCCATGGCAAGACACCGTGTGCTCTAGCACATCCAAACAGCTCTTTGAAGAGACACCCACATGTAAACTTCCTGCAATATCACTAAATATTGAGGAGAAGTGTGCGCTTAAATGGACTGTACAGCACTTTTCTAATCTTCTGACCACTCAAAGCGCTTTAACACTACATGTCATTCACACACTGATGACAGCTACCATACACAGAGCCACCTGCCCACCAGTAACCAACATTCACACACTGTAGTCACAGCTACAGGAGCAATGTTAGGGTCAAGTGTCCTGCTCAAGGACAGATGGACATGCAGGGGTTGGGATCGAACCGCCAATCCTGTGATTAGAGGATGACGGTGCTCCCCAAGCACCCACAGTCACCCAGTGTTTTAAGAAATACAGTGATCCTGACTACACTACACTATACTAGATTCAGTGCAGTTGTTGAGCATGATATGACCTTTTAAGGACAAATAACCATTATGGGTTTAGGATTGGAAAAAGGCGACACATAAATCCAAAATGCCTATGTTCTAACCTTATTTATACATATATAGACCCTGAAGGGGATTTTCTCCTTCTTTTAGCTTTTTTGGGGACTTTCCTGAATCGCCAAACTTTCTGGTATTACTCATAGGACAGTTCGACCGGAGAACAGGGAGTAGATGTTGTTGGTGAATTTTAATTGGAGAGACCGTGATGGAGAAGCTGTAGATTAAGATGTGCCTTTTTAACTCAAGGTACCTCTCTCAGCCACGCTAGCCCTTTCTCCAGGTGGAAACTGAACCCGAACTGCCCGTCTGAGTAAAACAAAATAAGGGATCCAATATTAATAAATAGCGTGATGGAACTCGTGTTACACAGTGATGGGATGTTGCAAAAAAAGCACATAATGTTCTATGCTGTTTGTTAAAAATGCGAGGTCTTTCCTGGACTGGTTGCAATATAACGTTCGGTATGAGGAGGTATCGCACTATGGACATACAACTAACGTTACTATTAATCGATCCTCAATGTTTTTGTGATTTGGCAGCTATCTACAGGACATAAGTGACGACAGAGGGAGCATTTTAACACCGATAGGCTACCGCGACGCACCGGTACGCCATTCTGTCGCCAAAGTTGAAATTTAAACTTTTGCGTTTGGTACGTTCGCCCGTTTGACACAAAGTCGCAGATTTGCATCGCTCCAGTGTCATCGCGCCTGTACAAAGACTTTGTACGTAATCCTCTTGCGAAAAATGTGCATTGCGTTTGGTGTGAACGCACCTTGAGCACTACGTAGTACTACCTGCTGTGATTGTTTAGTACTATTGAATACTAATGTGTTCCTATTGGCTAGTTCTACTGATTACTACTATGATCTCATAGTGCTACTAAACACAGCATTATTAAGTTGTACTAGCTACTCACAGAACTTTGATACTCAGTATTATTAGCTACTCACAGCACAGTTATAGTAGTAGTAGTAAAGCACTGGACACGATGGTAATCAGGCCGAGCTGGAACACGCTTGGGTGGTGATGTCATCATGATGTCCCGGTGTGTTTCAGGATTACCACGTTGTGATGCTGCAGGTTAGACGTCATTCTTCTCTAGTTTTATGATCTGGACACAGAGCTGTCGTTTCCCTGCAGCCTTAAACTGTATGCTGCCCAGGCCTTGCGCTCGGACCGCACCATTCAACCTACATACCACAGGTAACCAACACCTAAACACCACAGGTAACCACACCTAAACACCACAGGTAACCAGCACCTAAACACCACAGGTAACCAGCACCTAAACACCACAGGTAACCAACATCTAAACACCACAGGTAACCAACATCTAAACACCACAGGTAACCAACATCTAAACACCACAGGTAACCTACACCTAAACACCACAGGTACCACACACCTAAACACCACAGGTAACCTACACCTAAACACCACAGGTAACACACACCTAAACACCACAGGTAACCAACATCTAAACACCACAGGTAACACACACCTAAACACCACAGGTAACACACACCTAAACACCACAGGTACCACACACCTAAACACCACAGGTAACCTACACCTAAACACCACAGGTAACACACACCTAAACACCACAGGTAACACACACCTAAACACCACAGGTAACACACACCTAAACACCACAGGTAACACACACCTAAACACCACAGGTACCACACACCTAAACACCACAGGTAACCTACACCTAAACACCACAGGTAACACACACCTAAACGCCACAGGTAACCAACACCTAAACGCCACAGGTAACACACACCTAAACGCCACAGGTAACACACACCTAAACGCCACAGGTAACACACACCTAAACGCCACAGGTAACCAACACCTAAACGCCACAGGTAACCAACACCTAAACGCCACAGGTAACCAACACCTAAACGCCACAGGTAACCAACACCTAAACGCCACAGGTAACACACACCTGATCACTACAGGAAACACAACTGTGATCCACAGGTAACTGACTTGAACACCACAGGTAACACACCTGAGATCCACAGGTAACACACACCTGAACACCACCGGTAACAGACAGGAAAAGGCTGGGAACCAGGCCGACATCAGAAAAAAAGGGTGTTGGTAACAACTACCTTTGTCCGTTTTTCAACAGGATGTTGCGAGTTATCCCTGCTGACAGCTTCCTTTTGAACTTTGCATCGGATCGATCGCACATGAAGAAGTCTGACGGATCGTGGGGAATGCCCCCCCCACTCTATCCCCCCATACAAACCACAGGTCCGAGGCCATGTGTGATAATGTTTACTGTAATGTTACCCGTGAGATGACATCCCTGTGTGATGTCATGCCTTTCCTCCTCAGAGTGTCAGATGAACCTAGAAGACTTCATAAGTATGAAACCTGCTGTTGGCTGGGGGGAAGTCTTCAGTCTGGATCACTTCCTGCTACAACACACGGGGGACTCTTCTTCGTCATCTTCATCAGCACTAGCTTCATCATAGTCTTCTACTGCATTGGCTTTTCAATCATCTGCTTCATTATTATAATGGTTATTATTAAGATTAGGATTATTATTATGATAAGTATATTATTAATATCATTATTAGAATCATTATTATTATGATAATGTAATTATTACAATATTATCATTCTAATTATTATTATTATTAGTTATACGATTATCGTATCATATTTCTATTATCACTATTATTATGATTTTTAGTACATTAGTTATAATAGTGTTTCAATGTTATTGGGATTGTTATGTTATAATTATTATTATGGTGAATAGGTGCTGTATGAATAAATTAAGTGTTATCGTGACTACGTAATTGATTCAACATCCGGGAATTACACTGTAGACGTAGAAGGCCGGTGGATTTATGACGTCACACAATCACTGGGGAGACGGTGCTACACGCACGCGCACTCATACTCTGCGGGCTGTTGTTCTCTTTACACTGAAGATGACGGGCGCTTGCACTGCTAACCTCTCCCGGTTCCGTTCACTAGGCTGGGTTAGCTCCGGTTAACCCGGTTTAGCTGAGATTAACCCGGGTTAGCGCTGACTTTCAGCGGAGGAGGACGGGTTAGCTAACTTTAGACGCTTAGCTCTGTTAGCATGTCAGCTCATAGGCTGGCTTTACCAAAATAACGGTTAGCTTGAGAGCTAGCTTTGATATCTTATAGATACCATTGTATTTATGTTCTTAACAGTATATTACTTCGGGGATGTCTCATACCACAGAGCTAACAGCAAGTCACAGCTAGTGTTGACCGGAGCTAACATTAGCTGTTAGCCGGAGCTAGCGGGAGTCTTTGTTTGGAGCCTTGTTGTGATGCAAGAGCATTGTTAGCGTAGTTAGCCGGGCGACTAGAGTAGACGCAGAACAGTTCGTCGATGCTAAGGTAATACAGGACATTCATTGTGTTTTCTGAGCATCGAGGTTGACATGAAGTCAGTGACCTTCGTCGTCTAAGGGCTATAATGGCCCTCAGTCCAGGCTGCAGGCACAGCCTTTCAGTGGTCTACCTGGTCTTGCTGTCAGGTGAGTTCACTACCTCAGCATCAGCTAAATAACATTCAGCATCTGACCTGAGTCACGTTTATGTGACTCAGGTCAAATGTTTATTCATATTTAAACAAAGTAGCGTGTTAATGTTTGCCTGTTAGGACGAGAACGACAATCTCTTAAAGTAGAAGTCAATGTGATTTACATAACCGACTGTAATATATTGTAATGCCTTCCCATGATGCAGAGAGGTCGATGGCTGACTGACTCTATCGCACTATGATTCACTTTAATTAGTGCAGGTCGATCTAACTCATGACTTGAGTTACCTTCAACATGTTTAGAAATGTATTTGTAAAGTTACCATTGAGAGACAGATATGTGTTTGTGTATACAAATGCAATAAAGGTCTGCACATTATACACATGCACACTCAAAATGAGTGTGTTTTCTAGGACTGTCAAAAAAATCATGAAATTCATTAATCACGATTAAAAGTTTGTAAGACAAAATCTTATTAGTAAAAGGCTTTATAAAGTGTGTATTTTAGACACTGTTGTTTACTTGTATTTAAACACAAACCATATGTGATCTTGGAGGGGGAACATGTTGAACCACGACTCTTCCAACTGTCCTGTGCACTTTAGCCGCTGCGTTTCAAGTGCCAACAGTCTCCCCACATTTAGCCAGGACCTTTCAAAACCACTGTCTTTTAGGGACCGTGGTGGTCCTCTGCAGGGTAGATTTTGAGATGCAAGTAGCCTAGGAGATAGTGCCCGGCTGCCTGCAACATGTTGCTGTCAGTCCTAAAGTGCTCCGTTTGCCACCTGTCAGCCTTCTGTTTGACACGTGGAGGAATTCCTCTGCTCAGTTCTGTTTGTTTTACTTCCAATGCAAAAAGCGTCTCCATCTTCAGCTACCGTCTCGCTCTCTGCATCGAACTGACTGCAGCATGGGGCGGTTTCGTTTCTGGGTTCACCGGACACAGGAAGTTAACAAAGTTGTGTTCAACTGCGTTAAAGAATTTTATCGCATTAATCTCGGCCACAATAATCACATAGATTAACGCGGTAATTTTGACAGCTCTATAATTCCTTTTTGATTGAACTTCCTGTTTCTGCTCTTTTTAATTAAATTTTTTGTGTTTATCAGGATGCATTGCTGCGTCTCAGAGGAACGACAACGTCTATGCGTCGGGTATTTCTAACGGTGAGCTGGTAGCGGTGATGTCACATAAGGACGGCATCACACACTATGTCTCACTCCTTGTCTGTCTGTCCAGCCTGTGGAGACGTGGCGGAGCTCCTGCGAGGGTCCAGTGGCGTCATCACCAGTCCCGGTTGGCCTTTTCAGTACCCGACCAGACTCAACTGCAGCTGGAACATCAGAGCGCGACTCGGAGACACCGTCACCCTCAGGTAACGCACATACAGGCTCCATGGTAACACGACGAAATCAGCCTAGCAGTAGCAGATAACTGAGAGAGGTGTTAATGGGGTGAGAAGCTAGCAGACGTCCGTTTAACTTCACTTCTTTCTCTTCTCGTAGTTTCCAAGACTTTGACCTGCAGGGTTCCCACCGTTGCTCTGCGGACTGGATGTCCATCAGCAACTACAAGAGCCTGGACGGGCTCCGGGTTTGTGGTTCCTCCCTGCCGCCCCCTTACATCTCCTCCCAGGACCACGTCTGGATCCACTTCCACTCTGACGACAGTCTGACAGGGAAAGGCTTCCGACTGTCCTACATTACTGGTGAGGATCTTTTAGCTGCTGAAGCGTGAATGGAGGAGGTTCCTCCCCAGGTTCACAGACTGATATCTATCCAGATGCAGTGGGGTCAGAACATCCAGATCTGGACTTTGGTTCTCAGATTCTCTTGGTTGGTGTTTAGCCCCTGAGCTGGGGAGTTTCAAAGCTCTAAAGCAGAAGATAGCAAGAGAATCTTAATCAGTTTTACGGCGATGTTACCACATTACCAGATCAGTCATTGAGAAATCGATCAATAACCAATAATATCCTGCTTTAGGTAAACCAGAGGCCTCCAGCTGTGATGTGGACCAGTTCCACTGCTCAAATGGGAAGTGTGTCCCAGACTGGTGGCGCTGTAACTCTATGGACGAGTGTGGAGACAATTCTGATGAGGATCTGTGTGTGGAGTCTCCGTTTTCCTTCCAGCCCTGCAGTCTGAACCAGTTCCCCTGCCTTTCCCGGTACACCCGGATCTACACCTGTCTGCCCCACAGCCTGAGGTGTGACGGCAGCATTGACTGCCAGGTAACAAGCCAGTTCACCCAGTCCGACACCAGGCCCCTGGTTCCCTCCTCCAGTGTCTGGCTTTACCTGAATCCTCACAGTCCTGGGTCAGAAGTTTGATTGTGATCAATACTGATAGGGGAATCAATATAAACAACATACCAGCTGAAATGTAAAGCCGGTTCTTTCCAGTAGCGATGCCATGTGTCCCAGCCTCAGCTTCACACCTGGATCTATCTGTGACTTTGTATGGTACCGGCTTCTCTGCTAAATCATTTGATCTAGTTCCTGTTTGTTTTGACAGGACCTCGGAGATGAAATTGACTGCGACGTTCCTACTTGTGGAGAACTGTTAAGGAACTTCTACGGCTCCTTCAGCTCTCCAAACTACCCTGACTTTTATCCTCCTGGAAGTAACTGCACCTGGCTGATTGACACGGGAGACCACAGGAAGGTAACCTCTGACCTCCTTCATCTGAGAGAAAGCTCTCTGCTCACTGATCAAAGAAGCTTTCGTCATGGTCTTTGTTGTCCTCTCCTCGCAGGTCATCCTGAGGTTTACTGACTTTAAACTTGATGGGACGGGTTACGGGGACTACGTGAAGGTCTATGACGGCTTGGAGGAGAACCCTCGCCGTCTCCTCCGGGTGCTGACCGCCTTCGACTCCAGAGCGCCTGTCGCTGTGGTGGCATCGTCCGGTCAACTCCGAATTCACTTCTATGCTGACAAGATCAATGCAGCCAGAGGGTTCAATGTCACCTACCAGGTGTGTTTCTGTTCCCTGAAGGCTTCAGTGGAGTAGGGCTGCAACAACGAATGGCTAAAATTCGATTATTTAACAAATGTCATGTTGTGTGGTGCGACTATTATTTACGACCCTCAATGTTTGAGTATAAAAACAAGTTCCGTTGAGCGCGGAGCAGAGAGTATAATATCGCTACCGAACCTTTTTTCGTCTCCCGACTGCACGGCAAAAAACCCCTTGTGTGACGCTTGGGGAATGTGTCAAGAGGGACAATCGCATATAATTAGAGAGAATCCGGTCATTTTTCAAAATAAAATGACAGGATTCCGGAAAACATAAAACCTGCAGGCAACAAGTCTGACATTCAAACAAATCAAATCAAAAAAATGATTTGTATTTTTGTTTATTTTTTATAAATGATTCATTGGCATTCAACAGCACGGGTCCCTTTTAAACAATATACATCTACATACATAATATACATCTTTTTGTGCACTTTATTTAAAAAACGCCTACATATTTGGCATTAGTCGTTAGTCCATTTCTTAATGCACGCTGAAGAGTTCTGTTTTTCAATAAAAGGTTGGAACTGAATGCTTTTTAAAATCTTTTTTTTTTTTTAATTAATTGACAGATTAAAATAATTGTTAGTTGCAGCCCGAGTTTGGATGGGTTCTCTGGTTTCAGTAAGGCTCTCTGGTTTCTGAAGGTGCCCAGGTTCACCTTGGTTCAGTTTAACCTGGAGACCGAACACGTTAACTGGTTCTGTGTCCTTAGGTACTTTAGGTGGACAGATTCTGTTTAACTGATTCTGTGTCTCTGGGTTCTTCAGGTGGACGGGTTCTGCCTACCGTGGGAGGTTCCGTGTGGGGGTAACTGGGGCTGTTACACCGAGCCGCAGCGATGTGATGGGTTCTGGCATTGTCCCAATGGTCGCGATGAGCAGAACTGTTCTGTCTGTCAAGAGGATGAGTTCCCCTGTTCTAGGAACGGAGCCTGTTACCCTCGATCGGACCGCTGCAACTATCAGAACCGCTGCCCCAACGGCTCTGACGAGAAGAACTGCTTCTTCTCCCAACCCAGTAACTTCCAAACAAGGTACCACCAACCCCTCAGCCGTGTGGGTGTGCGTGTGTGTGTGTGCGTGTGTGTGTGTGTGTGTGTGTGTGTGTGTGTGTGTGTGTGTGTGTGTGTGTGTGTGTGTGTGTGTGTGTGTGTGTGTGTGTGTACACCCCTGTTAAAGTGCCAGGTTTTAGAAAAACAAAGACTACTAATCCAACCTTTTTCCACCTTTCAATGTGACCTTTAACTCGGCGTTTCTTTGCTGGATGAAAAAAGACGCATGTGGCGTATTTCGATGTGACAGATAAACCCGAAAAAATACGATTAGCATGAAAACATACATCCATATAAGGCAGAGGGGGCTTGGCGCATGAGAATCACCTGACTCACCTGAGTCAGGAATTGACATCAGCACCCGCCAACTCGCCAAATCCGGGTGGAATTCGGCTGTGGCGAGTAAAGCATCTCTCTCTCACGAGCCACTTTAGCGGGTGTAATTATCTCTCTATGTTGTTTATTGTAGTATAACAGCGGTTATTAACGTGTCATGATTACGTCATCTCGCTCACACGGTGCAGCGGTGGTTCTTGTGCACCGACTACGGACCGTGACGACTATTTTACGCTTCGGGCGAGTTTGCATGTGCGCTTCCTTAGTTCAGCTCAGCTGTCTACCTTTAGCTGACTGTTAGCAGGCTGAAGCCGCGCTGCTTCAGAGACAGGTGTGCTCGGAGAGGACCCGTTTAACCGACTGTCGGCCAGCAGAGATCCACGCGGACCTTTCTGCTGTTCTCTGGCGACGGCAGGCAGCGTTTCCTCGGTGGATGAGACGCTCCGTTACAAACACGTCTAACATAATAAACCCGCTGCAGGTTCTGAAGCCTCACGCATTGACCGGGACACAACTATAGTACACGCCACATGGTGAGAAGACGGTGTTAACCTACCAGTGGTTATTTCTGTTCCTGTTGCCTTTCTATCATCTGGAACCAGTCTGCCCGTCCTCCTCTGACCTCACATCTACGAGGCACTTTTGTCCACACAACTGCTGCTCTCTGGGTATTTATTTTCTTGCTGGTCATGTTGTTCAGAAGAAGAGAAGTTCTTCATCATCTGAAAATGTAAATGACCTTGTGTATCTTGGCAACTGGCTCGGTGCAGAGGGACAGGACAATGTAAAGTTGGAGGAATGGATAAAAAAAAGTGCATTTAGTCATTGCATAACTGCTCAACCTGCATTTCTGAAAAAACTTTTTTTCTTTGGCCGAGATGCAAAACAACTAAAAACAGCCTTTTTTATGCTGGACCACTTTCCCTCACTAACAGGGACCCTTACTACTGACATGCTGCTCCCTGATAAAAGTGATTCTTCTGGCACCTTTTATTGGGACATTGCTTAAAAATAAAAGCGTGCAATACCCTAGTTTTTAATGTATTATTGAATTTTGCACATAATGCAATTAATTGCTGCTAATAACCGAAAATAATGTGATTAATCAAGTTAAAGGACTAATATACTAATATATACATAAGCGTATGTATATGTCCGTATACAATGACTGCGGTGGTCTGTAAGCGGGTCGGCACTGAGTTATGGAAGCCAGATTACCTGATTGTTGTTGTTTAGCGTCCTTTTGGGGCTACGCTAGCTCTCGCAAACGATTGTAACATTATTGACGACAAAGTCCGGCCTCTCGGACCTTATTGCTTAATTATTGCACAGCGGCCAATTATGTTTGTCAGTCAGCAACAATTAAAAACACTGCTGGATATGAAGGCAAATGACTTGTAGTCGCCATTCATTCAAACGCACATCAATTTCCCAAAATAGTGTCTGACTCACCAATCGGATAAAATCCATCCGCCGTACCAGACATCGGTCACAACGTTGTAAAACTCGTCAGATCCGTGATATTGGCGAACACCGCCGTCTTTTTGACTTTGATTCCGCTGACAACGTGTAGTGACGTCAGCTGCGCAAATGTCCAATAACATCTCCATTTTTAATTGGTCCATGTTTCATACGTAGCGTAGATGATTACTTGCATAACCTATTTATGTGCAAAGGCACAGCAGAGTTGTGCTTTTTGACGCACATGTTTTAGAATACAGGATCGATGGCTTTTTCTCTCGTTGTCCGCAATGAACGGACGGTAAAAGCACTGCTTATTCTGCTATTTCTTTGTATTTGATTATGCGGAACATCGTAACGTCTAAACAATTGGAATAACGCACATATTTCATATATATTTATAGGAATAAACAGTAAAAATACATATACAAGTTTATTATATAAAATGATTTAATAAACATTTAGAATTTTGGCTGCCTACCCTGCACGTAACTGTCTGTATATCTATATATGCTGAGGAAAGGTATTTGACCTCTGAACCCCACCCCTGCAGAATAACCGCTGCGTCTTTGAGTCGTGGGTGTGCGATGCTCAGGACGATTGTGGCGATGGCAGTGATGAGGAGAGTTGTCCCGTCATTGTTCCGACCAGAGTCATCACCGCCGCCGTCATCGGCAGTCTCATCTGTGGGCTTCTGTTGGTCATCGCCCTCGGCTGCACCTGCAAACTGTACTCGCTTCGCATGTTTGAGCGCAGGTAAGACCAACCCTCTGATTGGTCTCTGCTTCTGTGAATCCTGTGTGTTATTGGCCGATGCGAGCTGCCTGAATCGAGCCGTGTGATTGGCCTTTCCAGGTCATTTGAGACCCAGCTGTCCAGAGTGGAAGCAGAGCTGCTGCGGAGGGAAGCCCCGCCCTCTTATGGTCAACTGATCGCCCAGGGACTGATCCCTCCTGTGGAAGATTTCCCAGTGTGCTCTGGGAGCCAGGTACAGGACGCTGTCCTTGGAGCAGATCCATCCAGTCTCTCCTAAAAAGATAAACTTGTGTTCTACTCTCCGTCCTCAGGCCTCCGTCCTGGAGAACCTCCGTCTGGCTGTCCGCTCTCAGCTTGGCTTCACCTCTCTGAGACTCCCCTCCTCTGGTCGTCATAGCAACCTGTGGCGTCGTCTCTTCAACTTCTCACGGTCTCGACGGTCAGGTTCTCTGGCTCTGGTGTCTGCTGACCTGGAGGACAGCGCCGGCACGGGGAGTTTAAGTTCAGACCTGCTGTCTCCGGACTCGGACGACACAGACAACGAGGGCGAGCGAGGCAGGGCGCGAGGCTTCGGCGCAGTGGGCGGGCCTGTCGCCCCCATTCCCCAAAAAATCCCACCCTCCACAGCCGTGGAGGCTGTGGTATTTGTGACTACCTCTGTAACCCCGACACCGACCTGTGGGCGAGGACGTGACAGCCACAGAGAAATTACCCCCCCCTCCATTCCCGTCCCCGTATTAACTCCCAGCGCTGATCCTGATTGTCACAGCAACGCCTCAGAGCTCCAGGCTCCGCCCACCTCTGCCCTGCAGCGACTGGCTCAGAACTTGCACCGCTTCGCCAGAAACTTGACCAGAACCAGCCTCAACCGGCGTGACCAGACCTGGACCAATCACAGTCCACTTCACCAGCTGGAGACTGGGACAAGTGGGGTCGAGGTCGCAGAGCAGCGAGAAAACCGAGGAGAAGAAGAAGAAGAAGACGTGGAGCTCCTGATTCCCGTCTCGGACTCTGAATCCTCCTCCTCCCTGGTCAGTGACATCCGACAGCCTCTGCTAGAATCATACCCCTCCTCTACCACAGGCCACGCCCCCCACCATCACCGCGCAAACCGCTCTCGAGGAGGCCGGGACGGCCCCTGTGAACACTGTGGGATGGTACACACGGCTCAAATCCCCGACGCCTGTCTGGAAGCCACAGGAAAGACCGAGAGCAGCGACGACGAGCTACTGCTGCTGTGCTAACAAGCTGGCTGTCAGGCTAATACTGCATACGCTACCCTGATCCTACACCTACAGTTGGCTAACATGCTAACTGATGGGCTGATGGCCTTTTCACAAAAAGAAAATGCTGAATCTTCAGATTTTTCCAATATTGTAAGGTTCGTTGCGTTCATATACATTTGGTATATTCCACTGAAATTCAGGGTGCAAGTATCTCTAGAAACGTAACAAAGTTATGTCATTTCCTTTTGAAGCATGTTATTGTCACTAGTGTATCATTTAGAATCTAGACTGAATCACGTGTTTATTATGGAATTCATGTTCAGTTAATAATAGTCGGCTTATGATTTATCTCCATGGATTTGGAGGCAGAAGGAAAACATTGCACTGCAAAATACTAAAGATTTGGCTCTGATGTGGATATGCTCCTAAATACTAATACTGTCCAATACCTATTCGCTTCACGAGCTTTCTCCCACTTGGACGAAAAGCTAGTAGCATACTGATGCTTTACGTAGCTAACACTTTGCCTGGGCTACAACTACACCTGTTAGTAATGGTGGCTGTATTCCACGTTCGCTCTGTCAGATGTCAGAGATGATTGGACCAATCACAGACCGAGAGGAGAGATGTCACTGATTGGTCCTTATATCGATAGTGATGAAAACCCAACACTTCTTCATTCTCCTTGTCGCTGCAGGCGCACTTCCTGCTCATTGGTACGGCTGTAAATTGATAGGGTTGATAATTGACAGATTAAGTTGACCTGTTGGGACTGAAACCGCTGCAATAGTTTAGATGGTTATGGTGAGGGGGAAGGTTAGGGTTCAGGGTTTCACCAGGGTACAGTAGCGTGTACAGTTCTCTAAAGGCGACGTCTTGGATCGTTCTGGAAAGTCACTGTTCTGGTTCAAGAGTTGATCCGACATTGTTTGAGTTTGAGAACTGTTGAGAACAAACCGGACCAGTCCTTCAGAACCACTGCTGAGTGATCAAGACCAGATCAGCACAACCAGATGTATGAAGTGTCATCAAAGTCCTGAATATTTAAGTCAGATTTTATGATAGTCCCTTCGTCCTATTGCTCCTCCCCATGTTGCACTTCCCCTAACGCTGGGACTCCAGCCCTTCAAACTGACCTGTCTGTATTTATGATCTCTGTTACAGTTTTTGGTACTCGGATCAGCTGACCTTGTGTGAGTGTGTATATTTATTATTAGTGATATGATGGTTATTGTGTTAAAGGAGAACTTCACTCCTCAATGAGCATCATCACTATGAATTCCCTTCCTCCACCTGTGTTGGTCGGGTTCTAGTGATGCACTGACAAGTCACATGGAAAAACTCCTTAATGAACTGTGTTCCGTCAGAGCAAAGCAAGACGTGATCAGATATTTCAAATTGACAATGAAACAAGTGGTGCTGTATTATGAAGATGCTACTGTACACCATTAACAAACACCAAATAGTTATTTTCTCTTCTCACAAAATTGCAACAAATACAAAAGGAAGGTAATATCACTTTAATATTGGAATATATTTAACAGGTAATTCATACTTGTTACCCTCCCTCAGCTGTTTGACTGAGAGAACAAGAGCCACTGAAGGTAACGCAGACAATTCTATATATATATATATATATATAGACTGTGTATATTTATACATATCATGGTCATTGTAGGTGTGAAGTTTTACCTTTCCTTTTTGTTGAGCTGATTTTCTGACCTGCATGATTCAAGTTGTCGTGTGTTTCTTTGTGTCTGTGAAGCTGGAAACTGTTTAACTGCACTTAAGATTAAAGGTTAAAAATTCATCTGTCTGTTTTCAATAACCTCAGAAACACGGAGACTGGGGCCGTTCCGCGCACGTGGCTAACTAAGTTAGCTGGATAACTTTCAGGATGAGATGACGTAGTTCAGGCTTTTCGGTTTGTCTAAATCACCACAGCAACACATCGATAAACTTGAACCTGCTACGGCGCAGGAGCAGGTTCTGAGCTCCTGGATTAGTTCATCACTCCCCGGAATAAAAGGGCAGCTCACTTTCTTATTGATGAAGGATCGATATCAGTTAGATCAACGTTTTATAAGGAGAGACTTCTCCGAGATCACAAAGACCCGTTATGACGTCACGATGACGTCCTGTACGAGCGCTGAAGACGGAAATCATTTATTTACAAGAAGATGTTCCCGAGCCAAAACGTCACGTGATGAACACCACACGCTGCAGCCGAGCGTCCACTGTCCCGCAGACTGTCTCACACACTGTCCCACGGACTGTCTCACACACTGTCCCGCAGACTGTCTCACACACTGTCCCTCAGACTGTCTCACACACTGTCCCACGGACTGTCTCACACACTGTCTCATACTGTCCACGTCTGTACAGTGTTGCGATGCAGAGAACGTCTGGAAAGCCGCTGCATGTCGTGCTCTTCGTAAAGTTCTGTCGGTTTATTTGATGAGACACATCGGCAGTGCAGGCAAAACACTCCTTTGACACCTTTACTCGGTTGATGCAAATTAATACCTATACGCATAGTGATAAAACACTTTGACCAACTACCTCAATCTGAGCAAACCAGTGGTGGAATGTAACAAGGTACCTCAATGCTATTTACATTCTCTGATACTACTCTACACGTCAGAGTAAACTATTCATGAAGATGTGATACTATCGGTAAACTACCAGCAGTATATACAGTCACGTGATGGGTGCATCAATAATTATAACAAATGCTATATACTCCCCTTCACACTGCACATGTCACTTTAACTGTAATTTTTCACTTTGTCGTCACTCGTCACTTTGTCACTTGTTCGCTAGTGCACTTTATGCTTAATATTTTTTAAACTTCTTAAACTTTTTTAATATTTTAAATTTTTAACTAACTTTATTCTCTTGTTTTATACTAACCCATAGCCTTATTCTACTAACCCATTGCATTAGCATTTCATTTTACTTTATGTTATTACTTCTTGTTGTCTATTGTTACACTGTCTACTGTCACGCGCCAACCGCCAGGACAAATTCCTTGTATGTTTGACATATTTTGGCAATAAATGTTTCCTCATTCCTGATTCCTGATATTGTTCTGCATAGTTAGTACTTTTACTTTTAATTTAAGTATAAAGTAAAATTTAGTATGATGCACTTTTTCGTTATTAGCTTGCGTTGACTGGTTTGTTGTCAATAAAGATAGTTTGTGTTGCTAGGATACGGCTAACTGTCTGTTGCTAGAATACAGCTAATCTCCCACCGGGGATCCGTGAGTTTGATTCCGTTATCAAGTAAGTATTCTGTCCGACCGTCGTTTAGTCCATGTTTTGTTAGTCGATGTTGCGACAGACAGTCGGTATATTTTCATGTTATTAGGTCGTTATCATCTTCTGTTATCATCTTGGACGGATATTGTTTTGACTATTGTGTGTTCTGACCAGTGCTCGAAGTGGGCCGCCGGTACTTACTCATTCGAAAACGTTGTCTAGACAACATCAGCTGATGCCTGTAAAACTGATGTCTCGCTTCTGTTTTCAAACCTTCGTCTTCGTCGACGCACTCGTTTCAATTCATGCTTCTAAAAGTCGTGCGTGTGTTGCAGAGCGATTCACCTCCAGAACAACAGGCGGAGTTTTGTTGAAGACGACCTAGAGAGTCACGTCTATGTATTTATTTATTTGTTTATTTATGTATCATAGACTTTATTGCCCCGTGCGTCCACACTGCTCCTTTAATCGCGGACACATTTGTCTCGTATTTTCCTCCACGACTTTGTTCCTCTCGACCGGCAAACCGGCGTTTGCGGCGATCTCCCTCCGTGAATCCAACCCGCTTCTACAACGACAATGACGGCTTGTATAAGCGCTCATATTTACGCATTTCTTCCCACAAAAGCTCTTCAATCTGCTCCGTTCTCTCGTAAACATTCTTCGTGTTAATAATGGCGGTATCGGGCTTTAAGCGGAGATGTGAGACTCCGTAAAGGACGTAATTAGCGGACCGATCGCAGCCTGGTGCGCTGCGGGAGGCTTGCGTTGCTTGCGTCGCTTAGAAAAATGTCTCGACACACGCAAGGAGGCGAGGAGGTGTGCAAAGGGCGTCGCTCTGAAAACGCAGAAGCATAAACTAGGCTTAACCCTAATCCTCCCCAAGCTTTGTTTTTCACTGTAGAAATCTCAAATGTCATAATGATTTGCCAATGCAAGAGAGTACCGGCACCTTTTTTTCCCACTTACAGCACTGGTTTTGACTGTTGAGTCAGTGCTCTCCATTGTATCAACGCTGAGCAGTGGGATGGAGATTGTCCATGTGTACACGAAGCTCCACAGTGAGTTTGGCCGGCAGTGTCTCTTCTCTGACCGCCCTGCAGAGCTGTTGGTCGATGTTCCCGCAGACCAGAGTTTGGCTTCACAGTTTACACAGAGAACCCGCCGAGACCAGAGCCTGCAGGCCTCCCGGGACATGTCGGAGCACCGGGTGAGCTTCCCCACACCTAGTCCAGGGTTTTGACCGTGTTCTGATTATGGCCTCCCTATTACATGAAAATATCCCATTCATCATCTTATTGATGATTAATACTGCTCCATGGTTTTCTAAAGGCAAGGCTGTGAGCTCCATTGCTTGTTATAGTAATTGTAACGGTTGATGGTATGTCCTACATTTTTTCCCTTCCTTTCTTTCCTTATCTTTCTCTTAGGCTTACCGTGTCTCCCTGGTCTTTCTCTTGTCTCTCCCTTGTCCCCTTGTCTTTTCCTTATCTTTCCATTATCTTTCAGTTGTCTTCCCCTTGTCTTTCTTTTGTTGTTGCTCCTTGTGTTTCCCTTGTGTCATGAATATGGAGATGAACCCTTCTAAAATTGACAATTTTTTCTGCAGGTGAACACCAAGCGCTTTGAGTCTGAGAGCTGTGGTCTAAACCACGAGGAAGGGGGGTGGCCCAAAGACGTGAACCATCAGGTGATGGAACAAACCATCCGCTTCAGGAAGAAGGTGGAGAAAGATGAGAGCTACATCAACAGCATCCTGCAGCTGGGCAGCGTAAGTTCCCCAAACCACATCAACCTACTTTCACTTGTCAGTCTAAATTCATGTTTCCTCAGTTCAAATTGACCCACTTCACCATCTCTCAGTTCTTATGGAACCATTTCCCCTTCTTTAACCCACTTCTCTTAATCCACACTGACCTTTGTTACCGTCTCTCAATCCACATGGACCCACTTTCCCTTTCATCAGTCCACATCAACCCACTTCACTTTTTCTCAGTCCGCATTTGTGGTGACTACAATCCGGTAGAGTCACGTGAGGCTAAGTACGGGAGATTGGTGTGTGGACTCGTTCCAAACAGACGCAGATTCCTCCTGTGAAGTTGATTGATTTTATTGTCCGAACGTCAAGTTAAAAAACATCCAAGCAGGCGAAGCGATACATGCTGTGCGACGATGCAATAAAGTGCGCTGTAGGATACGGTCAACAAAAAGTATCGTCTCCCGACTCACCCCCATGTCCATACAACCATCACTCCGCCTAGATGCCTACACTCATTCATAAACCACTGCACCCCTGCCCACGTGACTCTGATGCTAATTACATTTCAAAATAAAAGTACCAACACTCACACACAGGAAGTGGCAGACGGCCGCTACAGCATTGATCTACTTCACATTTCCTATGGACCCACTTCACCTTCTGTCAGTCCACATGGACTCACTTTATTTTTCCTCAGTCCACATGGAACTGGGTCCAGTGGGGTGATCACTAGTCTTATGTGCTCCAGGTCATGGAGCACTGCATCAGACAGAACAATGCTGTGGACATCTACCAGGACTGCTTTGAGGACGGGGAGATGCCGGAGGAACATCAGGAGCCGCCGTCTGCCAAGACCATCAACGTCTTCAGGTACAGCTCAAGACTTCCGACAATGTGTGTGTGTGTGTGTAACTATGGGTGAACGTACTGTGGCAACCAACGGGTGTGGGTGGAATCACCGGACTCAGATACACGTCTAGTTGCACACGAAAAGGGTAAGATTTATTGCATTGTACAAAGTAACGAAAAAAGGGAAAATTAGGTTCTTCCTCTTTTGAGGGTGCGGTTCAGTGGGTTCGTTCGGCCTTCAGTCTCCTTCCTGCAGGAAGCACAAAAAACAGGCTTTAACACTCATGCAAACAAACCTCGTCGTGAAGCCAGCTTTTACTCACGTCTTGTCTCTTGGGCTGTTGGACTGGTTGGTCTTTTATAGTGTGGCCAACCTCGTTGTCTCCTGAGGGGATGTAAGAATACGTGTTCAAGAATTGGAGCTTGGTCGGGGTTATCAAAAATTCAGCCGAACAACTTCTCTCGTTCTGGGAGATTTATTTGTCAGATCACAGGTCAAGTATCAGCGCTGCGTTTGCAAATGCAGGAGCAGTTCAGGCAGCACACAGGCCGGAAGAACAACTAACATCAGCAAGAACATCATGTTTTATAACCCTTGAAAGACAGAGAAGGAAAGATTTCTATTGGCTCTAAACTGGCGTGGAGGAGGACCTTCCACCTCCCGCATCTAAAGATCCGGTCACATCCAATGTCTGGACTCCTGACTTAACGTAAACATCAACGAACAGAGTGTGAATGTTGAATAGTGTTGGTGTGTCTCTAAACCCCCCTTAGGCTGGTAAATCTGCTAGTTGACCTGCAGATCTTACATTCCTCAGCCAGGACAGAAACTGACTCCCCATCCTGTCAGACTCGTGTCTGCCTGCTCGGCACATCCTGCTTCCCCCCTTACCTAACTCTTAAATCAAGACAAGACAGCGAACCCCCAACTAAGCCCATGAAAAGAACTTTTCATTATAAGGGGCGGGGTGTTTCCCCTTTTGGTCACCTGACCTCTTGTTCGTGGGTGCCCCTGCCCCTGGTGCTGCTCTCTTGATGCGCTGTCCAGAGTGCTGCGCCCATGGGTTGCCACAGTACGCAGTACATTGCATGCTATATATATTTGGGGCCGGGCTAAACGTTTATTGATAACCAAAGTTATTGATAACCTGCATCACTGAACGTGTCTTTTTTTTAATGACTCCAATCATATCATAGGAAGGTGCCTTCAGATTTAGCGACCTGCCGTTCATATCTTAGGATGGTGGTGACATATCTTGGGTCACAGGATGATGGGAGGCATGGCAATGCTAAAGTAATAGTGGGACGTATGTATCGACCACCCATGCTAAATAAAACGAGAACCCATTTTCCAGTGACGGCTAATGGTCGAGCGAACAGTTTGGCCGGACAAGGAGGAGGGGGGGTAATAGTCAGTCCTCTGGTGCTCTCTGCCCGCTGGCTTCCGTCGCTTATCAAAACATTGTCCAAATGATCCGTTTCAGACTTCATGAGCAAATACAGAATCCCTTGGTGTTCATTTCTAAAGCCTCGCATTAAGACACACATCACTTTATTTAAGACACTGCGCTACTTGCAAGTCGCTGTGATCTGCTAGATTCTCAATAAAGTTGCCAGACTTTTCTGCTAGATTCTAAAGAAAACATTTAAAAACAAAACAAAAAAAGATGCAGACACATGTTAATATTCCCTCCTCACATCCCTGTTACTCTAAGCAGAATGATGGTACCAGTGTTGCAAACACATTTTCCGGCAAAGTTGCTAGAGGCAGGTCTATTTGTTTCTAGAAGTTTCAAAATGACTCCTCATCATCATTGTTGTTCTGCAGAGATCCTAACGAGCTAAAGCGTACAGTCACTGGCCTGTCGTGGCATCCGGATGGTGGGGAGAAGCTGGCGGCCGCCTATTCCTGTCTTGAGTTCCAGAAAACCTCTAGAGACATGAGCCTGGACTCCTACATCTGGGACATCGGTTGGTGACACAGCACAGACAGCAGTTGAATTCACAGAGTCCAGAGTTCACAGATGGACTCATGGTTTATTTCAGAAAATCCAAACAGACCAGAGTTGAGTCTGAAGCCGGCATCTCCACTGGTGTGTCTGGAGTACAACCCCAAAGACTGCCACTCTCTAGTGGGAGGCAGCTACAACGGACAGATCGGTGAGTCTAGGTGAATACGGACATTAATTGGTCACTCAGGAGTTCAATCATCTCTTGGTGTGCTTGTTTTAGCGTACTGGGACAGTCGGAGAGGCAGCCAGCCAGTGGAGACATCCTCTGTGGAGCATAGTCACAGAGACCCGGTCTACAAGATCATCTGGCTCCAGTCCAAGACGGGGACAGACACTTTCTCTGCATCTACTGATGGACAGGTGGAGTGATGAAGGACAAGTAGACTAATGAAAGACACGTAGACTAACAAAGGAAAGTTGGAGTTATGAAAGATAGGTAGACTGATGAAAGACGGGTGGATTGATGAAAGACAGGTAGACTGATGAAAGACCGGTGGATTGATGAAAGACAGGTAGACTGATGAAAGACCGGTAGACTGAAAAAGGACAGTTATAATGACCCACAGCTAAAATTCCCTCCTCTGTCCTTCAGGTTCTTTGGTGGGACGTCCGTAAATTAAGTGAGCCGACAGAGCGTCTGGTTCTGGACCCGAGCAGGGAGGGCAACCCTGAGCGAGCTTTAGGAGCCATTTCTCTGGATTTTGAGTCTACTATGGTGAGACTTGGTGATGGACACCCCCCCGTGGTGGCTGGTGGAAGGACAATCGAATCAATTTCAGCAAACATCCCAGGTCTATTCAAAAACACTGCAGAGTAGTCCCTTTAGACCAGGGTGTCCACACTTTTTTTTCACATACAGAAAAATATACAGGTAAATTATAGCTAAATTACAATTACGTTTTACAATTGAACATGTTTGAAGTAAAAAAAGCCTCCATTGGTAGATTTTCATTTTATTTTTTATAGAAAGGTTGGCAGGGCAGCACGGTGGTGTGGTGGTCATCACTGTCGCCTCATAGCAAGACGGTCCTGGATTCTCTCCGGGTACCTCGGCTTTCTCCCACAGTCCAAAGACATGCTAAATTGCCCGTAGGTGTGTGGTTGTGAGTGTGAATGGTTGTTTGTGTCTGTGTTAGCCCTGCGGTTAGCTGGCAACCAATCCAGGGCGTACGGGCCGGCTCTAGCCAATTGTATTATACTGTACATTTACAGTATATATTTGATACATGTACCACAGGCAATATAATGGTCTCAGAACATTTTCATTTTTAGTAACTTTGGAACTTCACAAACTCCAACAAAAAATGAATTAGCTATCTGGCTTTATATGTCCCTTGTTCATACATTCGGCCCTGTCCCTGCCAAATAAATACAAATACGATTTAAAAGATCCATTAGGCTGTAGTGTAGAATCAGGGCGGGTTGTTTCTGCTCCTCCTTCACCGGAAGGCAAATACATACAATTGATGTTCATCTTTTAATACAGATACATTATGGCAACAGGCAATACAATGACTGACTTTTTTTCTCTTGTTTATATTTTGAGATTCATCACTGATCTCGGGAGTCATAATACAACACGCAGTAAATACATCAAAGTCATCATCTATAGCAACAGTAGCATTTTCTTTTAAGAAGATCAGTGGTGTTTAATGGAGCAAACACTTATTCAAACATTTGAATTAGGCATTAGGTGTAAATAAATCAAATAAAAATAATCATGTTTTTTAAGCTTTTAAGTGTAAAGTAAAATAAAGATTATCAAATAGACTTACCTGCTGCATGCTCTGTGTTTCACTGGCTGCTGTGCTAGGTGTGCCAGGTGTGAACTTAGATGTCTCTTTACCTGCAGCTGTATTTAAGCAGAGTATAACCAGATCAGTCAATTTTAAAATTTAAAATTATATTAGCATTCCATAATAATAATTTTAAAATTAGAAAATTATATTAGCATTCCATAATAATAATTTTAAAATTTAAAATTATATTAGCATTCCATAACACCACTCATCACCATTACACATTTATTCACATTCACATGTATCTATATTACCGTAAATACATTCCACACAACATATTGTGTGGAATGCCTGCAGCAGATTGTACATTAAGATACCATTTGTCAGCAAAATCCTTCAGTAAAAATATTAATAGGGTCCATCCATTGTCAAACCGCTTATCCTGCACACAGGGTCGCGGGGGGGCTGGAGTCCATCCCAGCCAACTTCGGGCGAGAGACAGGGTACATCCTGGATTGGTCGCCAGCCAATCGCAGGGCAACACAGAGACATACAACCATTCACACAACTACGGGCAATTTAGAGTCACCAATTGACCTGATCCCCAGAGCATGTCTTTGGACTGTGGGAGGAAGCCGGAGAACCCGGAGAGAACCCACGCAGACACGGGGAGAACATGCAGACTCCACACAGAAAGGCCACTGGGCGGAATCGAACCCAGGACCTTCTTGCTGTGAGGCAACAGTGCTAACCACCACACCACCGTGCCGCCCTATTAATAGGGTTATTTTATTTATATAGCGCTTTACATGGTACTCAAAGACACTTTAAAGTAAAACCAACACAGATATAGCACAAACAGATAAACAATAAAACAAGCATAATAAATGCAATTAAAAACAATTAAACCAGTTACTGGAAAAAAGCTGAGAAATGTTTAAAATTGTAAAACTATATGTGGAAAGCTAATCTGAAGAGAATAGCTCGACATTAACGATTTGAGGCACTTGTCATTTGGACAAGCATGTACTGATGCACAAAAGTCCGGGTACAGCTTAATCATTTAAATTTATATTAAAATGGGGGGAGGTTTCCTGACAACGAAGATAAGCTGTATTATTATACAATATATAAGTAACAATTGAGCTGTTTGTAAACACGTTTAGAAGATTTAAACCTAAATTAAACCGATATAAATGATGCTAATAACGGCTTGCTTGCTAGGTACAAAGCTACTGGCGCTAGCTAACGCAGAGCTGCCAACTCTCACGGTTTTGCCGTGACGCTTCTGCGTGTTTTCACACGCCACACATCCAATTTCTCACGCAAAAAAAACAACTGACCCGACGGTAGCCCCCCCCCCGTCGACCGTATGGTCATCTGACAAAATCTCACTCCAAGGTTTTTTGAAAAGTTGGCAGCTCTGCTAACGTCACTTATGAAAAACGCTATCAAACATCACTTGGTAAAATACAATCGGTATAATAGACGTAATAAGTGTCCCGGACAAGCCTTAATGCGGAGCCCTGAAGAGGTGTATTTTGATGCAGCCACAGCTTTCTTTCTCACGGCACCGTCACTGTGCTGGACGGCTCCTTAAGGCTTAACGCAGTTTGGCTAACGAGGCCAACACCAGCCCACAACCAGAGTGTTAATCTAAAGCATCGACGTGTGACATGAAACACATATAAAATGGAATTTCAACATATGACAGGGGCGCCATGTTTATTTGGTTTAACGATGGTTTTATTTAATTTTATTTCGTTAATCGATGTTGAGAAACCAAGGTTGTTTTTAAATGTGCTATATAAATAAAATTGAACTTGAACTTGAGATGTATGCTCAGGGGCACCACTGGAGGGCGCCCCCCACGAATGTGGCGCCCTAAGTAGTCGCCTTGGTCGCCTATAGGAAGGGTGTACCCCGGCTGGCATAGACTCCCCCTGTGGGCAGAATAAGCGGTTTGAAGATGGATGGATGGATAAAAAGGTTGGCAGGTCATTCTCTCAGCGAGCCTCAAATTGGTTCTTAGGGTGCTGATCCCCTTCATCAGGAATCAGGAAACATAACTCATTGTCCTTTGTCCATTGTCCTCATTGTTCATTGTCCTCTATGAAGGGAGAGATAAGAAGAGAAATAGTGGATGTTTCCAGTTTATTACACAAATACATGATTGGGATTGTTAACACATCAAATAACGTTAATTGACTGAATGTATTAGTTTTGGGGGTTATTGACAAATGAAAACTCTATGTATATTATAACTCACCTGTAATAGGAAGAATGTTGCGCTCAGTGGGAGCAGTGATGCCGTCCGAAGGAAAGCTGGCAAGTCAGGAGTAAGTTTGGTGGTTGCGAAGGACGTCACAGAGATGCTGTCGGCCATTTTGGTTTTCAGTCTGCTTTTGTTCAGCGTTAACAGAGAGAACGTCTGTTCACAGATGTATGTTACATTACATGTCATTTTAGCTGCTGCTTTTATCCAAAGTGATTTTATCCACTGTGTTTTGCAACCCTCTTTATATGTTGATGTCTATCCTGTCTTTCTTGTATTTCTCTCCTCCGTGTCTCAGAGTATGTCTCTTTCGCCCATATCTCAGTGTGTGTCTGTTGTAATGGCAAAAATGTGTGTAACCCTTCAAATGTTTCATTCTACGAACAGTTTGGAAATTGCAAGTGCTGGGATGGTGTGGCCATGGGAAAGAATTGAGGCGAAGTGTCTCGCACTGATCAGATGTAAAAAAAAAGAAGATGTTCTTGGCAGTCCACTGAGCACTTTGCAAGGACATAAACGGAGAAAGACATATTTGATTCAGAGACTTTACTCTTATTTACAGATTGTCTGTGCAAAATCTTCCATCACACTGTCCTCCATGTCTCTGAGTGTGTCTCAAAGTGTGTCTCTGTCCTCCATGTCTCGGCAGCCTACTAAATTCATGGTGGGGACAGAACAGGGCCTGGTTGTGTCCTGTAACCGGAAGGCAAAGACTCCCACAGAGAAGGTGGTTTGTACCTATGATGGACACCAGGGACCCGTCTATGCTCTGCAAAGGAACCCTTTCTTCCCCAAAAACTTCCTCACTGTGGGGGACTGGACCGCCCGCATCTGGTCCGAGGACATCAAGGAGTCATCCATCATGTGGACAAAGTAGGACACCACATTTCCCTGTGATCTTTCCCATCTGTTGTCTCTGTCTTCTATTATTTATTTTTATTACCTATTATCTTACTGACATTTTGTCCTGGTCTCATCCGGCCGTCTTATTCTTGACCCTTTAGACTCCAGGTGGACATTCTGCTCACTAACTCAAGCTAGACTTTAACCCCTCTCAGGTATCAGATGTCCTATCTGATGGATGCCTGCTGGAGTCCTGTCCGGCCCTCGGTCTTCTTCACCGTAAAGATGGACGGCGTGTTGGACATGTGGGACATTTTGTTCAAACAGAATGACCCCACGCTGAGTCTGAAGGTACATGCAGCTCACCTGTCCATAATCTACCTTTAAGCCAACGTACCACCTAGTCTGGACACATACCACATCCTCTGACCTTTGACACCTCAGTACAGGGAAAACACAGAAACACACCTTCAGAGGGGTAAAAAAGTAAGTTAACAGACTCTCACAAAGGGGTCATTCTTCAATCATATGTGGGTTGATCCCTGTTTACTTTTGCTGTCATAGCCACAACTTTAATGTGTGAATAGTTACTGATGACATGTGGTGTGAAAGAGCTTTGTGGGGTCTAATTACCCACTCGATGCTGGTACTGTCCATTTACCATTTGCAGAGCATCAAGAGGTCTCTGATTTACATGCTGCCTAAGTATTCATTGTTCGACTGTTAGTCCTCTCATTAGTTAACTCTGTACCTCAGCTCACAGTTGTGATATAATGTCCCTGCTGTTGCCCTGATGATCCTCAGGTGTGTGACGAGGCTCTGTACAGCCTCCGTCTCCAGGACAACGGCCGGTTGGTGGCGTGCGGTTCTCAGCAGGGCGAAGCCACACTACTGGAGATCTCCTCTGGACTGTCAACCCTCCAGAAGAACGAGAAGAGTCTGTTGGCTGCTGTGAGGAAACTTTGAACATCAGCGTTAGCTCAATCATCAGTAACTCAACGTTATAACCTTGTTTCCATGGAAACAGATGTTTGAGCGTGAGACCAAGCGAGAGAAGATCCTGGAGGCCCGGCAGAGAGAGATCCGTCTGAAGGAGAGGAGTCGTTCAGAGCAGAGCCGGTCCGAGGACGGGGGACGAGAGGACATAGACCAGAGTCCACTTCAGCTGATGGCCAGAGCCGAGGAAGACTTCTACGTCCTCACAGAGACAGAAAAGAAGGGGAAGGAGAGGGAGGACCAGGACCTCTCTTCAGAGCTCTGAGGACCGCTGTAAGATTCTTTGGTGAATTAACTCAGCAGATCCAATCTGGTTCGGGTTGTTTTTTCATAACAAATTAGAAAGAATTTCCCAGTTTATGTTTTAGGAGATGTGAAGAGAAAGGAAGTTCAAATACTGGAACAAAGCAATGAGTAAAACACACGTTCATTATGTTTAACTCTTATTTAAGGTTTTAATAAATTAATTGTAAAATCTTCTTATTGTTTTATATAATAGACAAACAATGTGAAGCCTTTAATCATTCATATAAAGTACTTAAATGAATATTTAAAGAAGCCCCTGCAATGCCAAAATGAGTATCTTACCATGTTTGGCAACACAGCTGTGAGGGAAATTTTCCGCCATGATGGATGGCACTCAAGATGTTGCAGGGTAAAGATCAAGTCTCCATATGCCTATGGTATTTGGATAAAGACCTTGTCCCACATGAGGTATTTGTGGGACTCTACAATAGCGACAACCGGGGAACAGATGGCAAGGTAGTTCATGTGCGATGAGATTAAATTTACCAATATCAAGGTTGTGTGGTCAAACTTATGATGGAGCAGCCAATATGGCAAGAAAGCTCAACGGGCACAAGCAGTTTTGAAAAAAGAACAACCGCTAACCTTGTAAGTGCACTGTGGTGCACATTGTGTGAATCTCATAACACAGTGTGCATGCAGTGCCTCTCCCTTAGTATGCAACGCATTGCAGTGGGTACATGATCTTGGAACTCTCAGTAACTGATCAGGCAAATTTAAAGGGGTACTGAGTGGACATGCAATAGGTGAGGGACATCCTAAAAGTGTGAAACCTCTTTGTCCAACTAGGTGGACAGTGTGTGGCCAAACTGTTGACCCAGTTTTTAGTCAGTATGAGGCTATATTGACTAGATTCGACAAAATGGCTTTGACAGTTTCAGACTCTGGTCCCAGAACCAATGGTCTCCTGAATGCATCCTGAAGGGCAGAACCTTCTTGGACTGATGGTGGCCTCTGAGGTTATCGGAGCATTTTGAATTGCTTTGCTGTTGAAATGTGCTATACAAATAAAATGGCCTGCAAGATACTGCAAAAGCAAAGCAATCAGAAGTGGTTGGAGGTATGCAGGATGCTGATTCAAAAGCAAAAAATAAGTGATGAGTAAGTGAAGAGTTTTTTGAGACGGCATAGGCAATAGTAGAAAAACTTGGGTTAAACCCTGTTCAAATTCCACACCAGAGAGCTTGTGTACAAATGCTGAGACCAAACCTACGGCCTTGAGAGTACATATGAATAATCAAATCAATAATCAGTACTCGAAGTAAATGACTTATAAGTCAAATCATTTCTGAGTAAAGTTATATACATATCTGTCACCCCTCTGAAAGGCTGTATGTATATCATCTTTCACAGATGGCAAGAAGGACTGAGGACATAAACTCAAATTATTTTTTTAATGGTTTGGGTTCAATTTCTATGTTTTTACCACCTATAGAAACCGAACCACCGAGATGAAGTGAACGTTTAATAAGGAAATGTTTAGATGGAGTTTGTTTCCACGCTGAACATTCTGGAGCTACGGCCGCACCGACGTGTTAGACACGTCACACCTTAACGTAAGGAACGTCGACGTTACGCAAAGACGCTCGCTCAGAGATCCCGGAAGTGGACACATTGTTTACATGCTCTCCTTTGTTTGGTGGATGTTCCGCCAAAATGTCCAAAAAACGCTCTAAGAGCACCGAGGACCGCAGCCTGCGGGGCGACCGGAGCCTGCTGGCGGCCATCGACGAGCAGCTAACTGCGGCTGCCGAGGAGATCTTCTGGCTGCTGAAGGAGCGCGGACAGGTGAAGATGGAGCAGCTGAAGGAGCAGGTGACGGAGCGGATCAACGCCGCCGTGGAGATCATCTTCACCGCCTTTGGTGTCTCCAGAGCGGAGGCGACGGTACCGGAGGAGCCCCACGAGAGAGGTCTGTGTCCGGAGGAACCGGTGTCACGTCCTTACTGGTTTTTGAACCTGCTGGTTCACCTCGCCGTCGTGGTTTACTTAACATCAGCAGCTGTTTTCTGATCGGTCGCCTGATTCGTCACACATTCAAAAAAACATTTCTGATAATCTTCAAAATATACAGTGCAGCAATGACGATTGTATAAGTGAGCACTGCATCACTGCCACGTGTGAAGAAATTCAATAAATATATTTTCTTCTAACCCGGATTCTAACCCGGTCAAGCTCTTATCATGGCGGCCACTTCCACTACTTCACTCCGTGAGGAACCTTCCTAAAACCATTTCACAATTCGAATCCAGCCGAGGATCCTACTGTCTGGATGGACGGAACCCTCGTGATATATTACGTGCTTCTAATATGATAAACATTATGACGATTAATAATTATTTAGCGACTCTCACTAATCAAGCTCTGGACAACTCGTTGTTGTTGATTTTTTTTATAGCCTACACTGAAAAACAACCCGGATCACATGAACATGAACCCGCCTCCCGTCCCCCCAACATCACCACGACACATTCCCATAGTTGCCACTGATTGACATCACAGACTTTCTAACCTCTGTAAATGTGAAACCTCACTTACAGAACATGCATATATACTAAATAATATAAGTAATGATGTCAGTGCAGCGCTGCCACTGCTAATATGAGTATAATATGTATAATGCATAAGTAATGTGTATATGTTTTATTTTTCGAGTACTCAAACGCGTGGACTTACTCCACCACGTCAGTAGATGGCGCACGCGTGCCGCCGTGGACCAAACGAAGAGATGCGAGTAGCGCGAGACAGAACAAGACGCCGCTGGCTCGATGTGACGTCACCACGTTCGGACGTCAACACTGCTCGAAAAGGACGTTCGAATATTCGCTTTAAAAAAAGACATATTCGAATATATTTGGTTGCGCATTAGGCACGTCAATAACAGGACAAATTAATACAACGAGATATAACTACTTGTATAAGTAATTTATTTAAGTTTAAACCTATTTAACAACATATAAACCCTCACATCGGCACAGGAAAAACTCCCCCAAAAATGAAAAAAACCCTTCCAAGAGGAAAAAAGGGAAGAAACGTCAGGGAGAACGTCAGAGGAGGAGGAAAGAATTCAACTTCATGAATGTTTTTTGTGACAAAGAAGTATCTGTTCCAATCACTCTCAGTTCAATAACTGGAAACTATGAGCCATTATGTTCTTTACAAGTGTATGTAAACTTTTGACCACAACTTTACATTAATATCTATACATATATTTTTTTAAACAACGATCTGCTAACACCTGTCCACGAGAGGCAAGGACAAAAAACCAGAACAACATACATCACATATACATCTATTGATACATGCACACAGTGTATTTCCAGGAATGTTTGGTGTGAGCGGAATGTTGCTTCTATTTTAACCATGATGTCATACCTCTATTAAACACATTACAATTGTGTTGCATTTTAAAATGTGTAGATACAGTTAGTTTTGCTCTTTGAGAGAGAGGACTGATCGTCATAATAAGGTTGTGTATTCACTCTGGCGACCTGGTGTCTTGTAACAAACGTATTGTGTTGTATATACAATCTATCCTCAACTTTTAAACTGTGCAGTACGACTATCACTTCACTCTGACATATTTTATCTTGATCCTGTTTGTGTCTGGGGCTAACAACAACCAGAGCACCCCAGGAACCGTTTTATCTCCTTTTGTGCTGCTGACTAGAGACAGAAGCAGTTTCAAATGTAAAAACTGAACCTTGTAGAGTTGATATTTCAATAAGAACAGTTATATATCTTGTCTTTACATCACATTACAGGTAATTTAGCTGACGCTTTTATCCAAAGCGACTTACATTGCATGCTTACTTTTGCCCGGGGAGCAATTAGGGGTTAGGTGTCTTACCCAGGGACACTTGGACATGGGACATGGAGCAGGCAGGGTTCTTTAGTGTGCTGTTGGTTCCTTCTGGTTAAAGGTTTTTATGAAAGTGAGTGAATGTAAACTGTTGTTTCTTCCGTTCAGAGTATTGTCCCTCTGACGGACATCAGAAGCAGGACGATCAGGACCATCTGAGGGACCTTCTGCCAAACACTTCCTCCAGACTACATAGTGTTTCTGATCCGGCCGGTGACCCCGAAGAGGACCAGAGTGACGTAGAAGCCCCCCCCCACTGCTGCAGAGTGTGCAGGAAGTCTTTCAACAGGAAAGGCTTTTTGATGAAACACGTGGAGAAACACCTAAAAGAAGCGGAGTGTGTTTGTGGTCTGTGTGGCGAACGCTTGGAGTCCAGTGATGGTCTGAGGCTGCACCTTCAAACGCATCGTGACAGCAGCAGGACCTGCCACATATGCAGCAAGAAGTTCCCCTCGATCCGCGCTCAGGAGACCCACCTGAGGCTGCACACCGGAGAGAAACCATTTGGCTGCCACATCTGCGGAAAAGGCTTCAATCAGAAGGGAAACATGTTGACTCACATGAGGATCCACACAGCAGAGAAGCCGTTCAGGTGCATCGTTTGTCACAAAGAGTTCAGCCATGCCGGCTCTCTGGAGCGGCACATCAAAATCCACAACGGACAGGCACCTTTTAGCTGCAAGGGGTGCGGGAAAAGCTTCAGCAAGAGTGCCGAACTGAGGCGACACGTCCGGATCCATGAGCCCGCCGACGTGTGCACTGCCAGAAGCAGACGCAGAAAACCGAGTCTGACTCCTTCTCACTGCTGCAAGGTCTGCGGGAACGCGTTCCACAACAAAGGAAACTTTGTGCGGCACGCAGATACTCACGTGAACGCTGCCGAATGCCGCTGCGGCGTATGCGGAGAACAGTCGGAGTCCTCGGAAAGTCTGCAGCTGCACATCCAGAGCCACAGAGAAGCCAACAGGATGTGTGACATCTGTGGTATCAGCTTCAGGGACATGGAGATCCACATGAGGACGCACACCGGTCAGAAACCTTTTCATTGCAAAGACTGCGGCAAAGACTTCCCCAGGAAGGGCTCTCTGGAGAGACACATGAAGCTGCACGCCGGCGAAAGGCCGTATATTTGTGAATTCTGCGGGAAGACTTTCATTGAAAGCACTGTCCTGAAGAGACACATCAAGAGCCACACCGGAGGGAAGCCCAGAATCTATAACTGTGACATCTGCAGCAAAACATTCACCATGAGCCAGCACCTGGATGTGCATAAAAGGATCCACACTGGGGAGAAACCTTACACCTGCAGGGTCTGTGGGAAGAATTTCCGTCAGATCGGCAACCTGGATTCCCACATGAGGATCCACACCGGCGAGAAGCCCTTCATCTGCAGTCTCTGCGGGAAGAGGTTTCGCCAAAAGATTTCGCTGGAGACACATGAGAGGTTCCACAAGAAAGAGAAACCATTTAGCTGCCAGCTCTGCAGCAAAGGCTTCGTCCAGAAGATCGATCTGAAGAGACACATGCTGACGCACACTGGGGAGAAACCCTACAGCTGCAACGTCTGTGGAAAAAGCTACCAGGAGAAACGCTCGGTGGACGCTCACATGAAGGTCCACAGCGGAGAAGAAGCTGCGAGAGACTCTGAGAGGACACCAAACCAGAGCCACCCGGACGGAGGTCACACCAACTTCCTCCAGCTGTGACCTCTGGCCAGCTGTATGTACACACACACATATATGAATACATAATTATACATATGTAGTGGTTGGGTGATAGGACTACGCTGAAAGGTCTTGGATGCTTTTCTCTGGTAAATAGTCTCTTTACACAGATGTTAGTTAATTAGATGTTCTAACTCCTCAATGGTTCAGGAGGAAAGATCCTCTGAGCAATTAAAGTATTTAACATCACAGTTTACAGAGTTTAAATTGTTTAATATAACAATAAAACATCTGTAGTCTGTTTTCATCTGTTAAAAATGTTTTATTGAAGATAACACATTATTACAATATATATAACAGGTAGTTGTCTTTGATAGTTGATAAATAAATTGGAGACTTATGAGTATACAAAAAAACTCATGAGTATACAAAGGTGCACAAGGTTTTCTTAGTGTGTGTGTGTGTGTGTGTGTGTGTGTGTATATAATGTCCTTGTAAGAAATCAAAAGTATCTTCAACTGGTTTGTGTATTTATTACCAACTAGAAAAATCTGAAAGCATACAGACATCATCAACACAAGTATAGACAGAAGTCCAATGACTCAAAAGCTGAAAAGGGACAGATTGTTCCATCTGCCTTAGAGGAGCAGGACGACCTGACAAAGCTTCTTGGTGCAAATGTACCTTTTAATACACAGCAGAGAGGTTTGTGTTGTCCAATCAGAAGACGCGCCTGCACAAAGGAACTTAAACAGATGTTGGAGGAATACACTCTTAACCTCCCCCGTCCAACTTGACTGCAAGGACTCGATAGACAGGAGGAAAGACAATAATTGAAGCGATAAAAAAACAACACACAGGCTGTAAACACCAGATGCCACTGCAGACTATTTTAGGTCACAGGTTCCCAAGAAAGGTCAAGAAAGGGCACAAAGTTCCTGAGACTTCACAGTCTGCGGATCAACAAATTCTCCCCCAACAATAACCAGTAGTACCGATCAGAGGGTCTGGTTGTTAGGGTTAGTTAAAGCCGATAACCAGTTGGACCAGTTCACTTTTAATGGCATAACAGAATTCCAAAACACGTTTTCAGTTTTGTTCGGTTCAAGGTAACTATGACATATTGTTTTTTCACATAATTTCTTGACCATCTGGCAAACATTTAAAGTTGCTTTTGTATTCATTATCATGTGACAGGCATGTATTAAAGTACCTAATAAAGTGTATTATTACACTTGTGGTCAGTGACGTTATTTTATAAACTAAATATAAATATACATGCAATATGTGTGTTAATCCAATTTCTTATACGTTTCGATGACAAAACAGCAGTCAGGCATAATCAAATACAAAAATGGTAGAACAAGCAGTGCTTTTACCGTCCATTCATTGCGAATAACGAACAAAAAAACAAACATATTGCACATCCGCACTTCCAGCTTGTACTCCAACAGCAAAAAGCACAACTCTGCTCACCCTTTGCACGAAAATATGTTGTGTCACTAATCATCCACGTTACGTATCAAACATGGACCAATTAAAATGGAGATATCACAGGACATTTCTGCTGCTGACGTCACTACGCCAGATACTTGTAAGCGGAATCCCCGCGAAATTCAAAGTTACAATAACGGCAGCGGTGTCCACCGATATCACTGTCTGCGACATGTGACGTGTGTCCTACTGATGTTAGCCTAAACAACATGCGCTAATCCGTCTTTTGGTTGTCGTGGCGCAGGGTTAGAGGGGTGCGCTGGGAGCCACAAGGTTGGTGGTTTGAGCCCCGGCTGTCCCATGTCGTCCTCAACTGTCCCTGAGCAAGACACCTAACCCGTAATTGCTCCCCGGGCAAAAGTAAGCATACAATGTAATGCATTACATGTTAACCCATGGCTTTTACATTTTGCCCGGGGAGCAATTACGGGTTAGGTGTCTTGCTCAGGGACACTTCGACATGGGACAGCCGGGGCTCAAACCACCAACCACGACGACCCATGTCATGTAATAACTCGTCACCCCACGGCGCTGCTTACAGTTCAGTACCGCGGTGCTCTTCGTTGTTCGCCCTCCGGTCCGCCAGAGTTCGCTGTTCGCTTCGCTTTCCTCCCAGCGAACTGTCGTCGACGCAGAACTCCGTGCGTGTGTTCGCGGTCCCGCTGGCTCTCTTTGTCCGCAGAAAAGGAGCAAAATGTGCGCCGTGCGGCTGCTGCGCGTATCGGTACGCGAGCGGCTCGGCGCCGCCGCCGAAGACGTTCTGCTGCGGGTGGAAAAGGGAGAAGAAGCGGCTGAAGTCGCGGCACTGAGAGCGCTGCTCACCGAGCGGCTAGCGGCAGCTGCGGAGGAGATTGTCGGTCTGTTCGAGGAAACCGTGGCGGGATACGAAGAGCGAGCTGAGCGCTCAGAACGGGAGATCTGTCGCCAGAGGAGGCTGCTCGACGCCGTGCTGAAGCCCCAAGTCAAGCTGCACCGGGCAGGTCAGTCCGAGGAGGAATCCCCGCGTTAGCTACTGTTCGCTAATCTCAGCCCCCAGGCTGCAGTACACATCAGACATGGAGAGATGCTAGCGTCCCCTGTCTAGAGGTAGCTCCTGTTAGCTCCTGTTAGCCTGACGTCAAGCTGCACAGAGCAGGTCAGTTCCGCGGAACGTCCCGGAGCGATGCTAGCTAACGTTCTCTCCTTTTAGCTTCTGTTGACTGATTCCGTTTAATACACAGGACCAAAGACCGATGGAGAAGATGGAGTTGTTATCTGTATAGAGACGTCTACGTCCTATGTACTATACAATATAGACACGGTGTAATGAGATGACTGCCCTAATGACCTTAGGGATGTCTTTAAAGTTACAGACCATGTAGTGCAGGGGTCTCAAACTCCGGCCCGCGGGTCAAATCCGCCCCCGCTCCCCTTTTACCCCCATGTCACCATGGTTACGCCCCTTTCGCGTCCTTTTAGTCCCCTACAATAGCAAATTAAAATGATTGCTCAATGTTGGAATTTGAACTTCAAATGTATTTGAGTATCAAGTTAATAAAAATGTAATCATAATACATTAAATAGTAATAGAAAACGTTTAAAAGTAAAGCGAAAGTGCAAATACAGTTTTAAAAGTAACTCAAAATGGCGATGATTTTCAATGAGGATGTTCTCTGTCCAGACTGCTTCATCTGAGGGTGCACGAGTCTTTGAGGCACACGCCTTAGTACTAAATGAGAAAAAAACAAAGCTTTAATTATCACGTTGTAGTATCATAGTTTGTATTCTGCTACAGTAGATCTCTCGTAATTGTGTTGATATGAAATTATTTTTTCCCACAATCGTCTGCTCGAAACGTGCCAAGTGGAGGAGGTTAACTTTTCAGAACAAACACAAAGACTACTGTGATAATTCACTGATTTACTACAAGCATCCTACACGAGACGCTCTGTTCTCCTTACGATAAGTTGACTAACTAGCGTTACTTTAGTTAGCTAGACTGACCCATGAGGGGAAGACGTGCTTGAGTTCTACGTCCCTGCGTTGCCGTGGTGATGCTGTGCTGTTCTGCTGTTGTCCTGTTGGCTTTGGTTCGCTGATGAAACCTTTTCAGCCCTCCCACGTTCTACTTGATAAACTTCTTCTTTTCCTTGGTGCATGTTGACAATGGAAGCGATAGCGCCCGCAGCACTTCTGGTAGCTCGCAGTGTTAATTTCGGCGACAAAAACTATTCCCATGACTAAGACATGAAGAAAACGGATCTTTGAAAATAAAAACTATGACTAAATCTATTCTAACTTTCGTTGATAAGACGAAAATGTCGGTGGTTGACGAAGTCACAATACTTAAATTTCAATTTTAGTAGAAACTTGGTGGAAACTTACTTATCACCAAATCTGGGTGAAATTCGGTTGTGGCGAGTAATGCAGTCGCTCTCTCACGAGCCACTTGGGCAGGCAGCGTTTCCTCGGTGGATGAGACGCTCCGTTACAGGCTTCTCCAAACGCGTCTAACATAATAAACTCGTAGCAGGTTCTGACGCCTCACGCATTTCGACCATAGTTCACGCGCCACATCGTGAGAAGACGGTGTTAAACCGTCTCGGCCACCGTACGCGGCCCACTTTTTCGAAGATGCTCGGGTGTTTTCCTCTTAATTGGTGACGTTGAATCAAACCACGGGAGTCGCCATATTGCCCTTCTGTTGACAACAAACCGTTACCTCATTGGTGTAGAACGATCACGTGTCGAACCGCTCGCGACCAAAATACTACTACGCTCTGAAGAAACTAGTTTGACTGGAATTTCAGCGACAAACTCTTTTTGGGTAGCTTAGCACAACTCGTTCTTTTTTTATGAGCTAAAGATTGTGTAGATGCCAGATGAAACGTAGTGTAGTGGGATGCAATGATAACGGTTCCCCCGTCGGAAGGCTTTACAATCTGTACACATGCGACATCCTCTGTCCCCAAAAAACGAAAACGAAATAAATAGTTTGGTACATGACAAACTGCATGTGGCAGTTTGGCACAAAACTATCCAAAAAACGAAATTCTGGTCTCGACTAGACTGTACAGAAAAAATCTTATCCTTCGCTTAATTACGATAAATCTTTTGCAGAGAAAATGGTGAACATATTGTGCTATGATCTGGTAGTTTAGAGCTGTAAAGGGGCGATGGTGGTAAGAGGTGAAGTGAAGTCGACCTTGTTTTCATCCTGCAGCTTTGGCACGCTAACGTGTGTGTGTGTGTGTGTGTGTGTGTGTGTGTGTCCTGTTTCCTGCAGATGTGCAGCAGCTGTTGGAGACCGAAGAGCAGCAGGAGTGGAGCTCCAGTCTGGACCAGGAGGACCCAGAACCCCCATACATTAAAGAGGAACAGGTGGAACTTTGGACTAGTCAGGAGAGTGAGCAGCTAAAAGCCCTGGAGGAGCGAGACATGAAGGTCTTATTCACTCCTGTTAAGAGTGAAGATGATGAAGAGGAAGCTCAGTCCTTACAGCTTCATCAGAGACAAACGGATGGTGAGGGAGAGGACTGTAGAGGACCAGAACCAGACAAAAAATCAGTTCCACATTTACAACCCGTTAATGAAGACAATTCTCCTGGCTCTTCTCAGACTGATGACTCTGATTGGTCACACACCAACAAAGCCTGTTTGCATGTTGATTCTCAGAAACTCAGCAAAGTCTCCGAGAGTGATATTGGCTCCTCTACAAAGGAGAGCCCATTTCCATGCTCCTATTGTGGGAAAAGTTTTAGCCTGAAGGGAAATTTGAACAGACACGTCAGAGACCACACCGGCGAGCGGCCGTTCCCGTGTACAGGCTGTGATAAGACATTCAAAGACAGCGGCTCCTTGGCGGCTCACATGAGATGCCACACTGGGGAACAACCCTACAGCTGCCTTTTCTGTGGGAAGAACTTCAGCGGGCGAGGAAACATGACCCGACACATGAGGATACACACCGGGGAGAAGCCGTTCACCTGTCCAGTGTGCAGCAAAAGCTTCCATGTAAAAGAACACCTCAATAGACACATGAAGTACCACACGGGGGAGAAACCATTCAGCTGCTCCATCTGTGGGAAAGGGTGTGCTCAGAAGACCGACCTAAAGAAACACATGAGGGTCCACACCGGAGAGAAACCCTTCAGCTGTCCGTTTTGTGGGAAGTGCTGTGCTGAAAAAGGAGACTTGACCAAACACATGAGAGTCCACACTGGAGAAAAACCCTTCAGCTGCAATGTGTGTGGGAAAAGTTGCGCCCAAAAGGGAAGCCTGAAGATTCACATGAGGGTCCACACAGGAGAGAAACCGTTCAGCTGCTCGGTCTGTGGAAAATGTTTCACTGTCACTGGACATTTAAAGCGACACATGAAGCAGCATTTGGACGGCGGAGCCGACGGACGCGATGCTGGCATTGAGGCAGACTGTGGCGATGATGGTGGCGAGGCAGACGTTGGTTGCGATGGCAGTGGCGGGGAGGTTGCTGCCGGGGGGGATGAAGCCGATGTCCGTTCAAAAGTAGACCAGGAAGTGAAGCCTTTGAACACATGATGTTTCTCTGTCTTCTGTTAAGAAGAAAGGTCATTAAGCCTTTCGTTTCGCGGGATTAAAGCTTTTGTGCTTCTAAACGATGTGAGATAAGGATAAGCCATGCCATCATCAATGACGGAGAACACATGCGGCGTGGCATTCAGACACCTTCGTCCAGTCAATCCAGTAAAAGTGTTGCTTGATGGCAGCTGGCGAAGGTCATTTAACTTTCTAGACCTGCCCCCGAGCCAGGACCAGGTCAGGGTCCAGACGTCCTGTTAGACAGCAGAACCCTGAGCACCTTAAAGACATGCTGAATGTTGAATCAGGAAACATTTATTGCCAAAATATGTCAAACATACAAGGAATTTGTCTTGGCGGTTGGTGCGTGACAGTAGACAGTGTAACAATAGACAAGTTGGCAGGACAGCAGTGCACAAGTAATAAAATAAAATACAATGAAATGCTAATGCTATGGGTTAGTATAAAATAAGAGAATAAAGTCAAAGTTTAAAATTAAAAATATTTAAAAAGTTACAAAATATTAAATAAAGTGCACTATCGAACAAGTGACAAAGTGACGAGTGACAACAAAGTAACGAGTGACAAATGACAGTAAAGTGACGTGTGCAGTGTGAAGGGGAGTGACCGGTGGGATGTCAGCCAGTCAGTGGGGGACCGGAACTGTTCATGAGCCCGACTGCCGACGGGAAGAAGCTGTTGGTGTTGCGGATGTTCTGAGAACCAATGTGGATCCAACCGCCATCGGACCTTAAGGTTTGTGCTGAACCAGCTTCTCCAGGCTACAGAGCTTTGCATTGTGGGATATGGAAGGACATTGACACTTCGATAAAGCTTGTTGGCACCGTGTCAACATACTTTCATCTTTAGTGGTGATTTGTCACAAAACACAATTCAAAGGATACAGAAATAAATTAATTACTTTTATTTACGTATATGAATCTGTCTAGTGTCAGAAGGTTTATTATTTATCTTGAATATATTATATTAAATCATATTTTGTAAAACATTGTGATAATTCACTGCAGCCAATGGGATTTTACATTACATTACAGGTCATTTAGCAGACGCTTTTATCCAAAGCGACTTACATTACACTTTAAACCCATGGCTTTTTCACATTTTTGCCCGGGGAGCAATTAGGGGTTAGGTGTCTTGCTCAGGGACACTTCGACATGAAACATGGGGCAGTCTAGAATAGAACCACCAACCTTGTGCTTCCAAGCACACCTTCTCTAACCCCTGCGCCACAACGACCACGATTTTACTGAGTGAACTTCTGTCTGCATAACATGATGGGAATAAATTATAATATGAACGTGTGATCGAGAATTTACGTTTACAAGCTGACCGTAATTAGCTAATGTTAGCTTGCTATTGAATGACTTATTGATCTGTGATACTCGGGGGGTGTTCATGTCTCTCAATATCCGGCTGAATGATAGCATGCCTGTTAAATCATTTCTTCTAGTTCTACTCTTTCAGATAGGACACATCATTTGTTGTCATTGATATTATTCTGGATCCTGGAAATCAAACAGAATTCAGTCTTGTTTCAGTTTAATGTGTCAACTGGTTGAGTTTAGTCAAAGTGCAGCGATCATCATCATGGTAATTAATAGGTATACAAATATTAGATTAAAACAATGTAACTAATTAATCTCACATTTTTAAACATTTCTTCTTCTAAAGACTGAATCTTATAAATTAACAAGTAATCACTCCAGACAGCGTGTATTTTAGACGTTGTTTAATTTATTTTTTGTAAAGACAAACTACATTTGATCAACCTGGAGGCAGAATTCCACCGGGTTGAACTAGCGACTCTTCCTGCTGTCCCCTCAGCTCTCGATATGACATGTTTGAAGTGCCAACAATGTCCAGACATTTAACCAGGACGTTTGCTAAACCACTGTCTTCTAGGGACAGCGTGTTGGTCCTCTGCAGGGTAGATGTTGAGATGGAAGCAGCCTAGCAGTTGGCAACATTTTCCGGGCACTATTAGTCCTAAAGTGCTCCGCTCCGTTTGCCACTCATCCCCTTCTGTTTGACAAGTTTTACTTCCAATGCAAAAAGTTCTCTCCATCTTCAACTACTGTCTCTCTCTCTGCATCTAACTGACTGCAACACACGGCGGTTTCAGGAGTCAGGGGTCAACGCACACCGGAAGGAAACAAAGTTGCGTTAACTGCGTCAAAATATTTTTTAACACATTAACTTTGACACCCCTGATTGTTAACGTTGCTGTTACTTAGAAAGATGTCATTACTTTCCATCCATCGATTTAAAGAGAAAAATCTGGTTTCAGGTGAAACCGATTCACTCAGTTATTGTAGAAGCGTTTTCCGTTCGTCCCTTTACTCCCTGATCAGCTACTACCGGTGGCTGAGCTGGATATATCCTGACGCGTGCAGTTGTAAAGATGAGGAGTAGAAGTTGATGCGGTTCGGTGCAATGACCATTTATTACTCTTAATGTATAAAGAATGTACAAACCAAAAACATGAGGTGAAAATAAAAAACAATGAAACTGAAGCAGTTGGTGGGAGACGGCCTGTCACGTCATGCCCCTCATGTCACTCCACCAAGACGGTTTCCCTCTCAGGCCACTGCTGCGTCTTCCTGTCTTTAAAGCCTTTAAAGCTTGGGCCTCCCAACCGTCCTCTAGGTGTCGTATACAGACCTGTGGCCATATTACTCACTCGTCACACACACACACACACACACATGAAATATAGCTCAATATGGCTCCTACAGTTATCAATCAGGGAAACCCTGTTTTTTACTGTTTTTCCTCATCTGTGCGTCTGGTGAAGATAAACAGAAATAGACTGGATGTAGAGCCGGACCGTAGAGTAACTCTGTCTTTAACAACATGACCTCAGAGTGACCTTGTCTACATAACATGACTTCAGAGGTATAATAAATCCCATTATTAACTCCTCCACACTCTGGTCTCTGTCAGTTACACATCAGGTGGGATTGTGAGCTGCTTAATTTTCCTCAAAGCACAATGTTTTTCAGTATTTACCAATTTACCAACTGATAATCAGAAGAAAAATGAAGGCTCTCCAACAGAACCACAATCATGTCTCCTTGGAAAGACCTGATCCGCCCGCCCCCTCAGTCCAACTTGTACATTTCCCCTAAGCTCTCCCAATAGAATCGGCTCCTGGGCCGGTTCAGATTTGGAAGCCAGAGGAGGTTTTCCGTGGACTAGGCTGCAAATGACGTCAGGCCTACATCTCCCTGCCGCAGCTCGTTACCTCGGCAACATCTGGACCCCAACGTCGCCTTTGAGTGGAGGAAAACCAATAAGGGTGCAGCACAGACTGTGCAGAGAATGGGGAAGATGCACCCAATTGGTATCTTTAGCAGCTTAGAGGAGAACCTGCTGCTCACACAGACTACGCCAGCTGGGAAGAGCCTGACCGTGAGTGGGTAAATGTTAGCCAAAAGGCTACTTGCTAATTGGTAGCTAAAAGAGGCTAGTTAGTAACATACTAAGTGGTACTAAACAGTGGTCAGGGGGCAACGTGCTAAGTGGTACCTAGCAGAGGCTATGAGGCTACATGCTAAGTTGTACCAAACAGGCTATATGTCTAAATACTGTTTACATAATAAAACAAACCCCTCAGAGTAGAAAGCAAAGCCACAGATCTAATCCCTCATCCTCCTGTTTTGTTGGTATAGATATAATATATTACGTGACACAAATGGCACAAACATTCCTCAGTGAGGTTTTCTCGCTCTCACCATAATTAGCTCAGCATGATAATCCTCTTACAGCGGACCACTGGGATGTCTGCTGTACCTACCCAACAACATAGTTACAATTGTTACATGCTAGTTTTCTGACATTGTTACAGTAACATTTGTTGTGCATGTTACAGTGTTGAACATGTTACACCAACAGTTGTTTTACATTTAACAATGTCAATTATAGTACATGTAGAGAGACAGTATTTTTTATTACTTGTATTTGAAATACGCATTTAAATGACTTTTGAGTTTTGTCATTTGTATTTGATAAAATCTAATGTAATTGGTAAAAAAAAGTACTTTAGAGTATTCCAAGAAAGTGGAGTACTTTGAATACAAAATACTCCACTTTCTTGGAATACTTTCCCTTTGGATCAAAAAACATTTCAGTCATCTGGGGCCTCATTTATAAACGTTGCGTACGCACAACAGAAGGCGTACGCAGCTCTCTACGCAATAATTGGTATTTATAAAAAGCAAACTTGACGGAAAAATTTGCGGTCCTTCACGCAAGCTTGGACCCATGCGTACGCACAAAAACAGGTGAAACGAGAACCGTCGGAAAATGCAAGAAACACGCAAACCTGTGTGAAAGTGTAAAACTAGACTTGTAAAAGAAATGCCAATACTGCCTCTCATAAATAACACAAACACCCGTTTGATCGATCTGCAGCGTAAAACAGAATACAGAAAACAGAAATACAAATTAACACATTTTCAAAAAGAAAAGTTAAATATGTTCTACAATAATATTGGCATGTTATTAAATTCATCCTCAAAACACTGCTGTTGCTTGTCAGACAGACGGTAATAAAACGCCATGATGCCGTCACAATGCGCAATGACGCTGATGGCTGATCTTGCACTCTTAGAAGACGTGGCACATGGAAGGATTGGCCATCGGCCTGTTGAAGGGCAGATGACGCTGCCTCGACTGCACTGGAGGAGGCTATTGTTTACTCCTGAATGCTGTGTGTTAAGGCTGGGTATTTGACCCGGCACTCAGAGATTCACACAGGACATTGACAATCAGTAGATTTAATTTTAATGAGTGAAGGGCTCCAAGGGAAGGGGATAGCCAAGGCTGAGCCCGGGGTTTTGGGGAAGGGGGCCCGAGCTCCACAGGGGAATCCCAGCTGTTTCATGTTGAAGTGTCAGAGCAAGACACCTAACCCCTAATTGCTCCCCGGGAAAAATGTACAAAAGCCATGGGTTAAAAATGCAGTATAAGTCGCTTTGGATAAAAGCGTCAGCTAAATAACCTGTAATGTAATGTAATGAAACAGGTGGTGAGACAGAAGGAGCAGAGATGTTAGCCACTTGTGTAGTTCATTTGGTGACCTGGTTGATTAGCTGCTGATTGTTCTCCAGAAGGGTGCGAATTAACTGGTCGTGTTGGCCAAGTCAAATTCCCTGAGAATTGATAGCCCGTTGGGCGCCATCCGCCTGAACAGCCTGGGGAATCTCTGTAGGGTCCATGGCCAGATCGTTCTGTTAAGGCTGGGTATTCGATCCCGGCACACAGAGATTTGCACAGGACACTGACAATCGGTAGAAGTAATTTTAATGACTGCTGGACTACAAGGGAAGGGGATAGCCAAGCCCTGAGCCCGGGGTCCACAGGGGAATCCCGGTGACGCAGGTGGGGACGCGAGGCAGGCGGCACGGCAGGTCGGAACGGGGACAGCGAGATCACGTAGGGGTGTGTAACGGTCTAGCGCTGGAGAAGCGACCAGCCCGGGTGTAAATACTGGAGGGGTGAATTGTGGAATGTGGATCAGCTGTGTGGGGACGGACACCTCTTGTCGGTGGGGACAAACGGCACAGACAGACACACAGGGGACAAGGAAGATACAAACACACAGGATGGGGAGAAACTGCAGCTGACCCATAACAGCCACAACACAAGATCCAATCACATACAATGTGTGGTCTCCTAACATGTAAACATAAGGAACAAAGCGTGAGTGTTGTATGGTGCCTGGTGTGTCTCTAACTCTCATCCTTATCAGACTTGTGTCTGCCTGCTTGGCACTTTCTGCTTCTCCTGCTGACCTTGCACTCCTCAAGACAGTGACTCCCTAAATGAGCAGAAACGTAAAGCAGACTCATCATAAAAAGAAAACTTCATCTCGTAATGCGGTTGCCCTTCCGCTCTCTAGCCGAAACACACACCTGGCTGTGACGTCTAAATATATTCACTGCTCCGCTGACATCACCATTGCATCATCGTCATCACAATCACTTCAGCAATATATCAACATGAAAACAGTATTTCATAATGACTAGCATAATTTGATATAGATGTGGTGGTGTGAATATAATTTAGCCACATGAATAGGATATGATGTGGCTAAAATACAAATCAGTGGAATGGCTTCAACATTGTGCTTTTATAGTATACATAGGCCTAATTGTGATGCTATTCATATCTGATGAATATTTTCTACAGATACAGAGCCAAAGTTTATAGGCTTTTAAGTCCCATTAATACAAATATACATACAGTATACATAATCAAGTGGTTGTCTTTTAATAGCTTTGCTCATTTACACCGACATTCTGTGACTGTTTTTCCTTTTGTGGGGTTCACCAGAGCTTTGTGCACATTATATAACCCTAACCTGAATGCTCTGCTATACCACATTTTGAGACGAGTATTTTAATATATTTTCTGGCACCAGTATTTTGTATTTTGTTACATTTTTTTGAGAGATATATTGTATCAAAGTACTTTTTGATGTATTTTTACCCATTTACTTTACAATTTACTTTGTCCGTTGTTTTACCTGATATAGTTACAGCTCTTGAACATTTACTGTCGCTAAACCTCTTGCTACAGGTCATCTATTAGGACATTAGGCGAGTTAATCTGCTTCCTTTGTGTCATTTTTCCAGAAGTCACCTGGTCAGAGATACTTTCTGTGATTGGCTCAGAGTTGTTTGCACCTCCTCTCAGGTTGGGAGGTGAGGGAACCACTCAGAGTCTCCGCCACTGCTGCTCTCAAGACAGTAAAAAGAACCAGGAAGAATATTCATCTCTCCATCAACCCTGATTGGGCCCCGGGTCCAAACAACCATGGAGGACTCTGGAGATCTTGTCTTATAATGTGATCCAGACTAGAACTGAAAATAGATCTATGTATGTAGGGCTGTTCAATTGGATTAAACGAAGAGAGTGTGGATTACCAAGCTTTCCCCAGGATTCACTGTGGAAACACAGACTGCTGGAGACACACACCCGTTGTTCAACACGACATCAACGCGTCTGGCCACCTAAAGGACAACGCCTCAGCAACCGCGTGATCCTCCATAGATCAGGTGGTCTGGTGATTTTATGCTGATCTGCTGGATGTCAGTGTGCCTCCGATCTGGTATTTATGCAGAAAGAGAGGGAAAGGATGAGCAATCTAGACAACTAGCTGCCAATGACTAGTCAACATCCGCCAGCATCTAGTTTACTGTTTGACCAAGCACATTCCGTTTAGAGTTCCAAAATAACTACATGTCACAGTTGAGCTAACAGGCTAATAACAGGTTAGCAACAGGTAAACAGCCGGTTAATACCATGCCTATAATAGGCCAATAACAGGTCAATGATATGATAGTAACCAGCTAACATGGGGCTAATACCGTGCGGCCAACAGATCGCGTCCTGGACCTGGCCTAACCTTACCTGGATTGTTCAGGTCCAGTCTAAATCTTGGACCTGGTCTCTGCCCGCACACTCTGCTTTGCATCAAACTGCTAGTTGCTCCCTCACAGAAAGCTAAGCAAAGCTAAGCAACAACTGTTTGATGTCCTGGATTCTAAATGGTGGAATGAGCTCCACAATGACATCAGGACAGCAGAAAGCATAGACAGCTTCGGATGCAAACTAAACACTTTGGAAATCAAACTGAATTCAGTTTTTCCGACTAAACCTGGACTAGTTAGCCATTTATTGGCACTTACAATGGCACTAATTTATAGCACTTTATAGTTTGGCTTTCTTGAAGAAATTATACTTTCTTGATTCTTGTTGTTCTGTTCCCTTTCTATTGATTGAATGCTCTTATTGTAAGTCACTTTGGATAATGGTGTCAGCTAAATGATACATGTAAATCTAATATAATAAGGCTAAAATCTGGCTAATGACGGGCTAAAAAAGGATATGAACAGGTTATTACATTACATTACATGTCATTTAGCGGACGCTTTTATCCAAAGCGACGTACAATAAGTGCATTCAACCATAGGGTACAAACTCAGGAGAACAAGAAACAAGAAAGTGCAATTTCCTCACAATTACCAATTACCTATTACAGGTTCACGGCGGCTAACAACATGTAAATATCAGGCAAATAATATGCTACTAATAAACAAATCACATGCTAACAGCAGATTGATCAGTTTGCAGTGAGTGTGAAGCTAGACGAGCACAATCATATCGACAGAGGACTGACAACAGGATCAACTGCTTTACTGCCAGAGCTCAGGACAAACAACCCCCACAGTTCCTCCCCTTTATCCTCCTCCTCAATCGGACAGACCTGTAAGTAGGTCACAGCAGCGTGTGTGCATGTGTGTGTGGTTAAAGCTGCTTTCACACACTCGACTTGTTTGGAAGGATTACAGACAACATGTTGAGCTCATAGAAACAGAAGAACAATAGACGGGACATGAGACGGGCACCATTTTATGTGCATCGTTGCCATAGCAATAGTTATAGTGGGCTAACTTCTGATGGTTCAGAACTCTGCAGAACATTGTGTTTGTGTGATGTTGACCTTTATGTTTGGAGTTTTGGTATTGCCACAGTGGACTTACCCACCGTGCTGTACCAAAACCACTGTCAACCAACGTATAAAGATTGATCGATTGGGTGATCGTTGGCATTGTGGGTGCTTAAAATTGTGTTGGTAACATTGTGTTTTTATCTATGATTCACATTAATCCACAACAATCAGGAATCAACCCCCCAAGCTCGCTCGGCCTCTGGTATCTGTCTGACTGCAAAACTCGTCTTGTTGCTCCTGGACGTCTGTCTAGGAGATATGGACGAACAATGGTGGGACCACAGTTCCTGGCATGGCGTTCCTCCGCCTTTGTCCATGGTAGGACTAAGCCCCACCTCTATTGATCCCATAATGTCTATCACTCACTCTTCTGTCCCCCACCTGTGTTTCCCCCTCCTCTCCTCATGTCTGTCCCCTTCCGGTCTGTTTAATACTTAACATTTGTTTTTTAATGATAAATCCTCCTGGTATCCAGTTGTGTCCATTTGTGATTGGGACTGAGCTGTTACTGTGTTGTTGTTAAACAAGCACTTATTTAACTTGTTTATTGTTCATCAGCAACCGGTCACATGGCTACCATCCAAAGATGGAGAACATCTTATTGGTCGAATTCTGCTGAATAAGAGGATGAAGGACGGGACAGTTCCTGTAGATGCAGGATCCCTGCTGGGCCTCAAGGTAGTTTTCTCCTCCTTCAAATCCTCTTCTTTGTCCTTCTTCTTCTCCTTTTACTACTCCTTCTACTTCAGCTTCCTCTCCTTCTCCTTCTATAACAACTTATTTTCTCCCTCCACCTTCTTCTTCTTCTGCTACTTGTTCTCCTTCTAATCCAAGAAGGTGGCCCCGGTCCCCGGTCTGAGAGGTTTTTATGGGTATTCTTTTGGAAAACCATTAACACGTTGGTGAACTTTCTGTCCGTACTGCAACGTTGTCCATTTGCCTAACAAGCAGGAACCAGGCTCTGAATGCCGGCAGTGCGGAGCCCATTGTTGAAGGGACTGCCTCCTTCTTGTTCCTCAGAGTGGAGCCTTACTCATGGTCCCTGGTGTTTCCAGGTGGTTGGAGGAAGGATGATGGAGTCTGGTCGTCTCTGTGCGTTCATCACAAAAGTGAAGAGAGGAAGTTTGGCTGACACTGTCGGACACCTGAGGCCAGGTAAACAAACAGAGTTTGTTCTTAGATGAACATAGAACATAGATGATTAGCTATATATTCACCGTGGTATACCTACATCTAATTGATTACAAATCCCGTTTTTGGATTGGCTGGAGTGATGCATTTACAGAACTATAGAAGCTCATTTCCACACTAAAGAAAAGGGCCAGAAAGTCGAAATTATGAGATAAAACGTTGTCAAAACACAAACGACACCTCTCTGTAACCGTAGTGGACCGTAGATGACAACCCGCTACAACCATCATTTACCAATTACATAATTTACAGGGAGACCTGCAGGAGAGAGTTACAGTAGTCCAGGAGGGAGACGACAAGAGCCTGAATCAGTACCTCCTTCTGAGTGAGAAGAGGACGTGTTCTCCTGATGTTGTAGAGCGAGTATCTACAGGATGGTGTTGTCAGTGATGTTGGAGTCAGGGAGAGTCGGCTGTCGAGTGTGACGCCAAGGTTCCTGCAGTCAAAGTCCGCGTTGTTTGATTCTTTTTGACTTTTATTTTACGCAGCAAAGCGTCAACTATATATAGAAGGAGTGTCAATCCAACATAAATGCTTTTCAATATATGTTACATATTTGTTGTTTCTGCAAAATTAGCATAAATCAAAAATGATGATGAATGATTAATAATCCCAAATTCCATTGAACTAATAAAGTATTGTTTACACAGTTAATATATTGTTAAATTGTGAAGAAAAGAAATGCCTTGACAATAAAAAAAAACTTTTTTGTTTTGTGCTTCTTTTTAAAAAAAAGTATCGGCTCAGGCACCGGTATCGTTTTAAAAGTATCAATTTAGCACCGGTATTGGAAAAAACCCAAACGATACCCATCCCTAGTTGCGTGTGAGGTGTGAGAGTCGAGTGTGAGAGTCAAGTGTTATGCTGCGACGTATTGGAGTTGCGCCCCTGATGTGATGGTAGGGAAAACAAGTATATGGGTATTTATATATATATATATAGGTACTGTAAGGTTCTGGTGGTTTGTGTCACCATAAGGACATAAATGTTCTCACAGATGTTTTCTCTCAGGTGATCAGGTTCTGCAATGGAACGGTCGGTTGCTCCAGGGAGCCACATTTAATGAGGTTTACAACATTATCCTGGACTCCAAACTAGAACCACTGGTGGAGCTGGTGGTGTCCCGACCAATCAGGTAAGTCAGAGGTCACAGGAGGTCGGCAGTCAATGTTTTCTTTTATTCCCCATCGATACAATTTGTTGAAAAGATGATCAATCCAGACGTCAAATTACTGTTCAAGCAATTTCATATACATGAAATAACCAACTCGTTAATCCAAGACTTTATCCTGACTCCTCCCTGAACCTGTGACTCAGTAAACCAGCTCCAAAGTGAGGTAATTGGAGGAGTCTCTAAAACATGCTCAGTAAGCTTCATGTAGATTTTAGGAGCTGGGCTTGTCCTGGGGCTATTGAGACTATTTAAGTTGTAAATGGACAGAATGACAGCATTATTATAGTGATTTACTTTACAATGATAATTGTATATTTTGCATTATGTAAATGTATGTGGTTTATGTTTCTGAAATACTTAAAATAATTAATTTAATTTAATTAATAATATTTAAATATAAATATGTTGCAATACACACCAATAACTACATATATATGATTATCTTTTCAGATGGCATTTAAACTTGTTTTTAACAGATTGTTGGTTGTGATTTTCTTTTTCTTTTTTAGAGGGGTAGAAACCCAGCTCGACTCAAGTGAGTTTATTACTTAACATAACTACCACAAAGAGATACAGAACCACAGCAAAGATACACAGAACCACCACAATGAGACACAAAGTAACCACAAAGCGACACATAACCACAACCGAGTGACATAAAGTAACCACAAAGCGACACAGAACCATCAAAAACAGACAGAAAGACAAACCAAAATGCAACCATATTGCATATTGCATACTGTTGTTATATTTGATTATGTAATGTTATATTATATGTTCTCTGTTCAGGTCCCAGTTCCTTCGACTCTCAAAAAATTGGTCGGTCCATCTCTGTCACGTCTCCCATGAGCCCCAGCGTTGTCTCTGGGCAGCTTTCTGTAAGTTTACCCATCATACACGGCACGGTCCACAGCCAATGAGCTCTCAGTTGACAGATTTGACGTGTGTGTTTCAGGGTGGTGTTAGGCATGCTCTGGTTCCCAGAATTCAGGTAACTGTAGATGTAAAAATAAGTATGTCACTAAAAGTTGTATTGTTAGCAGGGCTGTCAATAGATTAAAAAAATAATAAAATAATCGTGTAGCGGTTGTACTCTTGCTTGCGTTGTGTTGTTAAAATCACCACCAGGACACGGACCACATTCGGCTCGTATCGGCCGTTTATTGTGTGACGTTAAGACACCTGGCGAACACCCAGAAGTTAAGTTCTCAGAAGGAACCTCGTGGCATCATAACAGTTACACACCCTGCAGCAGACTAACTTTTTAGCTACAACATGACATACCTGGCGAACACACACAAGTTAAGTTCTCAGAAGGAACCTCGTGGCATCATAACAGTTACACACCCTGCAGCAGACTAACTTTTTAGCTACAGGGTGTCGCACCCACGTCCGCAGGGACCCACTAGAGGGCACCCACGTGACACCCTGTCATGACTCTTAGCGATGGCAAGTGGAGTCAAACACCTGTTACATTCCCCCCTGCTGATCTCCACTTGCTCATCCAAACCCCCCCAAAGAAACAAAATTCAACCAAACCACGAACATACCAGGTAAGTCATTCACAACATGAAAACAGAAAAAAAAAAAAATATTATTTTTTTTTTTGAACATTCAGTATAATAAAAATAAACGAAGATGTCTCGCAAACGTAAATGTACAGTACCATTTCAATCATTGACACCTCGTAGTCCAGCCAATGGCTATCCCTTAAGAATTAGAATGAGAAAGGGTAGCAAGTCCTTTCAACACCCACAGGAAAACATGCCCGTATACATGTTAATATACAAGATATCAAAGAATACATACAGTACAGTACAATACAATACATCCCACCCAGAGACACACACTACTGGTGGTCCTATACAGGGCTCTACCGTACAGAGAAAATACATAAAACTCATCCCAACAGTCAAAAAGAGACATAGAACATGTCACACTCACAAGTACTCAAAAAAAAAACATCATAACCATGACAAAGCTTTCTGGTGCATTTGCTGGATAAGCCTCAAAACAGGTCTAACAGCCCTCCCACACCTAGTCCTCACCCCCAATGACCCCTCACTGCAAGCTGCGCTAATTCGAGGACAACGCTCATCCGACCCGACAAGAGAACCGCTGTCAGCAGGCTGTGCGTCAATTAGGGGCTCAGAGGCAACTGCTTGAGAGTCAGTCAAGACTGTCGGACCTACCCGTTCAACAGGTAGGTCAATCACAGTCTCATCAGGGTCATCATTACCAGGAGCATCTGACGAAGCAGTCAGTGGATTCACGGTGGTGGCTGGGAGTCCAGAGACCCAGGACACCGTCCTGTCTTCAGGTGCACAGCTAGGCAGCGAAACAGAGCACATCTCATCTCCCAGCATGGAATCCTCTAAAGCACCAGTGTTCAGATCACTGCCACCAGAATCATCCTCAGACCCGGTCGGGAGGGGCAGGAAGTTTACAGGCATGATGAGATTCCTGTGGACTACTTTCTCCTGGTTTGTGGCACAATTCCTAATCCTGAAGGTGTGAGTGTTCTCCTGTTTCCCCACAACAGTGTAAAGGTGGCCATCCCAGCGATCAGCCAGTTTTCTTTTTCCTCGTTCACCTTTGTTGGCTAGCAGAACTCTGTCACCAACATCCACCGGGGAACCCTTAAGCTTCTTGTTATAAAGGTTTTCCTGTCTCCGCTGCTGCTTGGTGGTGGAGCACTGGGCAACCCTCATAGCGTCTGCCAAATCACGGCGGAGACACTGCACATAGGCATCATAATCCACCACCTGATCATCTAACAGAACAGAGCCAAACAACAAGTCAACAGGCAGCCTGGGAGTCCTGCCAAACATCAGTTGGAATGGGGCAAAGCCTGTGGTCTCATGTACTGTCGCGTTGTAAGAGAAAGTGAGAGATTTCAGTAGCTGGGGCCATCGGTGTTTGGCCTTTGGTGGAAGAGCTCTGATCATATTACCGAGGGTGCGGTTGAACCTCTCAACAGCTCCGTTGCCCATGGGGTGGTAGGGTGTAGTGTGAGATTTATGAACACCAGCAACCAGGAGCATCTCCTCAATCAGACTACTTTCAAAATTGGCTCCTTGGTCCGAGTGTACACGCTCAGGAAAGCCATACACACAGAAAAAGTTGTTCCAGAGTTGTTGCGCTACAGCCTTAGCAGATTGGTTGGGGCAGAGGTAAGCCTGGGCCAGCTTAGTAAAATGGTCAGTAACGACAAGAACATCTAGGGACCTGTTGGAGGAGTCCTCAGCCGACCAAAAGTCCACACAAACCAACTCCAGGGGTCTAGAGGTCGAAACGCTTTCAAGTGGTGCTCTCGCCTCAGGCTCGGGAGACTTGCTAACCACACAGCGACTACAGCCCCGCACATACTGCACCACGTCAGTCTCCATCCCCTGCCAGTAGAATCTTTGCCTAGTCAGATAGAGTGTCCGCCTCTGGCCTTGGTGACCTGCCTCATCATGTACGCCTTTAAGAACCTTCTCCTTTAGCGCAGAGGGCACCACATACTGGAAAGTTTTCCTCTTGGTAACAACGTCCTTGGAGACACGATACAGGACACCCATGTTCAAGGTGAGTTTTTCCCAATGTCTAAGGAGCCGCAGGGCCTCAACCGGCTCAGCCGCACGCTCCCGCCTCGATGGACGCCGTCGACGTTCTACAAAGTGAAGCACCCGACTCAAACTGGGGTCTGCGCGCTGTAAATCCAATAGCTTATCTCTGGGTAGAGGGTGGACATCAGACAACTCATGTGGTTGAATGGATCGAACAAGTTGTGGCAATAGGAAGGCTTGTGATGGTAAACAGTCATGGTCCAAAGAACGCTCAAGCACCGCACACACCGCTTGGCGTGAGACAGAGGTCTCTGGGGCCAGGCCCCCCGGGTCCGCCTGCAACATAGCTGCTGGATCACATGACTGACGAAACACATCCTGTACATGGTCAGAATCCACAACACTTGCTTCTTCCAGTAGTGCGCCATACGGGACTCTAGTCAGTCGATGCAGCATACTCGGCTGAACAAAAGGCTCGCGACTGAGTAAATGGTAAATGGCCTGTACTTGTACAGCGCTTTTCTAGTCTTCTGACCACTCAAAGCGCTTTAACACTACATGACATCATTCACCCATTCACACCCATTCATACACTGATGACAGGAGACTGAGGGCATCAGCAACCACATTTTTAGGGCCAGGAATGTACTTGATTTGAAAGTCATACGGAGCAAGTTTCGCCACCCACCTCTGCTCACAGGCATCAAGCTTTGGTTTAGTGAGAATGTAGGTCAGCGGGTTGTTGTCAGTCCACGCAGTGAACGGCTGGCCTTTCAACCAATGACTGAATTTGTCACAAACAGCCCATTTCAGAGCTAGAAACTCTAGCCTGTGCGCAGGATAACGTGATTGGGCATAATTGAGAGACTTGCTCGCAAAAGCCACTGGTCGTGCCACGTCATCGCCCTCCGCCAGTTGTGACAACACAGCACCAAGGCCATTGGATGAGGCATCAACGGACAGCAGGAATGGCTTACTGAAGTCGGGATGAGCCAATGTAGCATTTTCCAATAACGCCTGCTTCAACTTAGAGAAGGCTTCGCTGCATTCCGGGCTCCAATCAGCCAACGTTAGCTTCTTAGCCACAGGTCTCTTCCTACCTTTGCTATATTTCGGCTTTGTCACGCCAGATGTCAAGGCAAATAGAGGCTTGCTGATACTTGAGTATCCTTCAAAGAATTGTTGGTAAAACCCAACCATTCCAAGGAAGGATCTTACCTTGGATGGTGAGGGAATGTCTGTCCCCTCAACCATCAAATCCTCCTCACACAGATCCACAATAGCCTTAACCTTCTCTGGATCCGTGGAGATGCCTTCTTTACTCACAATGTGTCCCAGAAACTTTACCGACGGCCGCATGAAATGGCACTTCTTTGGCGCTAGCTTTAGGTTATGCGCTTCTAGCTTCTCAAACACCATTTCTAGTCTCTGCAAAGCTAACTGTTCATTGGGAGCAAAGACAAGGATGTCATCCAGATAGCACAAGAGGCTTAAAAAGTTTTGGTCACCAAAAATGGCCATCATCATCCTCATGAAGGTGGCAGGGCTGTTGCACAGCCCCTGCGGAAGCCTGTTGTATTCATACAATCCAAAAGGAGATGTGAACGCAGTGAACTTCTTATCCTCCTCATGGACCTCCACATTGTAGTATCCAGAAGTCAAGTCCATGGTCGAGAAGAAAGCATTCCCCCCAAGGGCAGCCAAAGCATCGGCCTGGTGCGGCAGAGGATGTGCATCCTTCACAGTGCGTGCATTTAGCCATCTGAAATCTGTGCAGAGCCGCAGATCTCCGTTCTTCTTCCAAACAAGAACAAGAGGTGATGCATACTCACTCATAGACTTCCTTATGATCTCCCGCTCCTCCATCTCGTTCAAGGCCATCCTCAGCTTATCATAGTGTGAGGGCGACAGGCGACGATACGGTAGTCTGAAGGGTCTGCCATCACTCAGCCGAATCCGGTGAACAAAGTCTTTGGCTCTCCCACAGTCCAAACTATGACGTGAAAAGATGGATTCATACTTGGCCAGCAGATCAACAAGTTTTGTTTTCCAGAATGGGGACAAGTCACTCGAGTCAACATCAATGTCCTGCAGTCCCAAGTTGTCGAGCACAGAGCTCCCAGACCTGTGTGAAAAGTGTTCTGAACCAACCGTTAAGCTCTTTTCACTGCCGGTACTTGTCTGGGAAAAAGTCTTAGTCACATTGCTTTTCACGTAATCTGTCTTGCTTTCCACATACAGATAGTCAGTGTCAAACTCCTCAAGTGCCATACATGGGGAAACATCAGCAATCTTGCAGTTGCGTTTCAATGTCACTGGCTTATTGGAAGGGTTAATCACTCTCACAGGGACCCATCCATCCCCCCACATCGGCGTCACAATCCGTCCCACCATAACTGTTCTTGGCACCGTGCGTGAGTTACTCTGCTCCACTATGACTGTGCTGCCAGCTGAGAGGCGAGTATGGCTAGGAAGACGGCCCCAAACTAAATGTTCTTTCAAAGGATCTAGGGTCACAGCATGTTTAAGTTTGACAGTGCCCACCTTGTCAGGAACCTCACCACCTCTCCATTTCTCCACAGTAGCCAACATCTGCAACAGGGCCCCCTCTTCACTAGAAGCTTGATCCGGGAGCGAAACTTTGGTCCAGAAATCTCCAGAAACATTCAGCACACGAATGAGATGCTTTATCACGTTGCTGCCAAGAATCAAGTCGTCGCTTTGGCCATCCACAATGAGTGTGGGAACAGAGATGTGACAGTCAAACACTTTCATCTGAAGCTCACACACTCCGGTTGGGGACGTCCTCAGACCCCCACATCCAATCAGAACAACCGATGTGGGAGCAATAGAATCCGGAGAAACAAGGTTAGCCTTTTCCAGCAAAGGAAGCACACGAGAACTTAGAGAACAGGCCATCGAGCCACTGTCCAGCATGGCACGCAGCTCCAGAGCGTCCTGAATCAACACACTGGTGTAGAAAAGGTTATCAGTCGCAGCCAGTCTCTGTGCGTTCTGAAATACCACCGTGGAATCAGAGTCCGTCGAGGCACAAAACTGAGAATAAACAGATTCAAAGTCAACATCATCAATCGGGGACGTGTCATCGGGCCCTCCACTAGTCCCCTCCTCGTGTAGGCCAGCTAGTTTCCCTGCCTCGGCGAAGTGTCCGGTTGGACAGCAGGTGAGTCAGGACCAGGGTTGACAGGGCAAGCCATCGCCTGGTGTCCAGCAGCATGGCAGCGAAAGCACAAGCGTTCATTCCGACAGTGGGACACAGTGTCATGGTCATCGCTACCACAAACTGCACACGGGTCCCTAAACCTGGAGCGCCCGCTGTTCCTCTGCCTCAGCGGCCTGGAACGCTGAGAAGAGTCCTGCTGCAACAAGCGCTCCAACAGAGTGATAACATGCTCAAGGGACTGACCACCACTTGGAAGCAGCCTAGCAGCTGGTTGTGGAGCAGGAGGGCTCACCGCAGCTTGAATGTGGCTGTGCAGAGCATCTGTTGCCTGGGCAGAATGCAAACCCCTAACAGGGTGTGTGGGCTGACGCTGCTGAAGACGCTTCTTACGGTGATGTTCATCCAGCCGGACTTGAACATCAGCAGCTGTCCATTCCTCAAGTGGCTTGCAGCCGAAGACTAGAGACAGATCAGGGTCAGGACAGTGAGTGATAAACATGACAGTCACCTCACGAGAGGGGTTATCAAGAGTTTTGTTTTGTCTTTGCAGTCCCTCCACAGCAATGTCAATGGCCTTGTTAAGCCGAATCCAGTAATCAACTGCCGTCTCAGCCGAGAATGGCTTGGTGTCATAGAAGTCAGCTAGGGGCATGAAGGAGGTCACACTATCGCTAAAATGCTGTTTGAGTATGTCAAAAACTGGTTCAGGGCCCAACTGCAAGTTTAACGAGGGCCTGCAACGTAGTCCAACTCTCACAACATCACTCGCCCTTCCTTGCAGCTTGTTCAATACTTCCCCTGCTTGTTCACATAACTCAACGCCCCTTCTAGCCAGATACACCCTAACAGAACCTTCCCACTCAGAAATTGAAAGTCGGTCTGTGCCTTCTCCCCTGAAAGGATGTGGCTCATAACTCTGGTGGCTCACTGTCAGGTTAACTTTGGACAGATCAGCCACGGAGGAACGAGCCACGCTTGCCTCATTAGCTGAAATCGACTTGAGACAGGAGACAATATTTTCCCCAATACTGGTCCCTATCTTCTTAACTAAGTCACTGAGCACATCCACTGAAACGTGCCCCCCATCTCGACCTGCAGGTGGCATAAAGTGCTCACCTGGACTGACATCAGCACCCCCATACATGTCATTATTTGCACCCTGAATCCCCATAGCATCGTGAGGAGTTGAAGTCAAAGGCTCACTCTCTCTGAGCCCCCCTACAGTTGGTAATGTCGAGTCAAACCACAAGCCTCGCCCCCTCCCAACACCAAATAATCCTGACTGATCCATCGCGTAACAAAGTGTTTTTCTTTTTTTTTTTTTTTTTGTTCTTTTACACTAGTACACTATTCAAAACACACAAAAACACCACTTTAAAATGTGAAAATCTGCTAACCATGTCCAAGAGAAAAAAAAATGAAAAGAAAACGAACCTAACAAACAGCACTTAAACCAAAGGAATCCCTCATTAATTGTTAAACCTGTTGTATCGTCACCTCCAGTCCATAACACAGAGAGAAAGAAAAAAAAAAATGAGCGGCGACTCACGGAACCAAAGCGGGACTGAAATACACTCGGCAGCGTGTCGAAGCTGCACTCCCGCGACGTAACGGCAGAAATCCCGCGGCGGTGAAGAACGGGTCACGGCACCATTGTAGCGGTTGTACTCTTGCTTGCGTTGTGTTGTTAAAATCACCACCAGGACACGGACCACATTCGGCTCGTATCGGCCGTTTATTGTGTGACGTTAAGACACCTGGCGAACACACACAAGTTAAGTTCTCAGAAGGAACCTCGTGGCATCATAACAGTTACACACCCTGCAGCAGACTAACTTTTTAGCTACAACATGACATACCTGGCGAACACACACAAGTTAAGTTCTCAGAAGGAACCTCGTGGCATCATAACAGTTACACACCCTGCAGCAGACTAACTTTTTAGCTACAGGGTGTCGCACCCACGTCCGCAGGGACCCACTAGAGGGCACCCACGTGACACCCTGTCATGACTCTTAGCGATGGCAAGTGGAGTCAAACACCTGTTACAATCGCACATTTTGAAATTTGGTAGCTCTCAGCCAGCCAGGACCTTTTCAGAACCACTGTCGTTTAGGGTCACAGTAATGGTCCTCTTCAGACTGTGTGCAGGTTAGATGTTTAGATAGAAGTAGCCTGTCTGTGCATAAAGACATGGAGGAATTCCTCTGCACAGTTCTCTGCTCTGTTTGTTGCTACCGTCTTGGTGTCTCTGATCTAACTGACTGCAGCTAGCGGCAGTTTTATTTCCGGGGTCAAATTAGTGCTAATTACTGTAGTAACCAGTACCGGGCAGTAATCAATGATGACTATTCAACAATCACCAACCCATAGCCACTAATCAGCTACCAATAGCCATTTTCCAGTAACCAGAAAACACTAATCATTGATCAGTAGCTGTTAATCAGTGACCAGTAACCACGAATCAATGACCAGTAGCCACTAACCAATAGCCAGTAACAAGCAATCCAAAAGTAGTAGCTGTCGGAGCCAGAGAAATGTTACCTTTTATTTGGGTTTCATAGGTTCTGTTGTTCTCCAGGGTTCTGTGGTTAATGGGAAACCTCTGTGTTCTAGGTGAAGCTGTGGTACGATAAAGTGGCTCATCAGCTGATCGTCACAGTCCTTGGAGCCAAAGCACTTCCTTTCCGAGACGACGGGCGACCCAGGAACCCCTACGTTAAGATTTACTTCCTTCCGGACCAAAGGTAGAACCAGAATCCGTGTGTGGGCTAGGTGCTCCTTACATTCAATTCAATTCATTTTATTTTGTAGAGCCCATAATCGCAAATTACAAATTTGCCTCAGAGGGCTTTACAGTCTGTACACATACAACATCCTCTGTCCCGAAACCCACCATCAGCACAGGAAAAACTCCCCAACATTACGACACATATCATTTAGCTGACGCTTTTATCCAAAGCGACTTACAATAAGTGCCAACCATAGGGATACATAGGTCCATAGGTGTGTAATAAGATCTTATTTTAATCATATATATTATTTTTAGGCACGCTAACGTGTTATTATCGCGTTAAACTGAGACAATTACTTTATCGCATATTAACGTGTTAAATGGGGGGATGATTGGTATTTGCATCTCAACCAATGTGAGCATTTAAGGGGGGGGGCAAAAACTGCTACAGTCGGGACAGAAACATGGAAAAATGTAGTAAACTCATTTGTGGACATTTTCATTTCAAATTTCTTCCAGACGGGTAACCAGTTGTCTCCTCTCTCCACAGCGACCGCAGTAAGCGCAGAACCAAGACGGTGAGGAAGTCGGCGGAGCCCCGGTGGAACCAGACTTTCATTTACTCTCCGGTGGACTGGCGGGAGTTCAGGGACCGGATGCTGCAGCTGAGGGTCTGGGACCAGTCCCGGGTCCGGGAGGAGGAGAGCCAGTTCCTGGGGGAGGTCAGAAGACACGCAGCCAACATGAAACCCAATGTTCCACCTGTCTCATCCTAAATACCGTGTTGTTATTATGGAGGTCTTCTTCTTCTTCATTAGGTCACAGAACAGCTACAACTGAGTCGGAATTTAAATGGTACTTATGTCTGTCTCTCTGTCTGTGTCCCTATCTGTCTCTCTGAGTCCAGGTCCTGATACAGCTGGACTCTGCTCTGTTAGACGATCAGCCTCATTGGTACAAGTTGCAGCTTCATGAAGTTTCCTCTGAGCTCAGCAGCTCCCCCTACCTGCAGAGGAGGGGACTGCAGCCTGAAGAGCCTGCAGCCAGCACAAGGCTGCACAGTGAGACATACACATAGTCCCACACACACACACACACACACACACACAGACAGACACCCACAGACACACAAGCACACACGCGCAGACAGACACACACACAGACAGACACGCACACGCTGGTTTGTTGGAGATTTAAGATTACAGTTTTTTACAATAACTTGATACTATTTTCAGAACCTTGATGTCATCTTTCAAAAAACAAAAACAGTTTCCACGTGTAACACCGGCTCTCCAATGTTCAAAACATTGCATTGTGCAATCATATTTTTAAAGAAACCTTTCCCTCGCGGGTTCATTGGTTCAAACAATGGATTTATCATGAAATGGGGTTGTCGTGGTGCAGGGGGTAGAGAGGGTGCGCTGAGAACCACAAGGTTGGTGGTTCGAATTCCGGCTGCCCCATGTCCCATGTCGAAGTGTCCCTGAGCAAGACACCTAACCCCTAATTGCTCCCCGGACAAAATGTAAGCGTCATGGGTTAAAAATGTAATGTAAGTCGCTTTGGATAAAAGCGTCAGCTAAATGACTTGTAATGTAAAATACTAATGGAACATTCATTTAGATCAGCCACACACAACATACAATAGTTTCACCTTTTGGTTGTTTGTACAATCATTCAATATTGCTGTACAAAATAGAAGTTTTTTTATTGTACTAAATGTAAATACATCCCTGTAAAAGTACTAATGTAGTAGAAAAAAAGAGTACAGGCAGTGGAATTATTGAACAAAATGTGACTGTTACGAAATACAATAAAATCGCAACATAGGTTTATTTGAATCAAAGCAAAAATACAGTAATTAGCTGCAAAACATGAAAAAGCGCATGCTTCATCCATGGCCTGATGAAGGGTTACTTGTTTGTGAGGGCACCTATCCTACATCTTCCACCTCTATGAAGAGAAGAATTCCATCCATCGGGATAAGGAAAGGAGAATATGGGGGCTGAAACCATGCTTGCACCATTTGAGCATGGTGGAACCTAACAGTGGTCACACCAGCAGTTCTACAGACCTGATCCAGCGCATCAAGGAGGGTTACAAGGAGAGCTGCATTATATGAGCCAATGCGATCCAAGGCAAGCCCTGTGCCCAACCACCAGAGGTGTCAAAAGAATTCACATCCATCACTAAAGTAGTATTGGTACTAGGGTTTTAAAAGACTCCTGTACAAGTTGAAGTATCAACTTAAGCTTTTTACTAGTACAAGTATAAAAGTACTGGTTCAAAACTACTTAAAGTATAAAAGTAAAAGTAATGTAAGGGAAAACAAGAAGAGAAGTTTCAGGGAGTCTGGAGTGGATCAAGTCTGTGAATAGTTGATCTCCTGTGGAGGATTATGAAGAGTTTTAACATCCTCTCTCTCTTTAGGGCCTCAGAAGATTAGTGACGGTGAGTTCTCGGATTACGACTGTGAGAACGGCATCGGTGTGATATCAGGTGAACTTCATGTCCCATCATGCACTGCAATGTCTGCAGAAGATGTCAAATGTTCATTCAATTACCTTTGTGAAAGAGTACATCCTTGGAGAATCCTGGGCTGGTAGGGTCGATGGTTCAACTCACTCTCTCTTTGTGTGTCTAGACTACAGACTGAATGGACGGGACTCTGCCCTCTCAGTGTCAGAGCAGGAGATGTCGTCCAATCACATCTCTCGATCCGATGTGGTCAAGATGAGGTCACGTTCGCCAAATCAAACGCTTCCTTTGAGGTGAGCAGCTGTGTGTGTCAGTGTGTATCAACTAACCAGAGACTGAGCCATGTCACTCATTCACTGTCACTTTCTCCCCCCCTTACCCTCTGACCTCCTACCCTCCACCATCTTCACCTTCACTCTCTGACCCCGGACCTCCACCGCCTTCGCTTTCCGACCTCCTGATATCTGCCGCTCTCACCTTCACCACCCTCCTACCTCTGACCTCTGACCTCCTACTTCCTGAATTCTGATACCCTGAACTATGGTTGCCAGCGGTAACCCTCTGTACCCGTTGTACCGTGAGGACGCTGTGCGGTTGCTGCAAGGCTCCAAACTGAACCGAGCGTACTCTGATGCCGGCCAGTATAGAAGCCTGGAAAGGTAACTATGGCAAACACCTGACCTGTCACCTGGTCACCGAGACAGACAAACACTCGGGTTACAACTATCTGTATTCACTGTGCTAAGTCACATGCTCATCACAAGTGCATTTCAGCCTCTGGAACAACTTTGTCTATCTATGAAAGGTTTTGCTCTCAGGATAAAGGGGAAGATTTGTGGGTGTGTTCTGATGTGTAATTATCATTAAATAATGTTATTAGTTAAGAAATAAATGAACATGGCACATAGAAAGAAATTTAAATTTCCAAAATTGCCTGAAAAAAATCACTTAAATGGTATTTATCCCAATTAAAAATGAAGATTCCAGGCAAAACACACACCAAAGTGTGTTAGCTAAATTTGTGTTCACGGGTAATCCATTAATTAAGGTGAGAATACAGGTAGTAGTTCTGGTTTGAATACTGGCAGTATATTGAATACTGTTTCTAGTACTGTTTTGAATACTGGTTATAATACTGGTTTGAGTGGTGGTTGCTGTAGATGCGGGACAGCCGGGGAAGCCACGTGATCACACACCTGTAGTGTGATTGCAGGGTACGCTGGCACACGTTGGCTGCCGCTCTTCTTGACATTGCTTGTGTGATTTTCATAGCTTTTATAGCTATTTTTACGTATTGCCATTGCTCCCTGAGTTGGATTACGACACACTTTTTCCTATCTCCCTCTGTTGGAATACGGTCGGATTCACTTGGGAGCCTAGCCTGCCTCCTGTGTTGGTATACAACAGGAACACAGCAGAATTGCTGCCCCGACTGGAGCTGCGCTGGACCATTCTGCTGTGGCCCTGTGCTCGTTGACAGACGGCACGGCTTGTTTTGTGCTTCTGTTGTTGACATCAATGCTGGAAATGATTTCATACACCGGCCCACAGCTGAGGCGTCTGCGCAGCTTCATGGTTCTATCCGGCGAGGGGTTTGTAGCCTGCTGTCAGGAGTGCAGGATTTATAAAAACGGACCACACTACATCCATAGAGGTTTGCGCTGTTCCAACGTGGAATCAGGAAGCAAAACAAACCTAGGAGTCATCTTCGGAAAGTGTATTACGGAGCTTGCAGAGACTCACCCCCAGCTCTGTCTCCCACCACCATGGAACTGATAAACACACAGTCCCTCACTATTGAAGCCCTCCTCATATACGTCTATATTCTGGACAAAGGGCTTCACTTCATGTGCCTAACAGAAACCTGGCATAAGACAGGGGACAACTCCCCTCCCTGGTTCACACATGAGCTGTGGAAAATAAAAACAGCTGGGCATGTCCTGGAGCGACACTGCAGACACTCTGGGCTCACTGTCCATAAACTGGCAGAGACAGCTGATGCTGGATCACCCTCACGTCTCCTCCTGGACCTGACTTCTGCATTTGACACAGTGGATCACACTATCCCGCTAGGGTGCCTCCACACTACCATTGGACTATCAGTCCTACCTTTCTGGCAGAGCTGAATACGTCTCACTGAGAAGATACGTCTAGACTGCTCCCCGTCTCCTGTGGTGTTCCACAGGGGTCGGCCTTCTGCCCCATCATCGACCACATGAGGGCAGTACAGTCGCTGGACTCTTTTAAAACTGGCCTGAAAACCTTCTTATTTAGGAAGGCGTTTTCTACGTGGTCTTTTTCTAAGTTTTTTTTTAGCTTTTACTGTTTACTTTTATACTTATGTTTTGCCATCTCTGTCGCACTCTAAGATCTCTTGATGAGGAGTGCATTGTAAATAAAATGTATTATTATTATTGCAGTACTGGTTTGAATACTGGTAGTATTACTGGTTTGAATACTCATAGCAGTTCTGGTGGTAGTACTGTTTTTAATACTGGTTCGTAGTAGTGGTCTGATTGTTTCTCTGTATAATCAGGAGATCTCTGAGGAGAACGTCCGTTGCCACCTCTCTCGATTTTGATGACAGGTACTGTTGGGGAAATACTCCCAGTATTTGTTGCACTTGTAGTAGTAGTAATACTTGTAGTTTTACCAGTAGTAGTACTTTTAGTAGTTGCAGTAGATGAGGGATAAAAGTGATCACATTTTCATGTATTTGTGTATTTTTCTGTGTGTAAGATATTTAAACGGACCAAACCAAACCCTCCGGACAAAACACATGATGACAGGGAGCAGTGAGGACTACAGGTGAGAACCATCATTTTGAAAGACATGAGTCAAAGTTTAAAGTGGCGTGGTCTATACAGGCGTTACCCTCTGCAGGACACACCTGTATAGACCACTGGGACCCACGTGTTGCAGGTGGGTTTGGAATTCTGACGTATTTCTGTTCTTCAGTCAGGGCTTCATTCCTGACTTCCTCTACGAACCTGAGACCTATGCCGTGGAACCTATCAGGTACAGAGACGGTAGTAGATGTAGAGGCGTCAGCAGTTCCTTCCTACGGTACCAGGCCGTAGAGAAATTTAAAATAAAAACTTTATTTTTGAAAATATTTTATTTTGAAAAATGCCAGATTCTTCTTCTTGAGACATTTCCAAAGCATCGTCCATGTGTTTTTTTTGTGATCTTTTTACATATAACTGTAGGGTAAACACTGGGACATCAGCATGTTGCTAGTCAGGAGAAGAGTGTAGAACTAAATGTTAGCATCTCTTTAGTAAGGAGACCTCCATCTCACAGTAATGGCGCTTTGACCTCTGTGAGGTTGTTAGTTTGAGTCCTGTTTTTTTATTCTATCAACAGGGCGAATCTGCAAGGCGGCTCGACCCAGACAAGTCCCACAGGAACGCCAGTCTTCAGCTGCCGAGGACGCCAGCTACCCGTCGTCCCACCCAAAGGAGCTTCAGACAGGGGTATGTTTGTTTGATAGCTTTCCGGTACCCTCAGATATCTGGGTTCTTCCTCGTTTTTCACAGTTCTGTGAGACTGTAGTTTGTAGACATCAATCAGACAATTGGTCAGTGGTTTCCTACTCTTCTGTTTGTATGGTGACCCCTCCGACGGACTAATCGGCACACCACGCTTCCATTTCTCCATGAGACAAAACACAGTTTATTAAAGTTTGTCATGCCTTTTATTTCCAATTGTTTCTAGGTAATCATAATGTGAACCTAACACAATTCAGTTTGTCGGTTTTCATTTGTTTGTTTTCATTTTTCAGTTTTGACCACGCCCACCTCAGGATCACCAATTGCTCATCAAACTGTTGCCTCCCATCCTTTGCATAATCAAGCCCTGACCCCTGCCAATCATCCGCCGCCTCCTCTGATAAGAATACAAGCCCCTACAGGAACCACCCACCTTAACACACCTGTATCAGCGTCGGTACAAGTCCAGGCCCCGCTCCCGCCCCCAGCTCCTGTACCCTTACCTGTACCTGCTTCTACTCCTGCACCTGTCCAAGCCCCGCCCCCAGCTCCTGTACCTTTAACTGTGTTTGCTTCTGCTCCAACACCTGTCCAACCCCCACTTCCAGCTCCTGTACCTTTACCTGTATCTGCTTCTACTCCAACATCTGTCCAAGCCCCGCCTCCAGCTCCTGTACCTTTACCTGTATCTGCTTCTACTCCAACACCTGTCCAAGCCCCGCCTCCAGCTCCTGTGCCTTTACCTGTATCTGCTTCTACTCCAACACCTGTCCAAGCCCCACCTCCAGCTCCTGTACCTTTACCTGTATCTGCTTCTACTCCAACACCTGTCCAAGCCCCGCCTCCAGCTCCTGTACCTTTACCTACACCTTTTGCAAGATCAACACCGGCCCAAGCCCCACTCCTGTCCGCTGCCCCTCCTGTAGTCCAATCACTGACACAATCTAATGCGTCACATGCACCTCCCCCAACGACTCCAGGTTGGTACATCACAGGTTTGATCTGGGTAGACCTAAGGTATGGCGTCAGATCAGTCTCAATAATCGCAAATGCGTACAGAGCGAATCACAAATGCAAACCGGAAGATTCACAAGTGTGCACTGAACAATTCACAAGTGTATACGATTCACAAATGCGCACGGAAGGATTTACAAATACTATTCAATGCACAAATGAATAAATTACTAATTTATATTTGCGGATTGCACTGAATATATTTGCGGATTACGAATCATATTTGGGGATTACACTGCCTTTACTTGCGGATCACTTCACATTTGTGTGTGGGTTTTTTGAGACTCTTCTGACGTCGCAGATCCACAAATGCGTTCTCTTCAACATGGACCTGTCTGTAGCCAATCAGATGTCGCCCTCATTTCAACCAATCACAGCTTCCCCCTCTCTACCTCACTAACTCCCCACGAGCCTTCCAGCGTTACAGCAATGCAACTTGTGAAGGCGATGCAACGGTCAGCAAGCAATGACGTCTGGTAGTGACGACGCTCCACTTCTTGTGTAGGTGAAATAAGTTTAATGTACCCCCCCGTGTTGTAAGACACGACATGTTCTTCAACCATGATACGCTAACGTTATGTTAGCAGAGTAAATTCTGTGAATTATTTGCAACTTCTTATTCAGTTTAATCTTATAGCTCTATAAGCTAAGTTAGCTAGCTAGTGTTGTCTACAGTTTCTGCATGCTAATTTGTTTATTCTGCGAAGTAACATCTTGAAACTAAGTTACAATTATTGAAAATAACTGCAGCACTTGTCTGATCCTCTCTAAGTTGCATACTTATTATTGCACCGCTATTTGCACTTACTTGTTTTGGTGCTGCAATTGCTAAGAATGATGACGGAAACAGAAAGATGAGAGTTCTGATGCTAAATCTGCATGGTGTGTATGATATATTTGCTAGTTTTTTGTGGCTGACATTTCAATTAAATGCATTTGACGTGTCGCATGCATAACATTTTCTCTTCCATCAGCAGAGGTGCTCCATGACCTCATGAAGTTCTGGGTTTGGCGGGAGCTGCTGGAGAGAAACCTCATGGTTGAAATTGTAACCTCAATTTACCCGATTCAACTGCCAGAAGATGTTCCACCAGGACATCATGAAGGCCAACAGTTCCATCAGTTCTTGTTTTGGACTTGTGTAGATGAAAATATCAGGTGTTGCACTTCCTATTGACATACGCCCTAGAATAGTTTCTGACGGTCTTATATGATTATTTAATTCAAGTGCTCAATACAGTTAACCCATACAAATGACCACCTTGATCCACAGTAAAGCAGTGCATTGTTTTGTTTTTTAATTGTTTTTATGTACAAATTGTATGCAAGAACAACATGAGTAAAAACAATGCAAACTTCTAATTAAATGCTCTTGGTCATTACAATTACAATACAGTAATTTACAGTAATTTTTTTAAAGGAAATAAAACATTGAACATAGTAAGCGTTAAGTAAACGAATACCGACAATACATGTTCTCCTACATTCACTATGTCATGAGCACATAATAAAACTACATTCTGACAGCATGCAAACTAACTGTAAAAGAGGTTTCCCCCAAGATGTGTTCCTGTCGATCATGCAATCTGAAGGATGTCAGCCTCAGTGATTCCTAGAGGATAGACGCATAAATATATAAGCATGACAAAAATGTGTGTTAACTGCTCCCAAAACGACAACTTCAAAATCTTTTGAAAAGCTAATTTATTCAGTCCAACGTTAATGATAACTTGATCTTCAACATCTTTACTGGCAAAAATCAGCTAACGTCTGATTCAATCTTTGAACACAGTAACAAAATCTAGTAGTCTTTTTTGACTTATTATGGTTTAATATTAAACATCATGTTTCAATTATGTTGTAACAAGCAAGCTTTTCCAAGAAAATTAGCGGCGAGGCTATGTAGTGTGAAGTTAGTAAAAATGATTGTATAGTGACTAAGTTAACCCTAGCTTATGATGCTAGATTGTCTGTCTGCATTAATGTTACCTTGCAAAGCAGTTACATTAGCTAACCCTTGTATTAAAATGCCGCAAAATACATGCATGATGCAACATATTTGACATAGCAATAATTTACATCTCGAACGTAGTTAACGTAAATCATGCACGCCATGAAACTTTAAACTTGTTTCACTTACACTAGAAGCAGAGCATCGTCACTACCAGACGCCGTTGCTTGCTGACTTCGGACCCGTTGCATCGCCTTCGCAAGTTGCGTTGCTGTAACGCTGGAAGGCTCGTGGGGAAATATGATTCGTAACCCCCAAATAAATTCAGTGCAATCCGCAAATATAAGTAATTTATTGATGTGTGCATTGACATGTATTTGTAAATCCTTCTGTGTGCATTTGTAAATCGAATACATTTGTGAATTGTTCCGTGCGCATTTGTGAGTCCCTCTGTGCGCATTTGCGATTATTGAGACTGATCTGACCCCATATAAGGAGCCACTAGCAGTAGACCTGTAGAGCCAGTCTCTCATTTGTAAATTCATTGGTTTATTCATTGGTTCCTCTTTGCTTCATTATGATGATGTCATCACTTCCCACCTGTCAGAGCCAGAACGATGCCCAACGACACCTGGAGGGACCAGAAAAGGCAAGTGTATCCGATCAGGTGTTGTTGTCCCAGTGTGTTAAAAGAAGCTCTATGTGTCTGCTGGTTGAGCCAATTTAACTGGTTAGACTGGTTTAACTGCATAAAAACCTGTTTGGTTTTGCTCTTTTGACTAGTTTGATTGGTTTAACTGGTTGACTTGTTTATCTGGTTTAACTAGTTTGACAGATTTAACTGGTTAGACTGATTCACCTGATTAGAGTTAACATTTAGTCTGACTAATCATCTCTCTCTTTACATGATGCAGAGGTCACATGGCAGGATCGGCAGAACAACTCAGCCGATGGTATGGCAATAGCTGTTGCCAGGTAGCTCCTTCCCCTGTAGCCATGTGTCAAATTAGTCCCCTAAATATGTGATGAGATGGTGATTAGATGGAGTATTTAATGCTCGTTGGGTTAGTTGATCTGCTCACCATTGTGGTAGAAATTTGTGGATAATGTGCATGTGCAAAAACAAAAGTATCTTAAACTCGTTTGTGATTAATCAGGAATCAGGAATCAGGAATCAGGAAACATTTATTAGCCAAAATATGTCAAACATACAAGGAATTTGTCTTGGCGGTTAGTGCGCGACAGTAGACAGACAAGACAACAGTGCACAAGTAATAAAATAAAGTGGAATGAAATGCTAATGCAATGGGTTAGTAGAATAAGGCTGTGGGTTAGTATAAAACAAGGGAATAAAGTTAAAAAATGTTAAATATTAAAAAGTTAAAGAAAAGTATTAAGCATAAAGTGCACTAACAAACAAGTAACAGACAAGAGACAAAGTGACAAGTGACAAAGTGATGAATTGCAGTTAAAGTGGCATGTGCAGTGTGAAGGGGAGTGACCGGTGGGATGTCAGAGTCAGTCAGTGGGGGACCGGCTCTGTTGATGAGCCCGACTGCCGACGGGAAGAAACTGTTCGTGTGGCGGGAGGTCGTAGTCCTGATGGACCTCAGCCTCCTGCCAGATGGAAGGGGCACAAACAGTTTTTGTTTTTGTTAAGTATTTATTACTAACTAGAATATAGAAAAATGATAAAGAATACAGAAGCCATCAACACAAGTCATAAGTGCAGACAGAAGTTCAGTGACTCAATTTAGCTGGAAAGGGACAGAGTGTTCCTTGTCCCGTACAGGAGCAGGAAGATCTGACAAAGCTTCTTGGTGTGAATAGAAGCTTTAAAACCAATGTGTAATCAGAAGACACCCATGCACAAAGGAACTTGAGTAGGAAAACAGATGTTATAGGAAAACACCCGTAATGTGACAAAGGCAACCCTGTTGAAACACAGAAGGAAAGACAACAAATGGATGAACAAAAGAACAGGTGGGTTCCAGCTGTAACAACACAATGCCACCATGGACTAGTTTAGGTCACAGAATTCCAGAGAAAGGTCACACACCGAGTTCTTGAGAGACTCACAGTGTGCAGATCGATAAATTCTCTCCCAACAACCATCAGTATGAATCGGGCCATCGCGCACCTCAACGGTGCTTATTACTGTACACCCCGGTGTTTGTGTGTGTGTGAATACGCAATTGTATTTCCAACTTGACAGACTGTCAAATTAGATCCAGGTCACAAAACCAACTTCTTGTGCAGGCAGCTCGGAAGATCACTGCTGAGTGATTTTACATTAAATGTCATTTATCTGACCCTTTTATCCAAAGCGACTTACAATAAGTACATTTCAACCATAAGGACACAAACTCAGAAGAACAAGAAACAAGAAAGTGTGATTTCATCAAATACGCCAATTTACAACTTGCTGTAGATAAGAACCATTATAAGTCCAATGTAAGTGCTACAGTTAGTTAGTGTGTTAGTGGAGGAAGAGTCTGAAGAGGTGTGTCTTTAGTCTGAAGATGTGAAGGCTCTCTGTGGTCCTGATGTCTTCAGAGACCTCCTTCCACCAGTTAGGAGCAGGACAGCAAATGAGGCGATTTTTCATTCTACAACTTAACAACCCAATGAGACTGCAATTTTTCCCAAAATGATAGAACCTTAGAATAGTGATTCCAAAAGTAGGTTGACTCAGAGTTGAGCGCGTGCACCACCACAGTATGAAGGCAGGATGAATGGAGCCATTATACTATGAGTTACCATGACAACCACCACAAACAATATATTCACCCCTATTGAGCTGGAAATATTAATGCAAGCGAACAGCGAGTATGAACCTGTAATTAGAAAAAAACGCCGCTACCACAGCAAAAGACAGAGAAACGGCGTAAGTTCACATACGTTACGTTTTACTTATTCCCAGTGGGAAAATGACATTTTTTACACTTTTACACTGCTAGAAAGCACTACACACAGGATTGAAATACACACACACATGCTCATATTTAATCACAAGAACAATATCGCTAGTAAAAACTGGTACAATGGTATTGGACCTACAATGTATTTTATTCAGGTGCGACCTGTGGAACTCCTCTTTAATGGCTTCGCTGGTTTGTGTCCAGGGAACAAAAATGGTTTGAAAGACGTTTCAGAGCGACGCACACGTTTCTCACGGCTCTGCATACAGCAGCTTTACTAATATTCTAATGTTGTAAAGGAAAACACGTAGTACACAAAGAATGGTCTCGTATGTGAGAGCACGTCCACGATGGGGGACGTTACTTCTATGAGGGCGGCTGAGGTCATGGACATATTTGATAGACTGTGAAGAAAAACGATAGCGTTCAAACAAGTAGTCATCTGGAAATGACAACACATCTAATCGGGCCTCAATATTCTCTCTTAAGGTGTTTAACAGCCTGAGAAGTAAAAGCGCTTCTTCACCAACAGGATCGTCCAGAAAAGGACGTGACGTGTTCCAGAAAACACTTTAGTCTTTAACGTAATCTTATTTTGTTCATATGTGTAAACTGATACAGAGTGAATGAATGAATGAATTACCATGGTGACTGGGCCTGAGCTTTAGTTACCATGGTGACTGAGCCTGAGCTTTAGTTACCATGGTGACTGGGCCTGAGCTTTAGTTACCGTGGTGACTGATCCTGAGCTTTAGTTACCATGGTGACTGGGCCTGAGCTTTAGTTACCGTGGTGACTGATCCTGAGCTTTAGTTACCATGGTGACTGATCCTGGGGGTCGTCGTGGCGCAGGGGTAAAGAAAGGTGGCTGGGAAGCACAAGGTTGTTGGTTCGATTCCCAGGCTGCCCCATGTTCCATGTCGAAGTGTCCCTGAGCAGGACACCTAACCCCTAATTGCTCCCCAGGCGAAAATGTGAAAAAGCCATGTGTTTAAAGTGTAATGTAATGATCCTGAGCTTTAGTTACCATGATGACTGAGCCTGAGCTTTAGTTACCTCCCCTGAGAGTTTCCCTCATCTCAGGCTTAACTAACTCTGAGTTTACACTAAACCCGCTTCTTGAAACGGACCCCTGGAGGACATTGGGTTGTGGCTATGTAACTATTTTTATTGATTTTAGCATGCTTTGTTTTATTACATTTTGGCATGTTTTTATAACTTACCATTTTACCACGTTAGCCCACATTTTATTAGTTTGCAGTCAATAATCACATGCACCTGGAGGGACTTAATTGATTACAGAGAGCGTTGGCACTGAAGCAACTGGCCAACAGCGTTGCAGAATGACAGCACCTCCCCTCCCAATCAACACAGCCTCTATTAAAGAACATGAAGCACAGCACGAGGAGGGAAAAACGAGAGGAAGGAAAAAGCAGGGGACGAGCAGGGGACGAGCAGGGCAAAGGGACACCACACACACAGGCAGAGAACGGAAAGGAGCAGGACAAGCAGTGGTGCCTGGCTTTTTACCTGGAGTTGAACTCTTTTTGATTTGTTTTAGTACTTTTTTCGAGCTGGACTTTTACTACAATTGCAGTTATTTTATAGTTTTTTTTATTTTTTTAGTTAATAATAAAAGCATCTTTTCACCTTGCTTTTATGTCTTGTGATCCATGCTGTTTTTCCCCCGTATATAAGAACCTGTTTTTTTGGAGACTTCTCAACTAGGTGGCGTTGCTGGTTACTTTTAATTCCTATTTTATATAAATCTATATTCCATTTTAATTACTAGTTTTTAAGCCCCTGCCTCACAGGGCAGACACCCACACACCAGTAAAAACAATGAGTTGTGACCGTGTTGATGAACAAATATACCAAAGCCATCACTGAAAATAAAGAAATCCTAAAGTTCGAACTTCACGAGTGAAATTGTTTAGAGAACTGAGAACTTTTCCAGACAGGCTAGAAGCCAAAAGAAGCCATTTCAGAATAGAAGAAGAGTCAGTTTCTTCAAATTAAAGTAATGAAATGTCTTTACACTTGATGACATTCCTATGCAGTGTTTGTTTACACTATTACGACGTTCTCGTGATGTTTCATTGTATCGATTCAGATCAATGTTCAATCTATTGTGTGAAAGCCTGGAAGCTAAAGTTAAACAGGTGACATCTTGTTTTGCGTTCCAAAGGATTTAGATATTATCTCTGTGAAGTCCTTAAAGAGCTGACTGTTTTGATAGCATGCTGTACATTATGCAGATCGAGTCCAGCGGTTAGACCTGGTCTAACCTTACACTCCGCCCTGCATCAATCTGCTTGTTGCTTTCTCACAGAAAGATGAACACCAACATCCCCACTGTTTGATGCTCTGGCTCCTAAATGGTGGAACGAGCTCCACAGTGACATCGGGACAGCAGCGTGTACTGTGCAATAACTTACAGCGTTTCGTAGTTTGGCTTTCTTGAAGAAATTGAACTTTCTTGATTCTCGTTGTTCTGGTTCTGTTCCCCTCTTGGTTGAATGCACTTATTGTAAGTTGCATTGGATAAAAGCGTCAGCGAAATAAAACATTTACAAATAATGAAGTTTTGACCAAACTCTCCTCTCCTCTCACAGCAGCTCTGATGAAGGATCCATCAAAAGTGAGATAAGTGTCACACAAACCACTGATGATGTCATACAGCTGCTCACCTGTTTTCCTCTACTTCTGTCTCCAGGCGAGGGACAGTCTGTCCTTCACATCACCAGACAGCGACATCAGCGATGTGTCGGCCAGGTTAGAACAGACTAAAGCCTAGTTTATGCTTCTGCGTTTTCAGACGCAAGCCCCCCCTTGCATCTGCGTCGCTTTTCACACCTCCTTGTGTCCTTTCGTGTGTCGAGACATTTTTCTAGCGATTGGTCCGCTAACTACGTCCTTTACGGAGTCTCACGTTTCCGTTTTCATAGCCCGATACCGCCATTATTAAAACGAAGACTGTTTACGAGAGAACGGATCAGATTGAAGAACTTTTGTCGGAAGAAATGCGTAAATATGAGCGCTTATACAAGCCGTCATTGGCGGGTTTAGAAGCGGGTTGGATTCATGGAGGGAGATCTCCACAAACGAGGGGAACAAAGTCGTGGAGGAAAATACGGGACAAATGTGTCCTTGATGAAAAGCAGCAGTGTGGATGCACGGGGCAATAAAGTCTATGATCAATAAATAAAGCAACCAGCGACTTCCACACACAAAGACGTGACTCTCCAGGTCGTCTTCAACAAAACACGTGACTCCACCTGTTGTTCTGGAGGTGAATCGCTCTGCAACACACGCACGACTTTACAACCAGGAAGTGAAACCAGTGCGTCGACGCGTAAAGACGCAGAAGCATGCGCCGGCCTTTAAGCTTAAAGGCGTTTAAATGTGTTAACTTCCCTCCAGAAACCCGTTAATCTTCCCATCCCATGATGCTTGTTAGCATATTATTATTGAATACTGTTTTTAACATGTTGATTTTAGCAGAATATCGTTCTGCTAGCATGTTGGACGGTCGGTCTTCTCATTTGCTACAGCAATCGGGCAGAGGTTCTGGAGTCAGTGGAGCTGGGGACGGGTTTAGAGGTAACACAGAAAGTAGCCGGGGTAGAAGAGGACGGAGCCGTGCTGCAGAAGAGCGAATCACTGGGGGACGCAGAGGAGGTGGTTCCTGCGCCAACAAAGTAAGACGCTGCTGTAAAGCAACAATAGTTCTCCACATCTCCACCTCACCTGTTTCCCTCTCCTGCAGGGCAGCACCAGCAGCTCCTCTCACAAAGTCCTCCAGCGTCGGAGGAGAGATTTGTTCGTTGGGGAGAAACAACGACGACGACGACGACGACAAGAAGCGGCGTTCAAGCTTCGGAGCGAAGATGATGGGAATGGTGGGACTGGGAAAGAAGAGTCAGAGCGCCTCCCAGCTCAACCCTGAGGGTGAGTCCCTCTTCATCCAGCACCTTCTTCATCACACGTTACCTTGTTGTTTAACTTCAAAAAACAAACCTATTTGCTTCACTTTAGAGAAAATACCTACTTGTTTTAGTTTAGAGCAAATACCTATACAGGGCTCTAGTGGAGGGTAAACCCACGTAAACAACGACAACGAAACGAACAACGAAAGTTCCCTGCATCTTGTATTCTGCTGTTGGAACAATCCAAAATAAATTTGGTGTAATTTTAAAACACCAAGACTAAGTTTCATATTGGAGAAAAGCTTAGAGAACAAACCCACAGGTTTACACAGCAAACAACCTTCTCAACAACAACTTCCACATTAAAAACATGAAGATGCCAGCTCATATTCACATATTCTTCTCCATGTCACCTCCTCCCCCCTTATTTATCTAGAGGAAGAGAAGAAGAAGAAGGTCGTGAGACTCCCTGTCCAAAGGAGTGTAGAAACAGGTCTAGCCGTCGAGTTTAAATCTCGTTTTACTCGACAGCCGAGCCGCGACCCGGACGCCGAGGACCCCAAACCTGGAGCGTGAGATCCTCTTTCTACAAACTCGCTCTATTCTCTCTGGTTTCTGAGGTGTGTCTTGTAAATTCCTCACTCCTCCTTCTGTCGCTGCAGTCTGATATTTCCAGGAGTGAAGTTGGCATCAGATAAACAGTTCACCGGCTTCCTGGACGGATTAGGTCCCGCCCAGCTGGCTGGACGCCAGACTCTGGCCACCCCCTCCATGGGTAAATTACCTATGAAACCTTGTGTGCACTGGAAATGAGACTGTTATCGCTGACGTTATATAACATGAGCCTCCCTGATTGGCTGATTGGTGGTCAGGTGACATCCAAATCGGGATGGTGTATAGGAAGGAGCGTCTAGATGTGGAGGTGATCCGAGCCAGAGGGCTTGTGGGTAAACAAGGCAACAAGAACACTCCAGGTAATAATAATAATAACACACACTATACTACCATAATGTACTACACACTATCATTCTGTACTTTATGTTATCATACTGTACTCCCATAATATACTACGTGCCATCATACTGTACTACATACTATCATAATGTACAGCATGCTATCATATTGTTGTATTCTTCTCTAATTTGTAAAACTGTAATATTGATATTGCAATATTGACAAAGATATTTATAACTGTTGATCCTGCATGTGTGTGTGTGTAGCTCCATACGTGAAGGTGTATCTGATGGATAATGGGAAGTGTGTGTTAAAGAGAAGAACTCGGCTGGCCAGAAAATCCCCCGACCCCCTTTACCAACAACAGCTGCAGTTCGAAGAAAGTCCTGAGGGAAAAGTACTACAGGTACTTCATGAAGACATTCTAACATCAATCATACTCATTTATTTATTTTATGTGTCTATTCATTTATTTTGCAGGGACAATGCACACCAATTAACAGTTGTACTGTAAGTGAGCCAGAGGCTGATTGCCATCCGCTGTCCCCGGCCAGATGTTTTTAAGGCAGCCTGAAATAAAAAAAATCTCAAAATGAAATGTTATTAAAATTCATAGCCAAACGGTCATTAACGAATAGACAAAACCAATACACAGTATAAAAATCATTATACACATCCATAAGACGTGAAGAAGGGACGCATGAGTACCTTGTGACATAGGTGTCTGTCTGTCCGTCTGTCTGTCTCACTCTCGCTCTGTCTGTCTGTCTGTGTTGCTCTGTCCGTCTGTCCCTGTCTCTGTCCGTCTCTCGCTGTCTGCCTGCAGATTATTGTTTGGGGTGACTACGGCCGGATGGATCATAAATCTTTCATGGGAGCTGCTCAGATTTTATTGGACGATCTGGATTTGTCAGTAATGGCGATTGGCTGGTTTAAACTGTTTCCTGCCATCTCATTGGTGGACGCCGCCCTGGCCCCCTTGACCAATAAGGAGGTGGAGGGCACAAAATCGTAGAATCAGGAGGAGAAGGAGCAACACTTTGGTCCCAAGGATTCTCTGCTGCTGCATGTTGGCATCACAGCGATGGATTTAAAGTGTCACACAGATGTGAGGGACGGAGGGGCCACACAGCAGAGGATACAGGGGCCCAAACTATGGAGACAAATCCAGGTCAAAAGTTTTGATCATTTGAAAAACAAATGTTAACCTGAAAGTTTAAGTTTTGTTGTTGAACATTTAAAAATACAACAATGAACTCAAAATAAAAGTAGTTGGACGAAAAGTATTTTACGGTTGAATGTAGTTTTGAAAAAGATTTGTTTTCCTTCACTTACATATTTTGGATATTTGCTGCATTATATTTTTTGGTTGCAGATTTTATGTTTTCAGATTCAAATCCTATATTTTCAAGTTTCAGATCAGGTTTTTACATTCTGATTTTTTTTCACATTCAGACTTTTGACCCTGATGTGCGTATGGGGGGCCGTACATCAAATGTTTAATTTTGTTATTAAAGCTGTTTTGACCAAAAGGATCAAGATTATTATAAATGACTTCATTTTATGACGAAAAAGCCGAAAGACGTTTAAGTCAGAGAGTAAAAAGTATGAAATAAATACAATAATGAATAATAGATACATTTCTATGTGATATGTTGCAGCAAAGTGTTTATTTGTATTTATACCTTTTGAAGACCTCACAGACTCTATATCAACCATCTACAAGGTGACGTCAGTATGTCTTAAACAAAATGAAGGATTAAAGGTTCTGTAAAGGTTTTTTCTTTTGAATGTTTCAACATTACAAACTCAAATTCATTCATTTTTTCTTCTGTTGAATATTTACTTCCTTTACGTTCATTTTCTGTCATAAGTTCAATAAATAGTTGATCAATAATATTTTCCTAAGAGTTTACTCCACCTGTTGTTCTGGAGGGTGAATTGCTCTGCAACACACGCAAGACTTTAGAACCATGAAGTGAAACGAGTGTGTAAAGACGCATGCGCGCGCCTTAAGGCCATGTACCTTCAGCTAAAAGCAATGATTCAATCTCCAGGCAGAAATATTCCACCAATACTGTCAATAAAAAACCCAACAGCAAACACATGTATTAACAAGGACTTCTTATGTTTCTATTGCATAGGACAGAATCGCTGTTCTCCTTCAGCTTGATGCTGCTTCCTCCATAAAACACTACTAAATATAAAGTTAGTTCATAATCACACAACAAAAGGAGCAAAGCGAGTTCAGTTTCTTTGTGTATTTATTCGGTAACGTTACTGACTTAAAGTGATATTTCAGGTTCATAACTTCACTAATAACAACAGGCGAGCTGCCGTTAACAGCGCAGCGGCTCCCGGTAACGTGAGCTGCTCGTTGTGTGTTTGTTATAAACGTGTGTTAGTTATAAACGTGTGTTAGTTATAAACGTGCGTTTGTTATAAACGTGTTTGTTATAAACGTGTGTTTGTTATAATCGTGTGTTTGTTATAAACGTGTGTTTGTTATAAACGTGTGTTATAAACGTGCGTTTGTTATAAACGTGCGTTTGTTATTAACGTGTGTTATAACCGTGCGTTTGTTATAAACGTGTGTTAGTTATAAACGTGTGTTATAAACGTGCGGCAAATATTGATTGCGGTTTGATATAAACGTGCGTTAGTTATAAACGTGTGTTTGTTATAAACGTGCGTTTGTTATAAACGTGTGTTATAAACGTGCGTTAGTTATAAACGTGTGTTAGTTATAAACGTGTGTTTGTTATTATCGTGTGTTTGTTATAAACGTGTGTTTGTTATAAACGTGTGTTATGAACGTGCGTTTGTTCTAAACGTGTGTTAGTTATAAACGTGTGTTATAAACGTGCGTTAGTTATAAACGTGCGTTTGATATAAACGTGCGGTAGTTATAAACGTGTGTTAGTTATAAACGTGCGTTTGTTATAAACGTGTGTTATAAACGTGCGTTAGTTATAAACGTGCGTTTGCTATAAACGTGCGTTAGTTATAAACGTGTTTTAGCTATAAACGTGTTTGTTATTAACGTGTGTTATAAACGTGCGTTAGTTATAAACGTGCGTTAGTTATAAACGTGCGTTAGTTATAAACGTGCGTTAGTTATAAACGTGCGTTTGCTATAAACGTGCGTTAGTTATAAACGTGCGTTAGTTATAAACGTGCGTTTGCTATAAACGTGCGTTAGTTATAAACGTGCGTTAGTTATAAACGTGCGTTAGTTATAAACATGTTTTAGCTATAAACGTGTTTGTTATTAACGTGTGTTATAAACGTGCGTTAGTTATAAACGTGCGTTAGTTATAAACGTGCGTTTGCTATAAACGTGCGTTAGTTATAAATGTGCGTTAGTTATAAACGTGCGTTTGCTATAAATGTGCGTTAGTTATAAACGTGCGTTTGCTATAAACGTGCGTTAGTTATAAACGTGCGTTAGTTATAAACGTGTTTGTTATTAACGTGTGTTATAAACGTGCGTTAGTTATAAACGTGCGTTAGTTATAAACGTGCGTTAGTTATAAACGTGCGTTAGTTATAAACGTGCGTTTGCTATAAACGTGCGTTAGTTATAAACGTGCGTTAGTTATAAACGTGCGTTTGCTATAAACGTGCGTTAGTTATAAACGTGCGTTAGATATAAACGTGCGTTAGTTATACACATGCTATAGCTATACACGTGTTTGTTATTAAACGTGTGTTATAAACATGCGTGAGTTATAAACGTGCGCTAGTTATAAACGTGCGTCTGCTATAAACGTGCGTTAGTTATAAATGTGCGTTAGTTATAAACGTGCGTTTGCTATAAATGTGCGTTAGTTATAAACGTGCGTTAGTTATAAACGTGCGTTTGCTATAAACGTGCGTTAGTTATAAACGTGCGCCCAGTAACGGAACGTGCGTTTATGTTTAAACGGTGGGTTTTTTATAAAAGTTGGGTTATAAAAGGGGCGTTAGTTATAAACAGGGGTTTTGCTATAAAACGTGGCGTTAGGTTATAGACAGGTTTTAGGCTATAATCGGTTTTGTTATTAAACGTGTGGTAAAAACGTGCCGTTTAGTTATAAAGGTGCATTTAGTTATTAACGTGCGTTAGTTATTAACGTGCATTAGATTATAAACCGTGCGTTTGCTATAAAACGTGCGTTAGTTATAAACGTGCGTTAGTTATAAAACGTGCGTTTGCTATAAACGTACGTTAGTTATAAACGTGATGCTGTTATAAACGTGCGTTAGTTATAAACATGTGTTAGCTATAAACGTGTTTGTTATTAACGTGTGTTATAAACGTGCGTTAGTTATAAACGTGCGTTAGTTATAAACGTGCGTTTGCTATAAACGTGCGTTAGTTATAAATGTGCGTTAGTTATAAACGTGCGTTTGCTATAAATGTGCGTTAGTTATAAACGTGCGTTAGTTATAAACGTGCGTTTGCTATAAACGTGCGTTAGTTATAAACGTGCGTTAGTTATAAACGTGCGTTTGCTATAAACGTGCGTTAGTTATAAACGTGCGTTAGTTATAAACGTGCGTTAGTTATAAACGTGTTTTAGCTATAAACGTGTTTGTTATTAACGTGTGTTATAAACGTGCGTTAGTTATAAACGTGCGTTTGCTATAAACGTGCGTTAGTTATAAACGTGCGTTAGTTATAAACGTGCGTTAGTTATAAACGTGCGTTTGCTATAAACGTGCCTTAGTTATAAACGTGCGTTAGTTATAAACGTGTGTTTGTTATAAACGTGTGTAGCACATTGATGTTCAGAGGAACAGTAACATGGACCCGGGGGGGTTCAGGTGAGAGTCCGGCTCCGGGGCTGTGTGAGGGGGGGATAACGGAGTTAACGTTATCACTAAGCGCAGTTTAATCTAGCGTCTTATGTGCATTTAGAAACACGACATCGGTTGTCACGTAACTTAAGCAATTTCATAAATTAAAATGTGATGTTATATATTATAATATTTCTATCGGTAGATATTCGAGTGATTACATTTATATGACTTAACGTTACATTTAGTGAACGCCTCCGTCCTGACTACAGTAAATCCTCGTCGGCCCGCACTGCATGCTGGGATATTCTGGGCCGCGGAGGACAGATCAGATGCGTCCTCCAAACCGGCTCCTGGAGGACTGCGTCCCTCGACCGCGTTCGGGGGAGCCGACGGATTGAGACAAGCGAGTCTCAGCGGAAGTGACGTATGCGGTCGACGAACGCGTCCTTAAGGATGCATCCAAGCGACTTGGAGACACCGAGGAACAAATGGACTGTTGTTCGCCCTCCGGTCCGCCAGAGTTCGCTGTTCGCTTCGCTTTCCTCTCAGCGAACTGTCGTCGACGCAGAACTCCGTGCGTGTGTTCGCGGTCCCGCTGGCTCTCTTTGTCCGCAGAAAAGGAGCAAAATGTGCGCCGTGCGGCTGCTGCGCGTATCGGTACGCGAGCGGCTCGGCGCCGCCGCCGAAGACGTTCTGCTGCGGGTGGAAAAGGGAGAAGAAGCGGCTGAAGTCGCGGCACTGAGAGCGCTGCTCACCGAGCGGCTAGCGGCAGCTGCGGAGGAGATTGTCGGTCTGTTCGAGGAAACCGTGGCGGGATACGAAGAGCGAGCTGAGCGCTCAGAACGGGAGATCTGTCGCCAGAGGAGGCTGCTCGACGCCGTGCTGAAGCCCCAAGTCAAGCTGCACCGGGCAGGTCAGTCACCTCCGCTTCGTGTAAATGCAACACGGTTCTAATCGTATTAAATCATTGTCGTTACACTTTCAGATCTATTACTCTGAATGGACAAACACGCTGCATCCGCTTGCTGCTGAATTAATACGATATATATATATATATATATATATACACCGTATTAGTTGAGGGCTGCTGAGATGTTTAAATAACATCTGGTATTTCTTTGGTATGAAATAATTACAAACAGTTATTTGACATTTCTGTCGTAGGAATTTAATGTATTATACATATTTACGTTGTTTATTCTGTACACACAGTCTGTCCATCCTCCTTTGTCTCTCACTAATGCTGCGTTCACACCAAAAGCAAAGCGAACTAGTTGTAGTTATTAGTTTGTCTTCATTCGCTTCATACGTGCCAGTAGCTTGTCTCCGTAAAGACGGTCATCATTTCCACCGTCCACCATGGACTCCACTATTTCTGCTCTGTACTTGTTGTGGAAATGACCAACTGCCTTCCAGGCGTTCAGTCTGCGTGGCGCCTCCGTGTCTCGAAAAAATGTGAAAATATTTCAACGCTTTTTTGCGGCCCAATTTTCTGGGAAGAGGTTTCTTTGGGTTATTAAGTATTTGGTTGTGGGACGTGGACTCTCGCTGGTGCCTGGAGAAAGTGCCTTGACCTTGCATGGAATCCGCCCTCGCGGATAATTTGGTTCGCTTTTGGTCTGAACGTAGCACAAAAACGCGACGCGTCATTTACGCTAGACTGAACGTAGAGGCGGCGTCGCTTATCACCCTGAAACGGTTCAACTTTCCGCCATTGTTTTTCCCCTGCATCATCGGGTCGTATGCTGTTTGTTAAAAGTACGAGGTCACGCTAGAGGAACGAGGTCACGATAGAGGAACGAGGTCACGCTAGAGGAACGAGGTCACGATAGAGGTACGAGGTCACGATAGAGGTACGAGGATGTATCGTACAGCTCGGAGTGTAGTCAGTGACGACCTAGAGCATCTAAGCTGATTGCAGCATTACGTCATTTTATTGAAGTTAAAATATTTCAACCTTGTGTTTGGCCCTTTGACGCGTCTTCGCCTGAACGAGAAACTCGCCACTCGATCGCAGCTTCTCCTGGTAACCTCCCCACCAAAGGGTTTCATTTTGGGGGGATTTTTCTGTGCCAATGTGAGCGTTTCAGCACAGAGGATGGCGCATGTGTACACTGTAAAGCCCTTTTTATACACCTGATAATTAATAGATGAGTTACACAATAACATCAATATTAGCTGGTGTTGCAGCAGTGTGATTGGTCCTCCGGTCTAACATATTAAAAGCTGTGAGCGACTTACGTTGGCTAATAGTTGAAGTGTTGAATTGATGCTGAAAGAGAGCAGTTCTTTGTTTCAGTTAACTTAATATCACACGGCTCTTCAGTGTAAATATAGGGCACATCTCCTGTGTCTCCTTAGAGCTCCCGCAGAACCACGCAGACCCCCGGCCTTCACCAGACCACACAGACCCAACCTGGCCAGAAGGCGAACCGGTCAGCAGTGATGGTTCCTGCCTGTCGGAGCCGGGCTCTCCTTGTCCTCCCAGCCATCCCTCAGCTTGCAGCTCTGCTGTCTACAGCGACTGTGTTCTGGACCAGAATCAAGCCGAACAACGTCAGAGTCGGAGACCTTTGTGGAAAAAGAAGCGCGGACGGGCGCCGCTTGCCTCCAGGAACAAACGGAAGAGGTCAACTCCAGCTCAGAGTTTTAGCTGTCACGTGTGCGGCCGCTCTCTGCAAGGGAAAGGGTTCCTGCTCAAACACGTCCTGCAGGTCTGCGCTGAGGACTCCGACTGCTGCTGCGGTTTCTGCGGCGTGCGGTTGGACTCCGCTGCCAACCTGATTGCTCACCTGCAAACACACCAGCTGAAGAGTAAAACCTGTTCCTTCTGCGGGAAAACCTTTCAATCCATTCTGGCGCGGGAGCTCCACATGCGACTGCACACCGGAGAAAAACCGTACAGCTGCGAGATCTGTGGCAAGAAGTTCAGCCAAAAGGGTAACCTGTCGTCACACATGCGCATCCACGCCACAGAGAAACCCTTTAAGTGTAAAGAGTGCAGCCGGGCCTTCTACCACATGACGTCTTTAGAACGTCACATGCAGGATCACAATGGAGAGGAGGTGCACACCTGCAGCATCTGCTGCCAGGAGTTCCCAAGGAGGCAAAACCTGCGACGACACATGGCAACTCATCAGAAGGATGCCGTCGACAAAACAAAGAGGCGCCGCACATTGGTGCGGTCGTACCAGTGCAAAGCGTGCGGGGATGCCTTCGACAAGAGGACCTTATTGCTGAAACACGTAGAGACTCACCTGCAGGACCCGGACTGCTCATGCGGACTCTGTGGACACCAATACGAGTCCGCCGTCAGCCTTGCCGCTCACCTGCACTCCCACCGCGAGATTGGCAACACCTGCCACGTCTGCGGGAAATCTTTCGGCGCTCAGGCGGCACTCCTGATGCACATGAGGATCCACACCGGAGAGAAACCATACTCCTGCAGCTCCTGCGGAAAGACCTTCAACCAGAGCGGGAACCTGAAGACTCACTTGAAGACCCACACTGGAGAGAAGGCATTCTCTTGCAGCCTCTGCGGGAAGGGGTTCACCCAGAAGCAGACTCTGGACACTCATGTCCGCTTCCACAACAAAGAGAGACGCTTTCTGTGCCAGGTGTGCGGAAAGGGCTTCATGCAGGAAGTGGACCTGAAGAGACACATGCTGATCCACACCGGGGAGAAACCCTACAGCTGCAGGATCTGCAGCAAAAGCTTCCAGGCCAAACGATCGCTCAACGGACACCTAAAAGTCCACGCAGCTGAGAGTAGGGAGTCAGGCCCGGAGCTGGACCGCACCTTGGATCAGCAGAGGACAGACGGACTCTACTCTGGCTTCATCCAGCTGTAGAGCTCCAGAGGACAACCTTTCTACGCGTTAACGACTGAGGATCAACCAGCTTCAACTCTTCAATTGAATTTAGTGCAGTACTGTTAGGTACTCGACACTATCCTTTTAATGCTCTTACTGTAATGTGTCCATAGAACTGAGTATGTACTAGCATAGGATTGAAACCTGCCTGAAAGTAACGTTAAATCTCAGGATCTTGATGTCTGGCATCGGAGTTCAGAACTGTTGTCTGCCCAACGCTGGCAGTGTAATTAAAACAACTTTTATACACAAACGTTGTTGACGTGTTTATGATGCCTTTTAATGTGGAGCCTTAACTGTGGACGATTTGGTTGCTGTCGTCTCTGTGAGAGTGACGCTGGACTCTATTGCTGCTCTAGAGAGGAGAATGGTAACTAGGAGTAAGTTTGTTCCTTGGTAGAACTCTCAAACCAGCGACTTAAAGCAAACTGTGCAGAAGCTCGAATGGATATGGCGTTCCAACAAATTGGAAGAATCGAATTGAAAATGGCACACCCATGATAAAAAGTGTAATAACTCTAAATACTTTGTCTATTTGTACAATTTCTTTTTGTGGGGATGTAGGGGAACCCAAGTGAGTGCTAAAATGTGTGACAATCAGTTTACATGTTACTGTTAAACAATATATCAATAGTACACAAAGGTTTGAATTTTTGTCCAATACTAATATTTCTACTGTCCAATGCTTCTAATCGTCAATACTTTGGTAACTTTAAAGGTTCTGAACATTAGTAATAATCAATCTTCAGTACTTCTAAATATCCTAATGTTAAGTACATATAAATTTACTAATGTACGTCCATCCATCTTCAAAGCCGCTTATCCTTCATGCGGGGGGACTGGAGTCAGCCCATCAGGTACACCCTGGTTTGGTCATACAAACACTCACACTTCCATCCACTCACCTACGGGCAATTTAGACTCACCAATCAACCTAATCCCCAGGGGCTGGTATTTCAAAATGATCCCACAGGATTAATCCTCCTGGATTGGATTAAATCCTTATCAGATCCTAAAAACGTGCATTTCAAAGCAAATCTGATCCTGAAGATTCAGATTTGGTAATCCTGCCTTTGATCCGGATAAAACACTGCTGTTGAGTATTTCAAAACTTGAAATCTGGATCAGTTTGATCCTAAAAATCAGGATTACCCTGATCCCACCTCAGAGGTGGATTTGAGGGAGATTACATGTTATGGTTCGAACAGTTTAAGTGTAACTGCTCCCAAAGTTCTTTGTTTGATACAGAAGCTACACTTCACTGCTGTTTGATCATTGTTCATTTTCTTTGCACGTTCCTTTCTTTTTCATAAAATATGAATGAATATGAATGCCTTATTTAAGTAACAGTTTTTTGTTAAGTTCTGCGTAGGTCTGTGTTAACTGGCTGTCCTCTCTTTCCACAGACATCTGTAAAGAAAAACAAATATTAAGGTGTTAGGGCTGTCCCTTTAGTTGACAACTGTTTCCTAAAAAGATATGTACAACACATTTTAAAATCTACACACAATGCCTTGCGAGTAAATGCATTCAGATGTGGACTGTGGACCGTGACATACAGACGCTAGCCTATTTACCAACCTGTTCGCTCCTTAACACAGACGTCAATGGAGCAGCGCTAGCTCGCATTAGCCCGAACTCAGCTTTATTTAAGATCGCCGAGCTCTTCTTTCAACTTTTTGCTGATTTACGTAGCTGGTTAACTCAATATAATGATTGCCTTTCATCTAGTCTCAGGACGCATGAACACTGACCAAGACTATACTTACATTTAGAGACAATAGTTGTGCCAGCTTCCCCTTTTTTCTGTAACATATTCGCTCCTTTTTCCTGTTTCCTGCCTGTGATCCAGGGGGCGGGACGGATTTGGACATCCCGATCTGCCGGTGTCAGGATCACTCTGATCCAATCAGGCAAAGTTTTGAAATACCGTGATAGATCAAGTTGATCTGTGGCTGAGGACAGGGGGATTTGGTTATCCGGATCATTCTGATCTGGATTACAAGTTTTGAGTCCCAGATTCCTGACGGTGCTGCTGGGTACCAGAGCAATTCCATCCATAAAAACTGTATCACGTGACAGCTGGCTTCGAAGGCGCTCTAGGCCTATCAGGATAACTTCCGTTTTTTCTGAGTTTAGCATCAGGAAGTCAGACATTCTTGAAGTCTAGCTGGTCAGTCTCTTCTGGTTTGATCGACAGATACAGTTGAGTATCGTCTGCATAACAATGGAAGTTTATGCAGTGTTTCCTGATAAGATCGCCCAAAGGAAGCATATAGAGGGTAAATAAAATCGGTCCAAGTACAGAACCTTGTGGGACTCCGTGACCAACATTGGTGGTCCTTGAGGATTCACCGTTTACAAGCACAACATTAGGAACCAGGAACCAGCTGGTGATGATGTAATGATGATGTCAAGTTAACTATTTAGATGTTCTGAGTGATGATCTGAGTACAGCCAGGTGTGTTACGAATTACGAGATCAAGCAATTTGTCTGTTTATGATGAGTTTTATTTCCGTTTCTGTTGCAGACGAATGAATAAAAGATGTTCTTAAACAATGTTTCCTATAAAGCTGTTGTAAATGTCTTAATATTGAGATGTAAGAACAGAGTGCTTTTATTGTGAAGACTTGTTTGTCGCCTTTCTCTCAGACGTCCTTGTCTCTTTGCCTCTTAGTATTGTGTCCCTGTCACTCCTTTTGGGTCCGTCAGTCATTGTCTTTTTGTCCCCCTTTGTCTCCTTGTCTCTCTGTTGTTGTCTCTTGGCTGTTGTCTTTCAGCATCTCTTCCTCTCTTTGTCAAGTTGTCTTTGAGTCCACTTTCTCTCTCAGTTGTTTGTCTTTTTGGCTCTCAGTCGTTCGTGTGTGTGTGTGTGTGTGTGTGTGTGTGTGTGTGTGTGTGTGTGTGTGTGTGTGTGTGTGTGTGTGTGTGTGTGACAGAGATCATTTACAGGAAGAGGTACAGAGAGGGAAACTGTTACAAAGTGACTTCCTGGTCCACCCTGTTAAAACACACTCAGTGGGTTGTGTGTTCATTAACTTTATTAACAACACACAGTGCGTCTGACTTCACAATAAATGTGTTTTATATGATACAGATTAAAATAAGATCACATACGATCTCATTATCATAAGTGAAGAGTGTAATACTTTTAGTACCTTATATCACATCGTGTTGATCCTGTGATATTAAAGGTACTGATATTACAGTGTGAAAGTCGTATCGTTTTTATAGTACTGATACCTTTTAAAAAAGAATCTGTGCCGAGGGGCCCTGTGCCTGTAGGGGGCCACAAACACGGTGGACCTATGAACCCTCTGCTTGTTGTAAAATAATACGTTGTTTATGTGAATCGGAACACTTTATATTTCCACTTAAAACACATACTCGCACACAAACACTCGTATAAACACGTGCACACAGACACACGTACATACACAACACAAAGAGAACATAAACATATTATATTGCCCCCCCTCCGCCTACGGTAATTACATTTTCTTTCCGACGAGTCCGGGGGGACGTGAGACGGGCATGCGCACATGCACAGTCATGTCCTCCGCACCCCCCTCAGCGCGTGCAAGTGTGCGCGTGTCCGCTGGTGCCCCGTCGCGTCGCTCGCTCAGACCTCCGCTTCACGTGCAGCGGGACTCGAGTCCGGGAATGTGACTTCGTTTCTCTGTTCTGTTGCCGTGGAAACGTCTTCCCGCTTCTTCTTCTGGTGTTTGTGTGGACGTGAAGCCGCAGGCTGATCGCAGCAGGTAATCAATGCTTTACTACTGTGGAGGTACTAGTACACAGGGTTGTCACGATCATAGATATTATATATAAAGGCTAGATGTCTTACTAGAACGTCCGCACATGGCGGCCATCTTGGGAGGGGGAGCTCGCTCACCCATGGCATTGTGTTGGTAGTGGTACATGTACTTTAGATAATAATAACTCAATTTCCAACCGATTTTAAAACGGTTTGGATTGTTATAAACGTCAGAGATGTAGTTATGCCACTGCATACTTATGAATAATGTTCTGTTTAATATCATTTTTGTATGAAAACCCATGTTTATAATTATAATTATTCATAAGTATGCAGCGTCATAAATACATCTCTGTACAGGGTGTGGATTTCAACATGCAGCATTTCTTGGTGTATATTTGTAAAGGGAAATCAATACCTATATTAGAACATTATTCTATTTTTTAGAGCAGCGATTCCCAAAGTTTGGGCCGCGGCCCCGAGAGGTCATTTACAATAAATGAATAAAATGTTTTTAATTTTCAATTTTGAAGAGTTTGAAATTAATATCAAAATATTATGATGCGGCACATTAGTTATGTGAAACATTAGTTGATGAAGCACAAACAATTTAAACGAACAGAATAATAAAACAATAAGGCTCTCGCTCGAAGCGGCTGCTCTTGTCCGCCTGTCATTATTCAACAAAAGGCGCCGCCAAACAAAACAATGTCACATGAGTCGCCCTCTTGTAGTATTAAAGTCAATATACCCCATTTTCCGCACTCCAAGGCGCACTTAAAAGCCTTTCATTTTCTCAAAAAACGACAGTACGCCTTATAATCCGGAGCGCCTTATATATATGGATCAATTGGTTAATCGGTTGATCCATACTGGTTGTACACGGCGCTCAAGGCGCTCTGCCAAACATGCCAAAGCTCGTCTACGACGGCGAGATGCTGAGCGGCGCTCAAGCGTGTGAGATATGGAGCTGCTTTCAGGGCGCGTCGGAGAAACAAAGCTGTCGTTCTCGCCGAGCACTTCATGAGATTAAAGAGCGAGAGACGGCGCCCGTTTCTCTACAGTAGCTGAACCATCTTAACGGGGAAAATAAGTTATTCTAAAAGCAGCCCTTGGCAGGCGGCGCGGCTGGAGAGCAGCCGAAGATTTAGGGCGTGGATGGCGAGGGGGGCGGCGGGAGCGGACGCACCTCGCAGCATCGATCGGACCCTGAAAGCACCGTCTCCACCTCCCCACATCCACCCGCCCCGACGTCAAACGTTTGACTGCAGGATCGTATGCGCCTTATAATCCTGATGCGCGCTATATATGAAAAATGTTCTAAAATAGGTCATTCATTGAAGGTGCGCCTTATTGTGCGGAAAATACGGTATATGAGCTCCGGAGAAAATGGTATACAAAACATACATTGTCGATTAATACATTTTTAGTCGGTTAAATTCTTAAGGTCATTTAATCATCCCTAGTTTATGTTTTGATCAGAGTTGTGATTAAAGGTTTGGGTGGGCCGCAAAAGATTTTCAGATTTCAAATTGGGCCATGGCATTCTTGAGTTTGGGAACCGCTGTTTTAGAGCATAACATAATTATTCATATTATGTATGCAGTGTCATAACTAAATCTCTGACGTTTATAACAAACCAAACCGTTTAAAAATCGGTTGAAAATTGAGCAAATTATGGTTATTTAAAAAGTACATGTATCACGAACACAATGTTGTTGAAGTACCAAGATGGCCGCCATGTGCGGACGTTCGACTCTGTTGGCCGGCAACGAGACATCTAGCCTTTATATATATTATCTATGGTCACGATACCAAAATCTATAGTATACCTGCCAAATGTTACGGTACCCAATACTTACGGTACTATACCACAAATACGATACTGGAATATTTATCAATGATAATAAATAAAACATCTGTAAAGTTCACTTTTTTACCAGGCATCTGTTTGACTGTCTGTGGGATAAACAATGCTCATTTACTTGCATACAGAGTTTGATATTCCCACATTCATATTTTATCTTAATTCCTTGACTGAAAATAAAAAGAATTAGGTCAAGATCCAGGCTCCACCAGCATGTAGCCTATTGCATCAAGTGTGTATTATTTGGTACAATTTTGTGTGCATTCTGACCTCATGATCATAAAGGCCCACATGAGTGAAATTGTAGGTTATTTTGCATGTATATATTTCTGCTGGACTATTCAGTAACTTATTTGCGGTCTCGCTTTGTCTTGTGTTGCACTTACTTGATGTTTGACTGTTAGGAAAGTTGTTGTCATGTTAGCCAACAAAGCTACAGGCTGACAACTCTCACGGTTTCCCCGTGTGACGCACGCGTTTACATGTTTTCACACTCATGCCACACATCCAATTTCTTACGCAATAAAAAAATCTGCGCTGGTTCATCTCCAACTTCGCCAACGGTAAATAGCGCATCTGTAACCCTATTTGCTGCATGCAGCGTAACTTACACCCCCGTCGGCAGGAGCTCCACCCCCGACAAAATCTCACTGCAAGGTTTAGTGAAAAATTGGCAGCTCTGTAGCTCACAATAACATTACAAAGA